TTACCTGTAAAGGGAGTCCATTCCACAGTATATGGGTTCTGTAGAAAAATGATTTTGCCAGTGGGCTATTTGAGGTACATGTGGTGTGTGAATTCTGACTTAACTTAGGTAAAATTGATGACACAATAGACAGACTGTCGAGGTGGCAACGTCTTAGTCGAGAAGTGCCCTGATATAAAGAGAGATAGTGAGGCAGCAATACAGGAATTAAATTGTTAAGAACTTTGTGGAAAAAAATAAGATCATTCAAGTCAAACTTTTGAGACAAAGGGAGAATGTCGACAAGCTTGCACTTTTTGACATATTGCTCAGGTGGATAACTGCGGCCCTCTTCAGACAGAATCCATTTAATAGCTCTCTTTTGGAGACTTTCTAATTTATCACTAAGTGATTTATTACAAGGGCGCCAGATTATGGAACAATTTTCGAATTGGCTACGAACCAGGGAGAGGTAAAGCGCCCGGCGACGTTTCTGATCAATGACAATATGGCCATCTCTTCTGACCATACCAAGTTGTTGGCAGGCCTTAGTATAAATTCTGTCGCACTGACTATTCCAACTTAGCTTAGGAGTAACATCGACTCCAAGATCTTTTTCTAACTCTACATACACAAGAGGAGAGCCATCAAGATTATATGCGAATGGAGGAGATAAAGATGGTTTTCCTGAAACAATAAGCACTTTACATTTTGCTGGATGGAATCGCATTTTGTTTCTTAGTGCCCAGTCAGAGAGATAGTCTATATCCATTTGTAAATTAGTATTATCAGAAGATGAATGTATTTTACGCCAGATTTTTGTATCATCGGCATACAAAACAATATCAGTATTATCCGAAAGGCCAAGAGGAATATCATTGATAAACAATACAAAAAGTAAGGGACCAAGAATAGAGCCCTGGGGGACACCAGAATTAACTGAGAGGGTAGATGACATCTCATTACCAATAACCACTCTTTGGTAACGGCCTTGAAGGTAATTGGTAAGAAATTTGAGAAGTGTACCATCAATGTTATATAAGGTCTTTAGCTTATGAAGAAGGATATCATGATTTACAGAATCAAATGCCTTAGCAAAATCAAAATACACAACATGATTGATAATGTTTTCGTTAAGAGACAATGCCAGGCTATCACAAAAGTCAACCATATTGGTTGTGCATGACTTGTGCTCTAGAAAACCATGCTGCCTGGGATCAAGAAGGGTACTTGTCAAAGAAAGCAGTTTACGTTTAACAATGCGCTCAAAAACTTTCATGACTAAACAAGTAAGGGATATTGGTCTATAGTTTTCAACCTCACTTTTCTTACCTTTCTTAAATATTGGGACAACATTTGCAAGTTTCCATTCTTGTGGAATGTAGCCGCTGTTGTAAGATCCACGAAAAATGCATGTTAGAGGGTAAGCTAAACCTACGGAACAATTTTTGAGAATTTTACCGTGTATGCCATCTGGTCCCTGGGCTTTATTTGAATTAATATTTGAAAGAAGCTTACGAACATCCCGATGATCGAAGTCAATATCAAAATCAACATCATTGACATAGGAGATGTCAGTGTCATAAAGTGAAGGATCCGAAAACTGGTTATAAAAGAAAGAATTGAAAAGTTCAGCTTGAGCTTTGGGTTTGAACCGAAGCTGTCCAGAATAACTAACACAATTAGGAATACGGCAGGAGTTAGATTTATACTTAACATGTGACCAAAACTTCTTAGTTATAAGCGCTGGATCATCACTATTGAAAAGATTGTCTCTTATTTTGGCTGATGAAAGCCTCTTAAAATCTTTACGGCTAGTAACAAACTTTAACTCATCAGAAATAGAACCAGAAATTTTAAATTTAGCTCTGAGTCTATCTTTTTTACGGCATGAAGAAAAAAGTTCACTGTCGAACCACCCTTTCAAAACGGAAACTTCAAACAAGAACTGTTAAGTAGAAATGCCAAAGAATAAGAAATGAAATATAGAATCACTATTGGTTTCAACATACCCTCTCAATTTATTATCGAGCACATCGCTCAAAGTTTGATAAGCCACTTCCTTCTCGAAATGCACTAGAACATCCTCGTTTATATCTTTCTTGTTCTTCCTAACCGCTGTCATTTGCTCGGTTCGCCACAGACAGCCTCTTACTTCCAGAGACTCTACCAGAGTGTTCAATCTTTTATCTATCTTATCGTACGCCAGTGCGAAACACTTCTCAGTGTCCCCGTACAGCTCCGGGTTGCAAGTCGTGTTGTGACAGCCTGCAATACAATTACACATCAAAAATAGGGGGGGGGGGGGGCAACCATATTAAAGTATATTAAAGTATATCCCCGGGTCAAAATCGGAAAAAATCTTACATTTTAATATACTTTAATATACCTACAATTAGAAGATTTATATTCTTCGTTAAGATTTACATGATGAACTATATTTTTCACTCAGATTCGCAAGATAAGCCTGTTTTAGGACTAGTACATGAATTTCCATCCAGATTGGTCAAAAATTGGCTGAGCTATGAGCTTTAAAAAATATGCCCATATTTGGGCATACGCTTTTGCCCAAATTCGCTTTTGCCCAAATTCGATAAAATTTCAATATTTTTTAATGAGACTAATTCTATGTGAAAGATATAACTCAGTGTTTGTTGAATATAGTGGATACTAAGTAAAAAGACCTCCATGAACAAAATTGGGAAAATTGCACATAATATCTCGGTTCGGCATACTAGCCAAAATGACTTCATTAAAATTGAAATAACTCCATCAGTTTTCAATATTTTTTCAAGAACTTTTTGGAATCGATTAAGAATTGCATTTCAAGCTTATTTTGGGCAACAATTTTTGATGTAGGCCTCCAAGGAGATAGGGATATATTAAAGTACAGGGTGGGCCAAAAGTCAGTACCCATACGTTGGCCTTAATAGCTCCGCCTTGTTTTTTATTTGAGAGCTGTTGCTTTGCAGATGGCATACTGTACTTACTGGTTCGAGGATTCCGTCGTCAAAATTTGAAAATTCGAATATTTTAGACCACGCCCATTTAATATTAAAACACCTATATTTTTTTCTCTGAACATGCTGAACGCCTAATTTTTTCAGAGACGGTAGATTATCAAATGTTGCATATGATCTGAAAACATGAGGCAAAACAGATTAGAAATGACGAAGTTATCAAGCATTTTCTGTATCTCGTTAACAATATTGACTGGGTGATTATGTGACACCGTGACACGACACCTTAATTGGGCACCCTTAATTCCCATAATGTTTAACGGGGTAGTTAACCGGGGCACCTTATCACGTGATTAGGTAAACCAATCACCTGATCACACGTAATGAATAAACTCGTTATGCTTCATATCTCGGTCATCTGAGAAGCTACAGTTCTAATTCTTTCAGGACACACGTAATTCGAATGGCCAAACACAATTCAATAACATTTAGCTTGATCCGATTATCCAAACTATCAAATAAATGTGAAAATGAACCTCCATTTGAAAAAAATGACCGCGAATATTTATCGAGTTGACAAATTCCTCGAACCAGTGGTGGTACTAAGTCATACCAGAAAGAAGTATTTAAATTGGGCACTCAGTGACTGAGCTATAAAGGCCAACGTATGGGTACTGACTTTTGGCCCACCCTGTATATTAAAGTATATTAAAGTATATCCCCGGGTCAAAATCGGGAAAAATCCTACATTTTAATATACTTTAATATGGTTGGCCCCCCCCCCCCCCCCCCCCCCCCCCAAAAATAAAACGTCATGAATTTGCAACAATTTGAATTGAAATAGAACTCCTCTTCAGCTTCATCTTTTATCTTCTACTCAGGTAGTCTCAGACTTCTTCACTATTTGCAGCCATATCACGTGACAACTACTAATTGTCCTCTATATTACTAATCATGACCGGGTGACGCAAGGAAGTAAGTACTTAAAGTAAGCTTTATTGGATACATGTCTTCTACACACGAGTAGTTTAAGCTTCATGATATACACAATGTGTATATGTAATATGTATGTACAATGTAAAATATTCAATGTGTATACAATATATTATACATATCACATCAAGTAACCTGCAGTACCTGGTTCCGATGATATTTGCTGTCTCCCCTCGAATTTATACACACTGTTGCAGGTCTGACATTTAAAACTAGAAACTTCACAAGCTATTCTCACGAAGATGATGATCCGTAAAATTGAATTTTTCCAGACCATGCTTACTAAATGGTACAAATCGATCTATTACATCGATGTATTACGTCATTCCATTTCTTAGAGAGCAAATATCTGTGTTAAAAAACTTGCTGAAATGGTTCAGTGGATGTTGAAAACATGTCATAAACATTAAACATGTATTAACGAGCAAACTAACCAATTTGGTTGCTAACAGTTTGTTTTTGTGTGTTGCAAATAGCAGTGCAAAAGTATTTAATCTGATTTGCAACTCTCTCTGCTCTGGAAAAGTGGATAATTCAAATGTAATATGTGTATTGTAAAAACCTTCAGTGGTAGTTAGTATTTACTTACAACTGTATGAAAGTAATTGTTAAACACGTTATACCATGCATTTATCATAAATCTATTTTACACTATTGGAGGACTTCTGTCCAGTTCATTTGAAGGCACAATTTGTGATGTATTTATAACTTTGTGATGAACTCATTTCTGTAGCTGTGGTCAGACACAAGAAGGTATAAGCAAGTTTATAAAAGAAAATCTGAAAACTATAAAACATAAAACAAAACAGAAGCAAAAATACCCCCTTCAAATAAATTCAAATAATTATAAAATACCCTTTGTATTTGGTAAGTAAAATTTCATTAGAAATATATATCATCGTACGTGAAAATAAAGTTTAGCAATGGTATAAAAAGTTATATATTTAAAAGTTTTATAATATCATCTTATCAAATACGATCAGCAATTTTATGCAATTTCATTTAAAAGTGCAGAACAATCGTCCGTAACAAATAAAGTTTATATAAATTGTAGTTTTTTTAGTTGATTTAGAAGGTCCCAGCGAGTTCCTCCTCGAGAGTAGGTTGGGGACATCCCGTGTCCAGGATAGGTTGGAACCTCTTTGCTTCATCGGGACATCCAGCTTCCATCTCCCAGTTGGTGATATCGTTGTTAATCCTAGGAGCAGTGTCTCCTTTCTGCCAGAACAGGTTACCGCACTGAGTAGCATAAGCTTGAGCCACCACACATTTAGGAGGCAACTCCTCTTTCTGCATAAGTCCCTCGCACTCGTCGTAGACACAACTGTCTACCCACTGGGCAGTGTCGTGTCCAGCTGCGATACAACCCTGGAACTTGGAGATGCTGAACACTCGCTCACACTCCGTCTTCACTTCCTGGTACCTCTCTCCGCACACCTCCTTTGATGTTCTTGCTTTCTGGGTTTCAGGACATCTTCTCATTGGGTCGATCTGCCAGCTGTTTCCGAACTCGTCTACATTGTCGGTCATCTTACGACGACGAGTTGTCATATCGTTCTCAGGTCTGCCGTCGTTGTTACCGCACATTCCACAAGTTCTGGTGCTGATGGGTGTCTGGATCTGAACTGAGACGAAGCCATCCCAACGGACAACGATCTTGTCTTGTTCGTAGACTCCAGGGGTGGCGGTCGCTCTGGTGTCGAGGATAGCGGTGAGAGTGAGCATAGCTCCGTCAAATATTAAGGTGAAATCTTGGTTTTTTCCTTTCACGACGATCTCTTCATTTTTACGGTTCTTGGTGACGAGCTTCGTTCCGTTATTGTTAACCAACCATCCTCTCTGGAGCTCGAGAATATCGTTGTTCACGAAGACGGTGACAGACTCCAAGCAGGAACCACCAGTCTTTCCACAGGGCCTCATTCTTCCGTAGACGAACCAGCGTGCAGATTCACAGTCCATAGCCATTAGCCAGGACATTGTCACACAGTCCCATGTAGGTGTAGGCGTTCATGTCGTAGGTCAGAAAATGAGGGTCTCCGTATACCTGTAAGATTGAGATACGTCAGTTTGGATGCGAATATCTTTGAAATAAAATAGGAAATATATAACTTTGGGTAACACAAAATGAATATTTTGCGTAATTGACAAACATGTAATAAAATACAACACTGGAAAACTATCATTTTGAATAATAACACTTAAGCTAGAACTTACCGCACAAGTAGCTCTAGGGGTTTCCACGATGATGTTGTCGAAGGAAGCTGGTTCAGTGGATGTGATGACCGGTGCAGCAGTGGTTACAATAGCAGGGGGAGGAGGAGGGATTTCTTTGACTACGACGGCAGCTAGAATTTTACTAACTTTGGTGGTCATGCAGTTCACAGCCTCGCAAGTATACTCCCCACCATCAGCGACAGAGACAGACTTTATCAGGTAGTTGCCATATCCTACAATCTCGTCGTGTCTGTACCACACTATTTCAGGCTCAGGGAATCCTATAGCATTACATTCGAGAATCAGTTCATCACCCTCTACCAGTTCGAAGACTCCATAAGTGAATTCCTCTTCCACGATCTCTGGGTGCTCGACCTTGCCACATCTCCCTTTGTTCATGACTTCAATTCCGAACTTGTCGTTCCTGCAGGCATCGTCCTTCATCAGGCACTCGTTGAATTGTTCCTCACAATAGTTAGAGCAGACAAAGTCACTGGCGAACATGTCAGCTCTATCACAGTATGAAGGACACTCACAGGTATGTCCGTGTCCAGCAGCGTAGTTCCCGACACACTGTTTCTCCCCGGGGCAGGTCACTCCCTCACACAGATCCAGTACAGTCAGGTAGGCGTCGTGTTCATCACAGCCGTGTCTGTTGCAGGCAAGACAGGTGTACCAGCCTTCGTTAGGTTCGTCCACATTGTTGATTGTGATGGAGTTGATGGTCGTCTGACTGACATGACCACTGCTGAAAGCATTGAAGGATTCCAGGTTGGGTCTGGACAGCTGGTCTTTCCTGGTAAGGGTAATCTGAGGGGTCATGGCGGCCTTTGCTTCGCAGTCAAATCTACCAGTTCCACCAGGAGCAACAGTAATATTGACTGGAGCAATGGTGATGACTGGGGGTCGTCTCACAACTTCAGGGTCCACTGTGGGTTCATCCTCTGCCCCAGTAGTAAACTGGTAAGTGGTGAAGCTATCATCAGCATCGGTAGTCTGAGGGGACGAGTACGAGTCTTTGGTGGTTACAGCGTTATTAGTAGTGAAGAAATCAGAGGTGGGGTACTCAGTCTCCCTCAGGGAGTCTGTTGTGGGTTGCTCAGTGTGGACCCTTGTATCAGAGGTGGAGGCAGGACCATTACTTGGGCTAAAGTTCAGTTCATCGAGATAAGCTCCACAAAGAGCGTTCTTAGCGTCCTCGTCAATCAGTCCGAACTCAGAGCAGATTTCGTAGTTCTCGCACAGGTATTTCATTCCTCCGAAAGAACAGGCTTGTTCTTGATCATCATCGTACTCGTAAGAGAGGGCAGCAACAGAGAGGGCTAGGAGTAAAGCAATCACTCGAAGAGTCATGTCAAAATTCACAAGAAATGTGTTGAACAGAAAAGTAGGTGAGTTTACAAATGTAAAATATTCAAGTCGATAGAAAAGATCGGTTAAATGTGAGGATAACTGTGCAGGAGGAACATTTATACCAAACCATGACGCCGTGATGCAACTCCCTCACCCTCTACACCCACCCTACAAAATCCGGCTGTCGGTGCGTCATCAACCCACGTGACCCACGTGACACAGGGAGAGACATACGATAACATAGTGCGAGAAGAGTGACGTCAAACAGCGCTACTGGACACTCACTAACTCACTTACACACCTTAGGTTTTACGTGATACTTTGATCACGTAACCGCTCTTCTTATCATCAGTCTGGCCGGTCTTCTCACACTTTGATCTCCTATGAAAATATATATTCCGTATTTTATGGACAATACCGTACATGTATGCAAATCGTATTATGTTTTATTATATCTGTCTTTAAAATATGTGGTAATGAATCATGATATGCGAAATGAACGATGACTTCTGCATTCTGACGGGAGAATTGTTCAAACAGCCATTACAAATTTCCCTATCATTTTTGTTTCAGGATGATTTCAGACAGCCTACTTTTTAATGTTATAACCACTTCACTTGATGACTTTATAAATTTCCAATGACTTCATTACAGTGATTTCATTTTAAAACTCGTTTTTAACCTGTCTGAACTGACGACTGAGTTAAAATTATATTTGGTGAAGGGTATGCCGAATTTGTATTATATCACTGATCGGTCATCCGATTAAAAATAATATTTAAATGTATTGCAGTTGCTGGTATGAATTCTGCATGTATTCGAATACTCAAATAACCTTTGTCACTGGGTCTGGAGTGTGTAGACATTTGCCACATCTTAATTTATATGGATTCTAAAGTAAGTTATAATATCATGGTTATATGAAAGTGTGAACTAGCGAAATAGTTTTGTTAAAACTGCTCAGTTATCGTTGCCAATAATATTACATTCTTAGAAATGCTTCTCGTGTATTGATCTAGCCCATTTCCAGGAGCCCATCTTCAAAATCTCCGTATCATGGTAAAATGAGCACGTCTTCATTTGTAATATTACTAGGAAAATTCCAGCTTGTCGTCAAAAATTTTTCGACCAAAAGTGGAATATCAGCAAACCAATCAAATATGATCGCTCTATCATGATCACCGTCAAGGGACCAAAATCGAGGAATACCTCATATATATCGGACCTCAAGCAGTTCAAGATACAAGAATCGCTCCTGATAAAGGTTCAACAATTTTTGACTCAAACTCTCTACTTTGTTGGAAAATGGGCCGAGAAGCATCTGCCCTTTGGGGTGGCCACACGATGCGATGGCTCTGTTGATAGCCAATAACGACCACGCCCTTATGTGTTACTAGGGGACAATGAAATGTATCTTGTTGGCTGAATGACGTTAGTTCCACTTCCAACAACAGCAATCTGTTCCTGTTTGCAATGACTATATTTTTAAACAACTTGTCAACTGTAGTTAACTTTAAGTGCAATATTGAACTTATGCCCAAAAATGCTTTATTTTTTAGTAAACTGATTTTAGCAAAGTAAGATGCATTGCTAGATTTTTATCGAATCGAGGTCGTTACACGAATTTATGTTTGAAGTAACACTAACAATGTTAGTTTCATGATGTTAGTAACATCATGAAACTAAAACAATTTGATCATTGAGACATTGATGTGTGATATTATTATCAATATCTCTCCCTTGGGCGTTCTAGAGATATAAAGCCAAAGGTAGCCGTAGAGATAAGAGCGGATCTATGATAAATAGTATTCTAATTATTTATTAACCACGAACATTGCAATTGTAGAGTTGTCATGACAACCCAACAATGGTTAGCTCACCAAGGATCCATACTTTCTGCAGGATTTTGGCTATGTCCTTTGTAAACGCGTGTGTAGTTCAGAGTTTCAGTGTTAAAAGAGAAATCACTATACTAGTGAAGTCATGGCTGATGGCTCAGAGTCTTAAAGTTAATGCTGCGTTAAAAATTATGTATAGACAATCGTTGTACAATTACATTGATCAGCTGGAGAAATATAATCAGAAATTGCACACCGATGTAATTGACAGTCAGGGGACACTGACAGTAGTTGATCTGCAGAAAGAGCTGCTACTACTAGCTGCCAAAAACAAGCAGCTAACAGCTTGATGACTTGAAATCTGTGGTTGTACTTCAACTTGTAGCATCAGTTGAGGATACTGTGAAATCAGAGTTAAAGACATACAGCGCCGCGGTACAGGAATCAAAAACCTCAGCAGCATAAGTCCATTGTTGGATTCGGATAGAAATATCTTGAAGAATTTCATTAAGGATGTTGTGGCAGAAAGAGACCGAAGTCGGAATCTGATTATGTGACAAGGTCGGTCAAGTTTTTTTTTGGAACTTGGTGAAAAGCCAAAAATAGAAGCTAGCAGAATTGGTTTGAATAAACCCAAGGATAAAGATAGACCTGTTAAGGTGACTTTGAAGAGCTCCACGATCGTGCAGCAGATTTTGACTAGAGCAAGGCATCTCCGTAGCTCAGAACTTTTCGGTAAAGGAACGTGCCGAACAGCAAAAGATTGTTTTAGAACTCAAAAAGAGATCGAACGACGAGCCAGATAAGAGACACTTCGTCAAAGGAGGCGACGTGTGTTACAGTGTGGACAAAATTGTTGTTTGAAATGTGTTAAGACAGAGTTTTGTTTGGATTCATATTATGGATTCTTGGACCTTGGTTCGCTAAGATTTTGATTTTTTGATAAGCTTCTAAATCATATTCGTCTTTCAAGTTCAACACAAGAGTGTCAGTTTTCTAGAATTTTGTTTTGATTTGTGTATTATCACTATCACGTCGTGACCCCCATTGTCGTTTCACTATTTGCTAGTATCGTGGCGGACCGCGGACGCCACGATACAGCCGCGCACTCGTGCGCGGCAGGTCTAGTTCTACAACGTGTGACAAGTCATGTGGGGATGATGATTAATCTGAATCACTCTACCTCGACCGTCACGTGACTTTTTGATATGTTCATTAGGTGGCCCTGAATGACTGTAAGTGTACGAAACCCTAGGCCTAGCACTCTATAATCTGATCCTTACCTTGCTAGTCTATTCACTATTGCTCGCTCCTCTCAGTCTCACGTAAAATTAAGTTTAACTAGAAGCTCGAAAAGAGCGCCGTGCATTATATTATGGGAATTGGGATTGCACTTGCAGATTGGCATGCCAGGAAAATCTGCAATCCCAACCCTTAAAGTTAAACCGATCCCTAACTGTGAACTGGAGCTCATATGCTGAAACCCTATCGAGAAATGAGACCAAATTCCTTCATCCTTTAATATGGTCTCATCATGTGATCAAGACAGTTTTTCACTTAACGGGCGACACTCGTAAAATATTTGTTCTCGACGAGTCCAACTCGGCGCGCGTTCTGTAGGTTATCAGTTATAAACCTACAATTTTTTACCGATATCTCGCCAGGGGAGCATTTTAACCCTATTATATATGTCATGTGGTGATTCCGAGCGTGCTAAATCACTCTAAGTCTACATTGACAATGCAGCGGACAGCCAATCTTCGAGATTTTTCTGAAAGGGCCCCTGGCAGTTGAAATCTACCTGGTTCGGAATCAGTGCCTGTTAGTGTTATATTGAAAAAAATACACAGACGTTACTTATGGACGCCTCCTAACTTAACTGGGCAGTGGGGATCATTTTTGGCTACATTGGATTTGGATAGATAATATGGACTATGGAGCTTGCATTTCCTTCTTTGTTCTACTTCAGGATGGAATTCTTTCTAGAGGGTTGGCCTATTTTAAGTAACTTTATCATAATGCATTTTACACAATAGCTATGTGTAAAACTGATTACAGAGGGGGGGAGGGGTGAATGTGTCCAAAAAAATGATTACGTAATAGGTGCACGACCCCTTAGGACAGCAAGACTGTCGTCATACAGATCTATACTCTTGGAAGTCTTCAGAAGATGTGGATCCCCAAAGATAGTCCCAAACAATAAAACTCATTTTTTAAAGGAAATTTTGCTTTTTGGAAAGACAAAAATTCGGAATGCTGGTTCTTCAATACTACTACTAGACTGTAGCTACGGCGCCAGCCTCTCTCTCTCTCTCCACCATATCTTCTAAGTCTTTAAAAGTTTCATGACTGGAGCTTTTAATCTACAATATACACTCAATTTCCTATGCACGTCCAAAGAGCAGATAGAATTATTTCCATTAGAAAAAAATTCGTTTGATCCACTATACATTCATATTTCATAAACATGCTTGATTATGGTTTCATGAACAGTAATATAGTCAAATATCATCAGTTTTAATCTCTTAAACAACTTAGTGGGTAATTCTGGCAGCTAGGTTAACGCGGTTAATCGCAAATCTTCATCATTAAAATACGGTTAGCACAGTTTTAAATTAAGTCCAAATTCAATTTTGAGATTAACAATTGGCTTCTTTGTGAGCTATGCCAGATTTTACTCCTACCTAATGTAAATTCTCACAGCTTCCAAGTTACTTCAGTGATATCACGCGATAAAAAATGTTACTTAAATGCACAGGGCAAATTCACGTGCTGGCCATTTCGTTCGAGAAAATTCCTGATCTGCGGGGAGATGTTTCTCCCAATCCCATGATACTTTAGCTAAAAGCCAGTGATGTAACCGGAACTCAAATACATCAATCAAAGAAAATACAATTGCTACTATAAATTTGTGTAACATTATCATTATGCAATAAAGCGAATTGCCGCCCTTTGGCCTTGATTAAATTAAAAAGCACATACATGCAGAGCTAGGACATAATTTCACGTGCGCAATAAAAAGGACCCTTAATACTAGCTACCGCGCGTTCCCATAAGACGTCCAGGAAGGCCTCTTCCATTTTAGAGTGTGCGACCGTTACATTCGAGTCTACACGATGGCGCGCAATAGTCAAAAGTCAGGAGACTAACTTGAGAATACATTGCACAATAATGTTTTATTGAATCGAGCTTTAGCATGAATCCATTGTGCGGGTAAATTTCTGAACGATTGACGATTTACAATTTTGAGTAGGATTTTGATTAGGGAAAAGCTTGCACATTCCATTACACTAATGTTAAAACTTAAACTAATGTTAAATTATCATGAGCTGCTTACATTATAATTCATTAAAAAAATGGAAGCTATTTGGCATCTTGAAATACGACCTAATTGGCTACACGAATTCCAGATTTTATGTGAACACAGTTTCTTGATGTACATACACACAAGACAATATCAGTCGAACATGTATACTGACAATAGTGGGATTTATTCTCATATTACACCGAAAGATATTCATACAAAATGAAGCTGTTCATTAGGACAAATGTTTACGTTTTACATGTGACAGCATTGACGGTACATACAGTATAAATCGTTGCAGTTTAAAAATCGAATTAAGGGGGCATTGGAGGGGTGAAAAGGAATGACACAGAAATTTAAAAGTAATAAATAGCAATTCATACAACCAATGGTTTCTAGTAAAAAAATAGAGCAGTCCGTGCTTCCGAGAAAGGTGCTTACTAAACAGCCTCCGTCTTGCTGGCTTCATCAAAATCTTCAACAAGAGCGGGAACCTCATCGTCATCTACAAGAGGTTTAGATTTGGAAGGAAGAGAGCTGGACATACCCACCAGTTGGTTCAAAATACCAGGGAACAAATCTGTGATACTCTTGTGTTCGGCATTACCCGAAATAGCAAATGTGTTCGCTCCCACTGTGGCCTGCACCTTGGGGTTTGTGAAGTGGATTACGGTACTGTCGTCCTTGATAATGTTCACTTCCTCAATTCCTGGGATGTTGTTGCATTGCAGTTTCTTTAGGGTTGTTTGGAGTTTTTTGTCATCCGTTCCTGCGGTTTTGTGGATGATTTTCTTCTTTCGGCGTGCGGTTCCCTTACCACCAATTCTCACACTCTGCTGCATCTTAGCCAGCTTTTCTTGATCGATTATAACCATGATTGAGATTGCTTGAGCTAAAATAGAGTTGTTGTTAGTAATTCATTCGAAAAATGGTTAAGGTATGAAAAAATAAATCGATTTTTATATGAATTTATATAAATCAATAGGTAGGTAGGTTCAATTTGAAATGGATTTTAGCAGGACAAATTACCAAAGAATGCTTCTCAAGAAATTATATTTTCAAATCAGGAAAATTACATTTGAAGATATGGCTTGGTGTTCAATTTCAAAAACGGGATATCGTGCCATGCTTTTATGAAATACAGCCGCTTATTTTCTAAATTCAATACTGTCCAGTATGTGGTGCCTTAAGTTCTGACGTAACCCCGGCCACGTACATACTCAAGCTACAGTATAAGTTATAACAGAACATTACATTACTGATCGAATTCATTGGCCATAAATCACGACCATATTATGGCTAAAACCGATGAAACCAGAAATTAAATATTCAAACAATGAACGACTAAAACTACTAGTATAGTTTTCATCGATGTAACTATTTAATAAGATAATTTGCTATGTCTGGTATATTACCGGATGTTCAAGTTAGCGGACTAGAATATTCTAGAACTTTGAACTATTTACGGGGCAAGATGGAAGTGTGAATTTCACAAGTAATCGATATTATGAAAAGTGCAGAACTTTGGGCCCAAGTATCATCCGATAATGGTCTGAAGAGAAAAAAGGTTAATTCTTTGTCTAGATGATACTTGTTCGTTTTCATTTTGGTACATGACACTGAATAGTACATACATATTGATAAAACCAATCGCCTCATGCCAAAGGATTTTGCAAAATAAACTGCTGTAAGCTGGTGAAGTGACGAATATTCCAGAGCAAATCAAGCTTGGTCAACTGGAATGATTTAGTCCGAGGATAATACAAGTTTTTATTAGAAAATATTGAGTGAAAATATCTGAATGTAATATGAGAAGGGCTGTACTTCAATGTCATTAGTGAGATTACCAACTGATTAATCTATCCATACTAAATGTCTATTAGCGAAAGCAATGAAACACGAGGCGGTCATATTGTGATAGTACTTATTGGATATATACCAATTACAACAGTTTCAATGCTATTAACGTCATTATATTTAACACAGTACTTGCTGCTAACATTCGCAAATCAACCCTACAGATCTAGTTCCACGGTTACCTTGATGGGAACACGGATGTATCATACATATCATAAACATAAAAATATCCCTGAATAAACAAAAACAATACAAAAAGTTACCGTCATAAATTCACTCTAAAGCATACGCACTATTTACAGAATCACGCAATTTAAGTTACAATCAAAGTTACAAAAATAATTCGCACACATGTGTTACAATAGTTACCAGGTGTTACCATGGTTACAATTCCGATACCTGTACGATAAAAAGCTCACGACACCCCCAAAACCTCCTACCAAACCATTACGACTCAGCCACACTATTACCACACCATAACGACTCTCCTGCCACACTATTACGAATCTGTAAATTTTTATGCACGCTGATTGCTGAACGCTAATAATTTTCCGACCTGACTCCCCAGAATGGCGATACCTTCACCTCAGTATCCGGTAACATTTTAACATCAAGCTGGTCAGGTCGCCCCCACCGAGTAGGCAGCCTAACACTTAATAGCAATCGTAATACTCTTATATATAAGAGTATATAATATACTTCAACAATACTCAACTCACTATTACAAGAGTTCGGAGCAAGGAGGGTAGAAAGACGGTATTGGATTGGTTACATCCCTCCATATACTTCTATATAGAGGGACTGTATATCGCGGTGCCTGAGCTTGTTTAAAGATTCTCGGGAACACTACCCGCCTTAACAGTAAGTCAGTAAGTCATATAGAGGTTCGACTGTACAGTGTACAGCCAACCGCCCATTTTAAAGCCTAATACCAAATTTGAAACCCTAATCTAAACTCTAATTCTAAGCCTAAATCTTACATGCTAATGTAGTAGTAAGTATACTTACTAATATATATACCCGGACAAGTAATAGAACCACATTTCATTACTAATAGTAAATCTAAGGCGGAAACATTGCCTTATCTAGTAGATTGTAAAATTGATTTGTATAGAGATCGTACGGTAGTCGGTAGATCATAAAGGTAATTTACGGAAAAATTCAAAAAGCTTACTTACATATTATCCGTCTCATAATATTTATTCGTTAATATTATTTAAATATCATGGTTCAAAATTTGCTTTCAGTCTTCCTTTACATATTACATATCCACATTACATGTCACTTATGACATACATTGATAGACTTAGCATAGATTTCTCTATTTCCAGTTCAAGTCAGCATAAATAGATATATATCTGGATAGTGGATATATATCAGCATTTTAACAATTACTTTAACAATAATTCAACATCAATAACTAGCTGGTTTCTAAATGTCAAAAAGATGTGACAAATTAAATGTCAACAGCTTACTCTATAATTCAGCAACAATAGAAAAAGGGAATACAAAAAATGAGTTAACAAGTTTTACAAAAGGAAAGGCTTACAACAATAAATTTATAGGAATTAACAAGAATCAAATTAAATTAAATGAATTACACTCAATATCAGGAGGGATCATAGTGCTTTAATCAGCACATAATAGATATAATAATTACAATAGATTTGCAATAATTAAGATCGCATCAGAATATTATCTTTAAAATCATCAATTTTATCGATAAGGGAATAAAACGCCCAGTTATCATCTAGACACTATCAAAATATCACTTGGGACCAAGATCAACTTTGAAGCCCGATATACAATTAATATACTTTAATCAATCAAGTAATCGACTAATCACTATTTCACCTAATTAGTCATCACTAATTACATTTCTTAGGCTCATCTGACAAAGATACTTCCCAATATACACTAAAAATGTAAAATCTTTATTCTTGTTTCACTTCCCGTTTTTCACCACTTTTGGTGGTAATCGATTCGTTCATCTTCTTGCTTCTGTTTTTACTGTAAATTTGGTTAGAAGTTACTAACTTTTGAGTTAATATTGATTAAGAAATGTCGAGGACCTCCTTAAATTTAGGGATTTTGCCTTCGAAAAGAAGGAGTGTCGAGCACATACTTATTGCTGTTATTTAGTATTTAGTAATATAATAGTACTGTAGTAGTAATTAGTAGTAATTAATTACTACTACAGTACTATTATACTGCTAATTAGAGGAGACTTATAATTAGTTTAACAGGCTCGCTTTAAATGTTACTTTGTATCCTAAATGTAAGAGCAGAACAAGTATTTGATAATTAATTAAATTACTCGTTCCAATGCAAATGGCCCGTTAATTGAGTCGTACACTTAAGCACAGTTAAATCAAATAAATTAATTTAAATTAGTAATTACAACTTATTGTACTATAAATTCCAGGTTTTTAGTGCTTTGGTAACAATTTGTCCTAAACATACTCAGAGTCAAGTTTCGTGGGGAAACAATGAGAATCCACGATGTATAATATTAACAACGAGCGCACATTCAACAAATATGCGAAATCAAAAGTTCAATAAACGAGGAATTCTTACCATGTAAATTCTGGCCCGTTGGTGTTGATTTTGCAAACTTGGAGAATACACCCTTATTTAACCAACTATTTGACCCTGTCTTAAAACTGAAAACCAGACGGTTTTACTCACGATGTAAGGAAGAAGATGAAGAGGAAGAGGAAGATGAGATATTGGGAGAAGTTGAAGAGGAGCTGTCTTCTGTCGCAATTACAGTCCCAGCAGTTAGGGAAAATGGAGAACTGGAAAATAGTTACATTTATTTCAAACTGCACACTCAAGCTCTTTGGCAAATAGAAATACCTAAGGTGGTTTTTTTTTAATGTGTAATTTTTCATTCCCAAAATGCATTCTTACCACGTGATAGAGTATTACACCCACAAACTGGGTGAGCTGGACGTAAGTTACTAGGTTGCCGTACTTCTTGATGTTGGGGAACACCACTGATATACCATAGTATGCGTACCTGCAACAAATTTTACATTACAGTCAAAAGTAAAAACTACTAGAGACGATCATTCTGCACTTCAAAGTTTGATTTGTTAAGTGAAAGTGAAACATAAAACATGCACAGTGAAAGTGAAAGATAACACAGTTAAAGTGAAAGATAAGATAGTGAAAGTGAAAGATAACATACATGATGACATGAACGAGGCTGTTAGTAAGAGGTCCACACCAGCCACCATTACAAGGATAGAACCAAGTAGTGAACACGATGGTGGGGGTGATGGTGTGATGGTAAAGATGGAGCGTCATCTTCATACCCGGGTTCGCTACTCCTGCCATCACAAGGAAGAAGGTGTCTATGTACTCTACAAACTGAGAATGTTAATATCCGATTAATAAATATCAGTGCCATTAGTAGATAGATAAACTATAAAAATATAAATTATAATATATGATCATATATTATAATAATATGAATGACTAGAATGGTAAACCTTGCTGAAGTAAAATATCTTGAAGTACCACTCCATTCCATTGAACAGTTCCAAATTATCATCGCACTTAAAGGGGTTCACTTCACTTTTAGAGTTGATGTAGTTGTTAACTAACGCTCTGAAAGGTAACATAAAATAAAGAGCGCATTCTATAGCCTTGCCAACACTATGTTCCACCAACTTACCTACTATAAATTCTTGATCAGCAGCCAAACGGCAACACATAAGCCTTCTTCATTTCATAAACATTAAACAGTGATATCATTTCTAAGATGGGCACGGTGCCAAAAAGACAAAGCTCGATAACATACCGGCACACTCCGTAGAACACGTAAAAGGAGAATATGCTCATAAAGGTATTATAGATAAGCTTGGCGCTCCTCAGTTTGGCTGGCGGTTTATCCCTGAAATGTAATTCAACCGTAAGTGTGAAGAATACAAAAGAGCACCAGGGCATCCTGGTAACAGTACTTTCAGTTTTATCCTATGTCTAGCTCTAACCCTTTCAGTTAAACCGTACTGTGGCCCCTATTTCCTGACCAGTACATATATTCCAGGCTAGATTTATTATATTATAGCTACTTGTTAAACTTTTAGAGTAACAGTAATCTAGTCTCATCTGAGCCGATGAGTGTTTTTCTACAACGCACTGAATAAAAAGTAGTACTACTATACTACTACTTAGTATCTTACTATATGTAAAGCGAGACGATATATATATATCCGTACCATTTTACTGACACCACGACATCAACTTTAACACGACTTTCCGCAAAAACCGTAAAAGATATACAACTTAAACTTTTTTGACTGGTTCAAATGCTCTAATGGCCTTCAAATAAGCATGAAAAAATAAAAAATTGGCCAAGGAATAATAATTTTAGTGCCCAAAATGTGGACCCCCAATTAGTGGTGTCAAAAACGCGAATTAAATAGGTAATAATTATTTTAGTCTTTTGAGTCTTGACACCACTTTAGACGGGTTCCTGCTAGTATAAATAATGCGTCTGGAGAGTTCCCAACCACATACTCAAATTAAAGCGAAAATGGCATAAGTGGCATAGAATGAGAACTGTCATATGACATATCGATGGAGGAAAATAATTATTATACTGAGAACTAACATTTTGTGACTTTCAAGTGACGACAATAGAAGAATTACGTACAATCAATCAGTATTTTCCATAATGGCTATACTATGTCTGGCAAAACTTTTTCTCATATTGTAGAATGTAAAAGAAAATACATCATACGCCTTTCAACAGGAGAACAATGAGCGAACAATTAAAACGTTCAATGTACAGAAGAAAATGAAAGATCAGTGAGTGTATTATTAGGGGTGAAAGCTGAAACCGTTCCAAAAATGAACAATGTAGTTTAGCAGTCCGAAGCAGGACAGTAGCAAGTGTGCAGTATAGATAAGTTATTGATAAAACATATTGGGTGGTGAGTGGATTGGGCGAGTAATGAAACAAAATCAAACCTGAAGGCAAATAACTTTCCATGAAGTATTAATGGTTGTATACTGGCACCCCCCCCCCCCCCCCCCCCCCCCCGCCCCCCCGGCCCCCCCCCCCCCCCCCCCCCCCTCCGTACTGTATAACTGTATAACATCAAAATCTACACTCGGTTCTCAAGTTTTCTTAATCTTACGCTTATCGTACCATGAATATTACCTCACTAAATTAAAATCATTTTTGAACGAACCTCCTTTCGTATTTGAGAGCCACAAAGGCGGCTATATAGAACACCGCCATTAAAGCTAGCTCTTTTGGGTTCCTCTCCCACTTTTCCTCCATCAGTGTGGCCATCATTGTCATGCTTTAACAGGCTACTTCATTTGGTTCGGGGTTATATCTTTAATATACTGAGTAAAACATGTATTGTCATGTTCATAACTTGAATTCATCTTAAGTGATTTAGATATATATGAGATGTACGTGACCAAGAATGTTGTATGATCGGAATGATGGCTTGTTTTGACAAGTGTGCTAAACTTTAATAGTCAAGAAAATTCAAGAAAATGCATGATTGGATAAACAGGATCATTTAAAGAATTAATACATTTTATGTACATAGATATAGAATCGCAAAATATAGTCAATTTTCTTTCATTTATGATGTAATACATGAAATCGCTTTATTAAAACAAGCTAGAGTGATACCGGCACCTTATTTCACCAAGTTTTGCACATTTATAAGCACATGTTGTCAAATATGGACATATTAAAATTCAATGATACATATAATGTCGATGGCAGATCTAATAAAAACTTCAAATATATTACTTACTTCTTTACAACTTTAATTTGCAAAATAGACCAAATAAGGTGCAAGATATCTCTCAAAGTTATACATTTAAAACTAAATTACGGTTGCAACATCTTGTATAACTTTACATTTACAATCTTCGAATCAAACAGTTACATTTGGTTGTTGAGAAATCCAATATGGAGTTCTTACAACAATCAGCTGTTTGAAAATTATATTTGAAATCATAATTTAGATCATCCATATCTAATAATTAACAAGTTTTTTATAAAGTATTTTAAGTGAAATTAACTAAAACAACAAACAAAACATGAATCATCAAAGGCCAACGGTCAGGATTGAATGCAATAAATTAATAGAGAACATGAATAGTGGTTATTAAAAATCTTTGGAAGGTTGATATCTGAAAATTCAATATCTGAGGCAAAATAATTGTGTAAATCTGAGAGGAGTTATAATATGGGAGACAAGCAAACAAGCTGAATAGCATTAAGTTTAACGTACAGTTTTCTAGAGCTATTTGATTAAAATGTGTGGCGAATTAGAATATATACATTATACATATTTGAGTAGAATAATTATACCATGCCACTTCCCATTCTCATTTTTGACATTACTCAATCTGTATTAGCAGTTGCAGTCCAATTATCTCTTAGTAGTAGTTATGCCCATTTAGTTATATTCAGAATATTGTTAGTACATATGGTGCCATTTTTAATGGCATCTGTATGCCTAAATTCCAATAAGGATATCGCATGATAACATATGAAGACAGCAATAAAGACGCAAACATGCATAATCTGGTGGCTCTGAAAGAAGACATCAAACTTTCCAGGGGAAAATCTTTCAGGGACTTGAAGCATGTAAAGTGTTGTTCCTGATACATAAAAGCAACCCATCAAGATCATCCAGCCCAAAGAAGCTTGCTCCATGGCCTCACTCCACCCGTGCTTGATAGTGAAGTGCAGTCCAGGAACAACTGCAGTCAGTCCCATGGTCAGAAATACTCCTCCTCTCAGAGTCCTGTATTTGGGTTTATCAAACTCGCTCCATATGGTAACAATTGTACCTGCAATCCCAACAGCAATAAATGCAGCAGTGTAGATTACATAAACCAGTGGTCTACAGAATTGAGCATAGTACAGCCAAGGAAGATTAGATCCTACAATGAGTAGAGCTATACCCAAATAATCAAGTCTGCTGAATAACTTGAACATTTTCGGTGAATGATTAATAACTGTGTGAAACATGCAGCTGAACCCCATGCATAAAATCCCAGAAAGGAAAAATAGTGCATACACTATTTGCTCTGACCAATGCAGTTTGTGCAATCGTGCAGAGAAACAGTAAATTGCCAGACCAAGAGTCATCAAACTTCCGATAAGATGTGTCCAGATATTGCCAGTCTCTGAATGACACCTGAAAGCACTGAACATGCAGCCGGTGAAGCTATATATGGGAAGTCTGTGATGTGAGAGCAAGAATTTGTTATCTTTCAGCCACTCAGGCAAATTAGCATAAGAGACTATATTCTTTGACCATTTCCATTGCAAAGAAGTAAACTGGCGGAGTTTATTCCAAGTGTTTCCAGGTATTTCTTGCATCCACTCACCCCATGTTTGGTCTATGGCTAATTCAGATTCAAATTTTTTGTGTACATCAATTTTATTTTTCTGTTGAATTTCTGGTAGTTCAATAAATTGGTCCCCTGAAGTATCCTCACTGTCAGAACTTGCAGAAACAAGTATCACATCATGTAGAGAGATGGAATCATTATCTACTTGGATGTAGTCGGTTTCCATTGCAGTGATTCAGTTTACTTTACATCCAGCTGCTTCTCTCATGGTAATCAGGAAGCTTTTGTTACCTTCGGCAATACGCTGCAAACAGTACAGCTGTGATCTTACCTAAAAGATATTTAAGTAATAAATGATCAGGATTGGTACATGATCAATCTGAAACGAGATATAAAATTAGTAAAAGAATATGAATCATGAGTTTGTCCCAATATCATAGTCCAACGTACACTCCATCTAAAAAATTGAGCCTAAGGCTACAAGATAGTATGTTGTAGGGTCACTTGACAGGCCAGTGCATCAGTTAATCCCAGCTAAAGCAGAATACACCAGTTTATTTAAGGAATAAGGGCCATCCATAATTAGGTCCATCAGATATAGGGGGTTTTCGATTTTGCGACTCAAGTGGACAAATAGGGGAGGGGGTCTGATAAAAGCGATGTCCATATATTTCACATGTAATATTAAATTTTTATTTATTTATCTCTAGAAAAAAGGGGGGAACCCGACCCATGTAACTGAGACACCTTACAGCAAGTACACCAAAGCGGCTTTTACTTGCGAAAGGTGCATCAACTACCTGCCTAGTAATCTGAAGGAGTGTGTAACTTTTTTAGCCTGAGTGCACTCTCTTCAATGTAAGGGTCTCTAATCCATATGCTGCATCAAATTTTAATGTCCATCTCAGTCTTCCTGCACCATAAGTGAGAAACGAGAAGGAGAGATAAGAACTTTATTAAGATATTGTCAACAGACTAGCAGACCTCATAGCCAGAAACAGGAAGGAAAGGTATTGTGATTTGTGATGTGGTAAGGCGCAGTTATATCAGTCAAAGACCATTCCTCAGCTCTACACCCTGCATGAGAATGAGAGTAAAACCAGTACATGAACCGAGTGCTACAATTTAACGGGTGATACTCGTGAAATGTATTAGTTTCAAAGACCGTCGACGAGTCCAGCACGGCGCGCGTCTTGGTAGGTTATAGACCTACAAGCTACAGTTGGAGAAAGGGTCATTCGTCCCGCTTCTATTTACCACTACAGGAGCAATGACACCTGAGGCCCAACGTTCCATCAGGAGACTTGCTCTGTTGATAGCCACCAAGACCAAGGAGGACTACAGCCAGGTGATGTGTAACATCAGGAAACGCCTGAGAATGGACATTCTGAGGAGTGTGCTAGTAGCAGTAAGAGGTGTACGTGGGAAGGCAAAAAAGACATGGGCTGCCCTATATCGAATGTATACTTCTACCTGATCCCTCAGCAGAAGAGCTACGATAGATAAATGAGAGTTATTGCTCATTATGTATGATTGTACTCTGCCAATTGCATCACTTGATTTTATTTATTGACACTCTTTACATAAAATGTAAAATTATCCACCGATACATTCACGCCATAAAGCTTGCACTCAGCCCCAAATGGGATCAGCTCAATCAATTTATGATTTGATCAGAAACAAAAAGGTTGTGAATGCCAATAAAAATTATGCATCACATTTAATTGTGTGTTGTGCTCAGTGGCGTAACGAAAGCAGAATAGAATGGCCGCGCTGATATGATCCTGCTGTGCACCATTTTAGGGCGACGCCAAATCGTTGTTTGGATGTGGGACAATTTTTATAAACTTAACAGAGCTGAGGTACTAGCAATACTGCGCGTTTTGCTCTAGAAATACACTTTTTAGAAATTTTACCAGCGTATTCTCTAAAATCACTTGTCATACGTTGTACATTGTATGACCCGCCGCGCACGAATGCGCGGCTCCAGCTCCCCCAGTATCGTAAAAACGATACCGGGGATCACTATAGCGAAACGCCAATGGGGGTCACGACTTGGAGGACTTCGCCGCGCAAACTAGCATTCTTGCTTCGACTAGATTGTTGCTTTATAGAGCAACGATCTGGAAAGGTTGACATCGCCTTGTAGCGCGATGCACTACTGGGTCGCGCGCGCGCATCCAATAATGCATCCAATAATGCTTCTCGCAACCGTATGCAGATCGGCGAGATGCGAAGGATTGACATCGTGAATCAAACATCGCCTTGATTGACGATGTCAACGAACCCATCGAGATCGACAATGCGAAGCAAAAACGAGCTAAGTCAAGATAATTATGTTTGTAGTACTTGCGGCGCGGCGATAGTATCCCCTAAAGCAGTCAGTTTATTTAAGATAAGCCATCCATAATAGGTTGTTAGGGTTTCGTTGTTGACTCAGTGGACAATGAGGGTTGTACAGCGGTCCCATTATTAATGTAATATTAAATTTTATTTATTATCTCTAGAAAAAGGGGGACGACCACTGTAACTGAGACACTAAGCAGTAACCAAAGCGTTTTATGCGAAGTATCACTACCTGCTAGTAATCGAAGGATGGTACTTAGCTAGTGACCTCTTCAATGTAGTCTTAATCCTAATGCTACAAATTTAAATGTCCATTCAGTCTCTCACATTGGGGACGAGAAGGAGAGAGACTTATTAATTTGTCAACACTGAGATATGCGGGAGGGGGTATGTGATGTGTAAGGGCAGTTTTGTCAAGACATTCTTGTCGTTTAAAAGCCTGCATGAGAATGAGAGTAAAAACGGTACATGAATCGAGTGCTACAATTTAAATATGTGAAAGTATTTGTTTCAAACGTCGACTCCAGCACGCACTTTGATAGTATAACCAAGCTACTTGTGAGAAAGGGTATTGTCCCGTTATTACCATAGGAGCAGACACCTGAGCAACGTTTCACACTTGCTGTGGATACACACAAGACCTAGGATGACTACAGCAGGTGTGTGTATAACATCAGACACCTAGGTGGACTAGAGCATAAGATTACTGGAAGGCAAAAAGACTTTGCCTATATGACAGTAACTACTGATCCTTGAGCAGAGGCTAATATAATGAGTAGATGCTCATTTGTAGATGGCTTGCAATGATCACTTGATTTATATTTTACACTAATAAATATGTAAAATTATCACCGAACAATAAGCTTGCATCCAAAGGATCGTCAATCAATTTTGATTAAACAGAAAAAAAGGTGGGAATGCATAAACATGTATCATCACATTAGGCCAGGGCGAAACGAGGTAAGGCCGGTCCGCTGTGCGTTAAGGGTGATGTAAACTGTTATATATGGAGAGTAACTGAGGACGGAGGATTGAACTACAGTGTGAGGGAAGAGGACCATTTAGAGGCGGGATCTAATCGGTTTGGATGTGGAACATTAGAAAACTTAACAGAGTGAGGACTAGCAACTGCGCGTTGCTCTGGAAATAACTAGAATTTTAGCGTACCTATAAATCATGTACTACATACGTGATGACGCGCGCCGATGGCGGTCTGCTCCGTTGATAGCGCGATGCGTTATGTGGCGCGCGCGCACTATAGAGAGGTGTTAATGGCGAGATGCGTATGTCGCGGAGGAGATGATTGATGTCAATATGCTGTATCGTAAAACGATACAGGAGATCCTATAGCGAAACGCAATGGGGTACGGACTTTGAGGAGTCGCCCTTCGACGTCGACGCGTCGCTGCAAGAGATGTGCTTAGGGGCAATCGACTGGAAGGGTTATAATGGATTGATTGAAAGTCAACGAACATGAGATCACAAGTGCGAAGCAAAAAAATGCGAAGCAGAACGAGTGATTCACGATGTCAATCTTTCGCAGCTGGTGAGCACAGGTGGTGATACTCGCGATTGGTTGCGAGAAGAATTATTGATGCGCGGCGCGACCAGTGAGTGCATGCGCTACACAACAAGGATGTAGGTTATAGACTAACCAGGAGCGGCAGGATTGGACTAAGATGTTACGAGTACACCGTTAATTAGGGGAGGGGTGCAAGTGACTTTGGGCAGGGTGTATGATTGAACCTTACATATGAAGTATCTTAGTATGCTGAAGATGATAGTGAGTGTAGGAGGAGGAGTATAAGGTGGAATGTTAGAGTAGAGGAGACGAGGAGGAACATCTAAATGTTATTTCAATTTTGTTATTGTTATTGGCCTTTTTACAATTTGTATATGTGTAGTGACTCGCTTTATTAACTATTTGATCCGATGTCAAATCTTCGCATTCGCCATGAACATTGGGTTGCAAAAGATATATGCGCGCGCGACCCAGTAGTGCATCGCGCTACAAAACTAATTACAACACTACAAATCTATTACATTTATTGAGGACGTTACAGAAGGAATTAATTTAATGTAGTTTGAGTCCTCGCTCTCCTCACGTCCGAAAATGGCGTTTCTCTTGTCATGTCTCTAATATATCAGTGATTTAATCCATTATTATACATCGTTATAGCATATTAGATCGATTCGATCATCGCAAATACCATGTGCAGTGTGCGCACGATATGTGAGCCGCGCACAGACAAGTTGATTTCAGTATAGTGCAATTTCAAACGCGCGTTCCAGAAAGTCCATGAAAACACTCCTTCCCTAAGAACATCGGACTAGATTTTCCATTGGTAAAAGCGATTTTCTCTAAATCCCGGTATATTATGAGCTCGAACGTTTGTTTAATGACTTTTAGGAGTCCCTGTATGATTCTGCATCCCTAAAATGAGGATATAGTTTCTCCATGCTTTTAGGTACATATACAAAGAATGTGTTCATGATGGAATGTTTCTATCTGCAAAGAATATTACATTTATACAGCAGTTTTATTTATTTATCTTCAATTGAAAATTACAACCACCTCGAAATTCACAGTAAGAAAATCATTGTTTGACATCGTTTAGGTCACTTTTCATTGTCTCGAAAAGCACGTATAAAATTGTAGTAAAACTTATTAACCTTCAGCTTGATTGACAATTTCCAATACGTATAACATTCATAAATAAAACATAATCTAATTTACAATCGTGACTATCACCAAACCTATATGTTAATAAGAAAATAACCCATTTAACATTTCAGGAACTCTATTGTAATTTGTATTATATCTATTTTGTAACATGGTGTCCACTGTCCCCCCTCCCCCTACATGGTGGCATGCAAAATCAAATCGCAGGGTATCAACAAAATGAGTCGCCCTTTATTCGTAGTCAAATTGGCCCATAAAATATATCCAATAAACATGTCGAGCCTAGAAAGATTCCCCATTAATTTCTGATATAAAAATAGGTGTCAGTCCCACTCCTCCCAGTCACCATCATCGTCCTGAAAGGAAATTATATTCAGTTAAGTGAAAACATAATACATATCGTAACTTAATCAACAATTACTTATAAATATGATAAGGTATTTGATCCCAACCCAACACGCCACGGATTTGTATTAAAATATTCATCAACAGAAATACATCATAAGTAACGTACCATGCCTGATGCTGTTGGTTCGTCAACGTTGATGTTTTCCATCATTTGATCCAGTTCTTTTTCGAAATCTTCGTCATCTTGGACAGATGGGGGACGCTCCAACTCTACGACATTGAAACAATTAGATTAAACTAAAAGAGTGACTGTCTTCAACAAGTGTTCCAGATGTCAAATTTGTGCTATAACATGATCTGTAAAAAAACAGGCAGTTTAGCTCATAACTCTTGGTTTACACTACAAGATGAATATTATCATAGATAAGACACCCACCTCCGTGTTTAACAACGTCGTACGAGCCTTCCTCGGAGGAAACCTCAATTTTAGGATCAGTGGAGTCCGACATTACGGCGGATGAGGACTGCATCGATTCTGTTTCTTGTGTTTCCACAGTCTCTGGCTGTGATGCCTCAATTGTTTCTTGTGTCTCAACTGGTTCTTTTGCCTCAACTGTTTCTTGTGTCTCAACTGGTTCTTGTGTCTCAACTGTTTCTTGTGTCTCAACTGATTCTTTTGCCTCAACTATTTCTTGCGTTTTGACTGTCTCTGGCTTCAGTATCTCTTCTGTATCCTCTGCTTTTATTTCCACCTCTTCTTCGGTCACTAAATTAGTACTCTCTGATGTAAGGTCTTGTGGTGACTGAAAATATTTCAAATTACAAACTGATAAGTTATGCAACCTCTACCACCACATTTGTAAGTGATAATTATTATTATCAATGAATATTCAATTAATTACAATAAAAGCTACTATTTTAACCTTATCACCAGGAGTGACAGTTCCCTCGGTACAAGTCTCCACAGATACAGGCTGCTCAGTGATAATGTTAGCTCCGCTCCCTTCTATCGTCTCTTTACTTTCTTCAGAAGTACTGATCAGTTCGGGCGTTTCCTCCTCCTCGTCTTCATCATCACTCCATTTCAGTTCTTCTTCTGCTTCTTCGTTGTCTACCCTCGATAACAAGGCCTCGTGTCTTGCTTTTTCCTGGTTAAATGGCTGTTTTGTGTTAAAGTATTTAGAACTTGGTTTCGCAACATAATTTATCGATTATTTGAATAATTATCAGATGTTAAGCAGTAAAATCAGTACGATTACTTTATGCAGTGGCTGCTACTCACATAAATAATGTTTAACGTAGTTGAAACGTTATAATATGTACATATGTTACAAAAAGCTGCTTACCATGGAAAATAATTCGCTTCGGTAATAATAGATCTTCCAGAAGTTTGTGTAACTCAGTTCGGCTGGTACCTGAATGTTTGGAATATATTATGTGACGTTATTTACAGTAATACAATTAATTACAATACACGGTATATTGTACACACACTACACACTACACATTACACACTACACACACTGCTATCAGTGAAATGTGAATGGACACAAACTCCATGCGGAAATTATCACCGGTTTACACTATGTTACTAGGAGTCCGAGTGGGTATTATTCATCACAAACCTACTGACTTATATAATATCACATTTCATTATGTTAGTTTGATTTGAAAACAAACTGTGTACCAGTAGCGTGTGTTAGTTTGATTTGAAAACAAAGTGTGTACCAGTAGCGTGTGTAAGTTTGATTTGAAAACAAAGTGTGTACCAGTAGCGTGTGTAAGTTTGATTTGAAAACAAAGTGTGTACCAGTTGCGTGTGTAAGTTTGATTTGAAAACAAAGTGTGTACCAGTTGCGTGTGTTAGTTTGATTTGAAAACAAAGTGTGTACCAGTAGCGTGTGTTAGTTTGATTTGAAAACGAAGTTTGTACCAGTAGAGTGTGTTAGTTTGATTTGAAAGCAAAGTGTGTACCAGTAGCGTGTGTAAGTTTGATTTGAAAACAAAGTGTGTACCAGTAGCGTATGTAAGTTTGATTTGAAAACAAAGTGTGTACCAGTAGCGTATGTAAGTTTGATTTGAAAACAAAGTGTGTACCAGTAGCGTGTGTAAGTCTCTGAGTTTCTGATTGTCGACAAGCAGGCGGCTTATTTCATGGGTGTGGTCCTCCAGAGTAAAGGTAGTGCTCCATTCCTTGTAGTGGTCGTCTGAAGAGGAGAGCATGTTTAGAAGAGTTGTCAATATTAATCGGTATAAATCTCAGACAAGTTCTGCGCTGGGCAGATTTAAAATCAATGTTTCGTATCATGACAGTCAATTTCTTTTCCACATACAATGGAACTGGGAAACCTTATTTACAACGAATGAAATATATCAAAAAACCTGTTTTGTGACTGAGATACGTATCCTGGGAGGTATGTATGGCATTTATCCTATCTTCTCCGTATCTAGATACATACTCCACGTGTTCCGGTTCGGGGGCCAGGTAGTCGGACACGTTCCCCAGCATTGTAGCCACGGAGTCTGTAAGTGACCCATACTGTGCGTGTGGCTGTAAGACAGTCGTATTATGTCAGGGTTTATTGGATTAGGATTACGTCATAATTATGAGTGTTTAGTGAGTGTTTGCGGCATATTATAATACTAGTCATTATCTAGATCAGTAATGTTATAAGATAATGAGGATCTGTGGTAAGTTTTAAAATAAAATACGATTGTTATAAAATTGTGGAGGGTCAAAGTTTTACCTGAAGCTTGTGTTTGAGTGCAGAGGCGGAGGGGGCTATAATATCATGTGTTAGGGACGCCTTTACTTCATTGAAGTCGTTTGCTGTAAACTCGTACACATAAGAACCCTGAATAGAATATAGAATAATAATAAAGTAATCTGCTGTCAATATAAATTCTTGTTTCTTTACAGGGCACATTTAAAATTAGTACAATTTGAGGAAGTGTTTCTTACGGTTTCTTTTGCTTTGTTCCAGAAAGAGCCTACACCACTGGTCAAATTACTGGTCAAATTACTGGTCAGGTTACTGGTCAAGTTGGTAGGTAAGTTGCCGGACAAGTTACTGGCGACACTGGAACCTAGTCCCCACCAACTGGAGCTGCTCGTCCCCGACTCTTCCGACATCTCATAGCTAAAGAGGAGTTCAGGGTTAGGGATGTGGTGGATCTGGGATGTTTTAGCAAATTCGATGTGGATTTCGGTCTGGTAATTGGTCATGTATTTGGAGCCGAATGGACTGAGTTTTGACATTTCGATTAATTTTTAATGAATGTTAAAACGTTACAAAAGTTGAAAATATAAATATTTACTAAGCTAATATATGCTAAGTGAACTAAATTATTCAGTTAATTCTCTCAAATTAATAAGTTACCTGTCTAAAACACTTAAACATCTTTAATATTAAAGTCATTCCAATTTTCTAAGTGATTTACTAAAAAGCACCCTATTTCGACCCATTTGCTTAGACTTACTATTGCTACCAAATTTTCAAAGCACTTCAGCGAGGCTTTTAAATGTTTCACAAATTCTTTGTTCTCCTCAAACTCGAAATTTACCAGGTTTTCTACATGCTTGGTCGAACTGTACATGTAAGTCCGAGTGAGAGCGAGATATTTATTGAAATATGGGAGGGCTCCAATCAGAGTGCTAAAGTTTTGTCTTTGTCTGGACCGCAGTTTTCTATCCTTAAAAAGCTCAAATTTAGTGGCTGCAACAATAGCCAGCTCCGAGGAAAATGTATTTATCTTCTTTAGAATTTCTAAAAGAAGAGAAAAGTATTTAGCTTTAGCTAGACCTATGAATAATGGCACCTGTGGTTGTGATACAGAGACCTTCTGTAAAGAGTTGATAACTTCGTGCAACTTCTCCACAAATCCTACCTTCTTTTCTTCAATGCCAAAGTTTACTACCTCTTGAATAAAGCCAGTCAGCTTTTCTGCAGTAGTTTCGATATTTTTAATGATCTCTAACATCATGGAAAAGGGATGAAACCGATGATGATAACTATCATAATAACAAGCAAGATCATTACAAGGCTTCTGGACAGCTTTATCACAAAATCTAGCCAAGATGGAGAAAGTAAGATGAAAGAGATGACGAGCAACAGTTAAATTAACAGTATCACACTCACAGTGACTCAGCTTATCTCTCAGTCTCAACCCCTCCCCGTGGACAAAAAGATCCAGAAGAGCATAGAACGTTCCAGAACCTAGAATGGGAATCAAAACGTTCTCCGAAACATCTGATTGATTTTTAGAGTACATCGAAGAGTAATAGCTAGCACCTGGTCTTGCAACATCAGAGGGTATGACAGGGGAGAATATCTCGTCCAATGTGATATAAAACTTAGTATTCTGAGCACTGCACCTTGTTACATCTGAGTCTGATGCAACAACCCACAACCTCCTCAGACAGTGCTGAAGCAGCACTACATTTATACTCACTAACATGGGGGTATCTCCACAGGGTGGTGAACCTCTTGAGTTCTGTAAAAAAATCAACCACAGTTTCTTCTGATTTGGATGAATAAGGGCAGAGTTTTCGAGAATTGATTCACAAGTAGAGAAGGGAATTCCAGGAATTACAGACAGGTTAGGAATTTCTGGAATGAAAGCAGAGGTCCTAGCTTTGAAGACGTTATTGGAGAGCCGAGAACTTATAGTTAACACAGAGCAGAACAGAAGAGAGCAGAGTTCCTGAGGGATGTTTGAAGGAGATATAAACCCGTGCCAGGTAAGATTCTTCAGATTAAACCCCTTAACACAGCCCAATAAACACTGCAGAACAAGAACCATATCATTTCCTAAAATACACCTTACTTTATCAGATTGAAGATTATCTTTTAGTTGGAGTCGACGATCAACCAGGCAGCTGATAACCCATTCTAGTTTAGCGGTGACAACTATCAACCCAAATATCCGGTCAACACCACTCTCGCTGCACAATAAGGATAGGTTTGTTGAGGACCAGATTGAGTCGTGGAACTCAGACATTTCAAGTGGTAATGATGACTCCATTCGAGAGGTAAGAGCGATGTGACTTTCAATAGCAAGATGTTTGCAGAGCGGCAACAGATGAGTTACTTGCTCGTTCAAGTCAGGCTTATCGGACTGTAAAACACTATCAATTGAGGAGCGGAGTGAAGATCCAATAAATGTTAATGCTTTGAAGTCCACGAATTGAGATGGAGTACCGTTAAATGAAATTTGTTCTGTATTGTAATCAATGTTCATGATCTTTATGATAGCATCACAAAACAACGGCGCATCTAGGCTCTTCAGTCGGGAGTTGTGAACTTTCTCATATCCCTCCGCAGGCAGTCGGGAGTCGGGATCTTTCTCATATTCCTCCTTACTCTCTAATTCAACTGTATCCGTCATGGTGGATTATCATAGAACCTAACCTAAACAAGTTCGTGATCACGTGATCTTATGAGATTGCTATAAGTCATCACATAAAGGATCCTCACAATCAGCAAAGACACTGTTCAAGTGTTCAACTTCCAGCTAACGGAAGGAATGCAATTAAATACTAAATGGCACAAGGTTACAGCAATTTAATAGGTAACCACAGCAATATCATAACCATAAAAGTGGGCCGAATGTCTTTAACGGTAAAGAATAATGAATGTAAAGTTGTATGTGGGGTCGGTTCTGTATTCCCAGTAAGTATATACATCACAAATTCAATAGTGGTATTTTATATGGTTAACAAAGGGTCACATTGCTCCTTCGATATCATTGAATTTGAAGAAACGTTAAAGGGTCACATCACAAAAATACCTCTACATCAAACACAAAACTCCTAAGAATATCAGACATCAAAATACTCAGAAAATTAAACATTGAAATACTAAGAATCGCCAAGAGTCTGTTTGGTATAGATTTCCTCGGGAATACCGTCGTGATGAGAGCAGTATCTTGCGGCAGTGAACAAATAATCCGACAATCTGTTTAGATATTTGAACACTGCGTCGATATCTCCCCTGTAATTAAAAACACGGGTCAAGTATTGCGAGCTTTATCTTTTACACTTTTAAAAGTTGTATTAATGTTATTGCAATTTAGATAAACATCATGCCCCGATACACGTTCCTAATTTACTAGTGTTTCATAACAATATCAGGTGCTACTTTGGAGAAGGAACAATAGAGTTACCCGTGCTGCTCAAGGAGCGGTACAATACTGCGCTCAGCAGCTCTGGCAAATGTTCTGGTCACGTGCAAATGGGCCGAGCATTCGCTTCCTGGAAATAGTATTATCTGATTACTGTTTGAGACACAATTGCCTTAAATTACACGATCTCTGCACAGACGTAATATTTATATTGGTATCAAACTGGAAAATGATGTCAGATTATAGATTTTAAGATACTTTAAAAACATGATAAATGCCCAAAATACTCTAATTATACAAGCGATTGAAAACTAATCACAGGAATACTAAACAATACTAACCGGAGGGTAGAATAAAATTAGTAAGAGGTGGAAGATGGCCAGTGTACGCGTCTATCTTACTCTCCAAATTTGAAATGTGTTCAGTTGAGAAGGATATGTTCTCCAGTTGTTGCGGAGTGGCACTGGCTCTAGGGGTGGCTATCACTGAGCCTGTAATGGTGGGAGTTTTAGAAAACTGTCAATATCTCGAGCAGGAGCAATAAGAAAGGAAGTCATGTAATCAGCGTCGTTATTAAAATAGTATTACTTTAGCAACTTACCAAGATCAAAGTAAATAGAGGTCGAAATGGACGTATAGTAAGTAAGACAGACTAGGTGTGGCACTTTATTGCGTTATACGAGATATTGTAGTACCGATAAAATCAGTTTAAACGACACATTTCAACTAACCTAAATCCTGTAGACACATTTCAACTAACCTAGATCCTGTAGATTGCACTGAATTGACTTGAGATCCTGTAAGATATCATCCTGCTGGCAGTGAACTCTTGAAAGCCCAATGTGCGAGGATAACGTGTCCACAGCTCCGAGGGCACCAAATATCACGTCATCTTTTGGTAACCTGGAAACTGTATTTCTATTATTGCATGACATGGTAGACAGTTGATAAAGTAGCATTGTGAAAGATAACAAGTAAGATTACCAGGAAAGTATTATATCTATAAAGTAAAGCAACCTACCGTTTACCAGTGTAGGTACTGGTTTTTCCTTTGTCGCCAGTCCTAGTGTATATCTTCATTGAGCGAGATGAAACGTAACTTGAGCATCTATTGACCACACTAAAACATCTTGCTGGATTCATGGCTATTGGCTACTCCTGAGAAATATTGAGTAAAATGAAAATTCCACTGATAGTAGTCAATAATTCAAAGTAACCACATAAAAAAATATTCAAATTCTTATCATGAAAGAGTATACAAAGTGGAACTCGAGAAATTTGTCAAGGTATTTCTGAAACTGCCATTAAAAACTAGATTAAAGAATACAATACGAAGATAAAACTTGATAAAGATACAACTTTTTCTTATTTACATTCAAATTAAAACCTTAACCTCTTGTTTCGGCTCTCAGAGTACAGCACGGACTCTGGAACAGTGAATCTGACACAAGTCATCCATGTTTTAGGAGCAGTCTTCCGGACGAGATGCACCTCTTCAGGAACAATGGTACAGCCTAGCTTGTCAGATATTGCGGCGATTGTAAATGCTTTAGGAGCTTCAATATCAGCAAAGTGATAACAGAAGACAGTCGGAGGTTTCATTCCTTCTTCCCGTTTTGAAAACAGTCCTACGAAAACATCCAAGAATTCGTAGGCAGAAGCTGGCAAGTTCATTAAGACAAAGTCAATTTGACCAGTGAAGTTTCTGATTAGTTCTCTGCCATCTTGATTGTAACAGGTTATATATTGAGATTTAATCTTATTTATTTCAATGTTTTTTAAAAGGTACTTGTATGATTCTGGGTTAAGATCATTGGCGTGAACATGACATTTCTTCTTTGCAAGAGGAAGTGCAAAAGGACCTATCCCACAGAACATGTCTAACACAGTTGAACCAACAGGAACCAGATCTGCAATTCTTCTATGTTCCGTTCCTAATCTTGAATTCCAGTACAACTTTGAAAAATCCATGCAATACTTCAACTTGTGTTCGATTGCAGTGGTGATCAAGTTATTTTCACCAGCCAATAATTCCATTTCAAAGTATCTATACTCCGCATGAATGGTATTTAATTTGTTTACCACAGTTTTAATGGATGGATTCTTGTCCAATATGACTTGTCCAATGATCGATTTGTAAGGTTGATGGCATTCTTTTAAATTCAAATGTGCGATATGACCAACTATTTCGAATCCCGATACCACTAAAGTGTCCTCAATTGAAGGAGGAAGTATGGCTCGGATTATTTGAGATGCTGACCAGTTTTTATAGGTTAACTTAACATCAACAGATCGTTCACTTATATCATTGTCAGCAAACGGAAGAGTTTGATTGTCGTCAAGAAGAATAAGTTTTCGTGAGCTGTCTTCTTCACACGGTTGAACAAAACGAGGTTTATGTTGCAAATGAGAAAATATTGAGTCAGTTCGGTCTATCAATTTCACAATTTCAGTACATCTCTTCACTGGAACTTCGATTGCACGACAAGTTATCGTCAAGTTGAATCTTTCCCGATCAAGAACACGTATGTCAGGACACGGATGTGGCTTGAGTTCGGGTGCGGTAATCGACTTTGAGTCTGCAGAAACCATATTACCCTATGAAGGTAATGGTGAACAGATAAGAATGGAATTTAATTCAATGGTCCGTGAACGGTCACGGTAACAATTTAGCTAAATTTATCAACACGCAATACACAAATACGACACGGTGTTTTGCGGGATGACAATTCAACGCTCGATTTTTCTTGCAGTATAAAGTTCTTTGCTTTCGCTTGCGCGGCGCGTAGAAGGAAAATGTTTAAGATATGGCTTAACTTCTAAAATTTGAACATAATACTGGGAGTACATACTGGAAGTACATAAAACAAACGTTTCGGTTTAATTTCATGCTACGACGTTACATTTAAATAGATAAGATTAAATTTTGACTTATATGTTTGGTAAACAATTTATAAGTTAATTTTGAAAATTAACAATTAACGGTTGTTTTTAATGTTTTAGTTTATGTGCAATGTGCCAAACATGGACCGGATGATCAAAATATTAATACCGATCAATAATTATTAATTTTATAAATTTTGGGTAATTTTCCTTTTCCGTAAAAATTGTACAACATAAAACAATAAAAACATATGATTAACATGTAAACAAGACAATGTTAACAGCACAATAAACATACATACAAACATAAACACGTTTTGAAAAAACACCAAAGCATAAGAACAATCTTAATCCGACTACTTAACCATTAGCATAGAATAAAATTTCAGGTCACACTTTATATTATGAATAGTTATATAACCAATAACGCAGGTACAAAAAGAAAATGTAGCATGAAAACGAAATAGCATCTTCGGATTTTAATGTGCCGCGCACTCGTATTAAAACATTGAGACAAAATATAGTCGCGTTGGATTGTTTCTACAACAACTCTATGGTCATTACGCGCAATTATGCGCGTTTTCAGGGCTTTTTTACTGAAAATCCACTCCCTAGTCCTTAACTTTGACGGTGAAGCACCAATCAGCTTCCTGTTCCATTGTAGCGTGTAACTTATCAGTTGTTTGTAACCCGACTTTAGAAAAATTTACGAGTTTTGCTGCTTTGAATATAGTTGAGTGGTATGCTTTTGCAATTGAACACACTTTCTGCAGTTTGCAGTTTGCAATTTGCAGCGCTCATAGCTACATCGGAGAGTTACAGGCAGTTGTAGTAACTAAGTCATGAACATATATATATTGCTTTTGTATTCCTCTTTGTTTCCTTAAGTATTTTTTGACTAAGCAGTTGTAGCTTTGGTAAATGTTTATTTCTTGGTAAGCTGACTGCTGAGGCACTTGTGCTTGTTGGCTGCTTTGCCGATATTTGTTCCGTCCTCCTTGTTAACAGCCAAACAGTTGAGATCGACGTTAGTTTTTTTTGCCGTAAATCATACTATGTTGAAGCATGTCTAATAAATTTTATAATTTCATTGAAAATGACCAAAAGTCATAATTGTTAGTCATAACTTAATATCGCTATAGCAGGGTGCATTCGCGGACCATATGAACCCTTAAGTTTGATGTTAGATATACAGATGACTGCCGATATCGAATCGGCGCCTGTCAAGGCTCCCATGGGGTTCGGTGCTCGTGCTAAGAGATTTGAAGTATGTGGCATACATCCTGGTAAAAAATATCCCGGCACATTTGTTCAAGTTTGTTATGACAAGAAGTCTATGGCTGAAGAAAACCGTCGGCTGGGACCTGGGTCATACAATATTGCACAGGGTGGATTTACTCACGACACCGTCAAAAAAAGATCCTCAGGACCTGGTTGGAAAGAAGGATACGAAGCGGAGATTCAAGCGAAAATGCCGCACCTCCTTAATCGGGAACAGTTTGAGAAGCAAAAAAGACAAAAAGAAAATCTTGGTCCTGGTACCTACAATTCCAAAGATATGTGGGAGGAGCTTGACTCACGGCCAAAAAGCTTACATGGCATCTGCTCGACTCTTGAACCTAGGTTTGCCCCGACATCACGAGATCCTCCTAGAAACTTTGTAATTCCCGGCCCAGGGACATACGGAAGCGGTGGAATTCCTGGTAAACTTCTGGAAGATAAAGAAAAAGAGAGAACGAGCACCGTGATAATGAGAGCATCTGACAGTAAACCAAGGATGCTCCCTCAAGTTGGGTGTGATCTTGGCCCCGGACAGTATGAGTACAAGAGCTTTACCCAGAACCTCATTGAGAAAGTTACAAGCAAAAAGGGGCCTTACGATTTATTTAATGTCTCTCGTTCTAAGCCAATAAACACAGGGTATTATGCTCAACCCTCTCGTATGAATCTGGGACCTGGCCAGTACCCAACCACGTCTTTCACTGACAAATGGAATGACCCTTACTGGTACAAGAAAGGAAAGTTTGGTAAGTTAGAGCACTATCCGTTTGCTCCCACAGAACGTGTTTATTGCAGCACATTGTCTCAATGTCCACGTCGTTCCACTGATCCTGGGCCAGGAACGTACGATATCGCAGAGATGAGCGGTGTTAAGCATATCACAAAACCTAAAGTTGGATTTAACATGTCTTCTGAGCGCATCGACCGGCGAGCTCGCACTTTCTTCATGGGACCAGCTGGAGGGAACCCGTGTGGAGTTGGGCGCTACGAGATAGAGAAGTCTAACAACAGTCTACAGAAGGGCTGCACTGGGCATGTGTCTTCATTCAAATCTAAGACACAAAGATACGGTGCAACTGGTATGGCTTCTAGAGACCTGATGTTGCAGGAAAGAATGAGAGAAAAAGATGTTCCTCTCAGTACTAAACAGTTCATTCATCCTGCATTTCAATGACTTTAACTAACTTTTGTGGTGGTTTAGATCTTAAAATTAGAGAATGGATGAGCTCTTATGAGTGCTGCTTAGATGAGCATTTTGATATTTCGATCGGTTAAAACGATGAAAACTTGTTCCACCCTAACATCTTAGGGTTACTATATTTTCTTTTCTGCAGATCATAGATTTTCATATGTTATCATATATAATTTTCATTACTACCTCATGATTTTCAACAACTGTAACTCTGAGAAAAATTGTATAAAGCTCATCATTCGGTTTTTGGCATGAGTGCAAAAATGTTTATACCACTTGTTTTTTCCTCAGTGATGCATGTGTCGATGGTTGTGCAGTAATTTTGAAAATTCTGTGAACAGAAATCTAGATTTTTGTTATGTATAACGTAGCAGCTATAGATTTTATCTATATGTTATGTATGTAATCATGGCGTGATAACAAGGGTATACTTACTTTGTGGGATTTTGTAGATTATTATATCCGGTCTTTCTTCTTTAATAAGTTATTGAAAGTTTCTCTTATCATTTCTATTGATTGTATGTAGTATCATCTGTAAATAATGATGTAGATTTCGTTTTTATGAGCCGATTTAGTTTTGAAATGAATATTAAAATGTTTTAATGATGCATGCGAGCAAGTTCGGTTTGAATTTGTAGAAAATCTAATTTATCATCTGCATGCACTGAATAAGATGGAATGAATATGTAGAATGTAATGATCTTGATTGATGGCTCTTCAAAAGTTTTAAAGGATTTTACTGCAAAATATATTGGTATTGTTTTACTGTGTCATATCGTCACTTTAATTATCCTAATTTTGTTTTGAAGAAGCTATAAAATTGATGATCAAATGATACAAATTGTTGTTTGTTCATAGTAAGGTTCTTAGAAGATTGTATGAAATAAGTTGTATTCAAATTATGAACACCTTTACAAATCACAGTTTTTAATACTGAACCCTCACTAGATGGCACACAATAGAGTGAAAGTAGTGGTGAGGGTGAGACCCACTAATAACTTCGCTCATAACTACATAGAGATTTTAGAGGACAGCAAGGTTGTAGTGCACTCTAACAAACATCCCATCGGACACATCAATAACCAGGTACATTACTAAACATATTTGATTAATTAAAACATTTTTTATCAAGTAATTTAGTATTTTTTGTCAACTTTATCTAATTTTGTGGTCAAGTTTGAATAGTGATAGAGTTTCTATTGATGAATTTATTTTGATAACACTTCTTGTTGATATTTGTGGTGATTTGGGATTAGCTCGCACTGCTTGAAGAATATATTTGTTTGTCAGAGCCGTCCAACAAGTCACACTCATGTGCAACTTTTCAATCCAATATTATCTGCTTGTTAATACCGCTCCACGAAGCGTCAACTGGCCATTCATCGTGTGATAACGTAGTGTGTTCTACTAGCTGATATTTTAGCAATCAATTTGAAAATGTTCATATATAATAATATATGCCATGCACGTCATGTCAAGTGAGAATATTGCATGATATCACTGTAATGCCACTGTATAAGAATTGACCACATGCCATAAAGCTATTTAAACTGTGTCCTCCTATTCAGGTGTCAGACTGGAGCTTTCCAATGGACAGGGTTTTCCACAATGCTGCCCAGGACTCTGTTTACAACGACTGTGTCTCACAAATAGTAGACAAAGCTCTCGACGGTAAAAACCTTTCTTTAGATAAGTCCTGATGTGTATATTGTAGTATAGTATAACGGTCTCAGAAACATATCTATTCACGTGACTCTACTCATTTGCGCTGCTTCGAAGAGTACTTCAAATTCCACCACATAGATTTCCAGCTTATTGACCAAAAAACCTCCTCTTATAATAACAATTGTTGCAGGTTATAACGGTACAGTCATGGCGTACGGTCAGACCGGAGCCGGTAAAACCTTTACCATAACCGGATCAACTGAGAACTTCCAAGAAAGAGGAATGATACCACGTGCACTGTCCCACCTGTATCAGTCTATCAACTCCATGATAGAACATTCCGTTATAGTAAGGTTCGTTATCTTTTGCGTGGCAATATCTTTTGTGTGGCAATATAATGTGGCAATATATGTGATAGTTCGTGACGTCTTTTCGGGGGAATGTGACAAAATCTTGGAGCAATTTCTATGACTTATTTAATATCTGCATTTTCAATCTTGTTTAATTGTTGCAAAAATCTTCATAATAAGAGAATATGCCCTTAGGGTATCTTACATGGAGATTTATAACGAGATTCTGACTGATCTATTAGCCGATGAGAACGAAGAACCAAAAACACTCACTATATCCGAGGTAAGTTTCAGCTGGGCCAGGCCTTATTTTGTGTTACCGAATTGCAGAGAAATTTACCATCTGCAACTTGATACATGCAATTCTGCAGCACTTGTTGATTTTATTAGGAAATTGCTACTCACTTGTTCTCAACGTATTATACCGAGGTATTTAAGAGCGAAAATCACAAAGTTAATTACTGAATTGGGGCTAATTTAGGTTGTATAAGATTAGGTTGGAAAGAGTTATGATTTCATCTAAATTGCACTGCATAACAGGACGCTGGATTGACAGTAGTAAAGGGACTGAACGTGAGGTTAGCTGACAACGAGGAAGAAGCGCTGAATCTGCTGTTTGAGGGTGAGACAAACAGGGTTATAGCAGAACATGCTCTCAATCACGCCAGTTCACGGTCTCACTGTGTCTTTACTGTTCACATAGAGGTTAGAAGGATTTGTACTTATTTTACATATTTTATTTTATATCATGTGTTTCATGTTAGCTTCGTTAGTTTCATGATCTCTACGAATCATCGCATGCCTAAGACTGTTTTATTTTCTGATAGGTTTATTGTATTATTTGCTGGTCTATGTAAAATTAAATATTGTATACTATACCATGTATAGTGTATATTGTATATTGTATACTGTATGTACTGTTTAGTGCTGTTTATATTATACCTCTGGTAATACAACTTATACCGTGACTAAACTGTGCGAAATTTCAGAGTCGTTCCAGAACCCAGTCTTCATCTAATTTCACCTTATCAAAACTTAACTTCGTGGACTTGGCCGGTTCAGAGAGACTTGGCAAAACTAAGGTATGTTTTATCTAGTAATTTTTCATTTAGGATAACATCATTAACATAATATTAGAATGAAATGTGGATTGTGATTGTGTTTGTGTCAAACTAACTATTAAATATTGTTAAACTATCAGCTTACTTTGAAGGGGATACATTTCAGTGTATGTGTTATTTAGGTAACCAACACAATTCAATCTATAACATTAGCGTACGTGTGATATTAAAAACAAACAATCTGTTGCCTGACGAATATTTATGTTTTCAGAGCGAAGGTCTGACTAAAAAAGAAGCGATGTACATCAACCAATCATTGACTTTCCTGGAGCAGGTGAGGCCGCTTATTTGTTACGAACTATAAACTAATAAATAGTTTTCTGTCATTTGGAGTGCGCTATATGCAACTAGTATAGACATTCTAGGTGTGATATTTTGCAGCTGGTATACAGCTGTCTGCACAACCCCACAAAGTTAAGTGTGGCCCAGTGGCCAGTGCCCACACCTTCTTAACTTGAGCTACTGTAAACTTTGGTATCTGGTAACACTTTGTTACTATGGTACCGGGATAATCCAACACATTACAGTTGAATAGAGACACCATTCTGTTGAGTGTTCTTGTCATGACAATACTTATCATATGCTATCATAGAACATAGAATGTAGCATAGATAATATATGTCCAATTACTTAAACAAGAAGTCAATGGTTTTTAGCCATTTGTTATCACTCCTGAGTCCGGGGATGGATAGGGTATACCCACAAATAAACACTGATCGAAACATGCACTCTATATTTATGAGCTTTCAAGTGATAACTAAAAAACTAGTCTCCTAAATATTGAACACTATGTAATGGGATTTATTTAACCGGTTTTAAGTTGCTATAATTTCTGTAGATCAGATACCAATCATGGGCTTTGTTTAAAGTAATAGGTCTATGAAACCAGTGGCTAAAATAAGAAATCTCAAACGTATAGAGTAATAGAGGAAGAATCCGTACAACCGAAAGAGTCCCGGACAGTCTCTCTGACTGCCTTTAAATACTACTATTCACGTGACACATATGCCGGTCACGTCATAAGATCTTAAACTAATATCATCAAAAAGCAGTTTGCTCCATACCCCTTAGTCTCTAGCTTTGTTATCAAAACACGTGATTCGATCACGTGATGTTATCTCATTTTAAACAGGGTTTATTTGTTTAATTACGTAAAGTATGATAAAGTATTAACACAGCACTATTTATGAAATATAAATAGTTGACACCCGTATCAGGTGATAATAGCGGTGGCGGATAGGAAGCGAGAACACGTGCCGTTCCGACAAAGCAAACTAACACACGTTCTGAAGGACTCAATCGGAGGAAATTGCAACACCGTTATGATAGCTAACATCTGGGGGGAGGCTGCTCAACTTGAAGAAACTGTGAGTATTTGACATGTGCAGTCTACTGTAACTTTTTAGTTTTTAGAATCACCATACTCGCCCTCTTTTATCCTAGTTAGTTTTCTATCCTTTGAAACCCAACCCTGGTTAGCGCCTACAATATGACGCTCACACAAATATGGTTTTATACTGTACAACTTCAATGTCCATTCAAATCATAATGGTTTTTTCATACTTTTTCTTACAAATAACTCCACAGATTTCAACTCTGAGATTTGGTACCAGAATGATGTGTGTTGCTAACGAGCCTCTACAAAACGTTCACTTCGATCCTGTGGTAAGTTGGACTCCTTGCTACGTTATTTATACACATAAACAGGCTTTAAACGATGGATAGCTTCTTCCGCAAACTTAAGCCCAGGTCCTATAGCCATAGGAACATTATAGACTGTAGAGTGTAGAGTCATATATCGTTATCTGGCTGATAAATAACTGAGCACTTAATTGCTCAATAGTGCCTCCGCTTACATTGCTTTGGTATTTGCTTTTAAGTTTGGTTTACCCAGTCTCACAATGCTACACGATTTTGTTACCGGCCAGATAAGAAAAGTTATCAACGATTATGACGTACGAATTTATTAAATTAGATAATAAATTAGTCTTTTAGCTATTAGTAATTGTATTGAGAAATATTTTGTTGGTTATCACTAATCAGGTTCATTACATTTCATTTTACCTATAACTTCCCGTCTTTCAGCTGCTGGTTAAAGAATACGAGCAAGAGATTAAGTCGCTGAAGATGGAGCTTGCCATGCACGACACTTTAGTATGCTCCTTAATTTACTAATTTTAAACTCCACTGCACTCGAGCCGGTACATTGCATGACTAAGTCTAATTTACTTTTTGCACTACCGTATCATCAATCATAGTCTAGACTTAAAGCCGAATAAACATTAACTTTGTAGGCAAACAGAAGCAATGTTTCTTACGAAACGTACACGGAGTCTCAGCAATATGATCTGCAGCAGATGATAAGGAGATATATATCAGGAAGTCTGACTGATATAGAGATTGTAAACCTTAGACAGGTGGGTCGAAAATCTTAAACTTTTTAGTTTTTTTAGTTTAAATGTCTAGAGTTTATGATGAGATGCATGAATCTCAAGGGAATAGATATTAGATATGTACAGTGTGTACGAACAATCCGATGACATCTTTTCCAAACACTCACATTTTTACAGGTTAAGGAGATTTTCAAACAGTTTAGGACGATCGTTCTTAGTCAAGAGAAGGAGATAGAGGCGAGAATGATTCAGAAATATAATATTGACTTGACCGCAGATGGCAGCAAAAGCTCAAGGGTAAGATTTTACCTGTTTGTTCGAAAAGTCCGTGGGTTAAAAACGAATAATTTAGAATTGCAGCCTTTTAACTTGGAGGCACATCTATGAACATTAGCCAAAATTCATCGAATTGTAAAACTTTTTTCATTGTGCCGTTTGTATCCATTTTGATTTAACGTTAGGAATCACATGTGCTGTGTTCGCGAACAAAAAATAACACGAACACGATTTAAGCCCCCATAATTTTGAGATTTTAAAAAGTGTTGGAAATAGAGTAATTACCTGCGAGAGACAGAAATGACCAGCGATGTCTAACTGTCCAAATTGCAGTCATTCCCTCAGTTCTAATATATTTCGCGCATATTATTATTTATTATATTGTGTTCTGGGCACCAAATGAGCGCTGTAAGCCTGTGCTGCATCGCCTCGAATAGTGTCCTCGATATTTGTGACCATTTTGTGACCATTAAGATGCTTACTAATAAGGGCTTTCATAAACTTCATGATCGATTTACTATATTGAAACCACAAGACATGCATAAAGCGGTATTTTGCACAATATTTATTAAACTTCGTTCATTTTGTTTATTTTCGATCATTATAGCTCATATTACTCATTTAGATTTTTGCGACCACATCGGGATTAATACTAAGTGGCACAAGTAGAATTTAAGTGTATCCCACGCAATCGGCTCAAAAAGGGCATAAATTGAGCATGATCAAAATCTATGCCAAATCAATCAAATAATAATGAAATACTGATAGTTGGATAATATCCGATTGGAGGAGACAAGGACAAATGAAACAGGAAGTTAGGAATGTAGGCAAATTTTCGGCGTCGACGCCATTTTCAGGCTCAATAAATTATTTTCCCAACTACAATTAAATACATTTATTGAGCCTGAAGATGGCGTTGACGCCGAAAATTTTCCGACTATCAGTATTTCAATCGACTAATAAACAGCGAACTACTCCATCATTTGAAATAATAATGACACAAACATCATCAAGAATATTTCTACAAAAACTCACAAATTAAAATAGAATATTAGGTACAAAAGTCCCAATAAAATGTAATTCTTGACGTTCGGAGGAAGTTTGTTCCCATATGGTCGAACTCTCTCCGGAAGAAAGAACTTGTGGAGATTCTTGATCCTATTACTGCATCGACCTAAAACCGATCCAAAATGAAACCATGGCGAACAATCCAAAATTATATATAAGATACTAGGATCTATTAGATGTCAATCTAGAATATTACCTAGTAATATTCTGAGTTATGCACATATAATAGAACATTTTTTATTGTCTTGAATTGTGACTTAATGGAAAATTATCCTTAACAAGTATCTGGAGGAGTTGTTCTAGCAAAATTGTAAGCGAAATTGTAAGAATGTCGGCCCGGTTTATTTTTCAGAATTGTAAGCAATTGTCGCCCCAGTGGCAATATCATCGCCTCGCATGCAGGAGGTCTGGGTGCGAATTCGGTCGCAAGCGCTATTTTTCATCCGAACTGTAACAATGTAATGCTGAAATCTTATTAGTCATATTTGAGCCATGTCGGTAAATTGCTTGCCTGGACTATGAAAGTTTATCAGTTCAACATTTGGTTGTCGAAAATGTTTCAAATGAAACATTTTCGACAACCAAATGTTGAACTGATGATGATCATCAGCGCCAAAATCTCATTAAACTGCAGGTGAGAGGTGTTCTGGCGAGATTGTAACATTTGCGCACGGACCTAACTTATGCGCCAATTTCTATCTGAACTGGGGCGACATTCGCTTACAATTCCGAGAAGAAAACATCTACTGGGGTCTGGGAGGATCTAATAAATACCTTGGTACCAAATATTGTACCGATTTCGAGATATTTTCTTGTGTTTGAAGTGATATCTCAAGTTTGGCACATAGAAATTCGCCCAAACTCGCACAGATTGTTCCTATTATAGTTATCTTACTATCTGGAAAGTTTAAAGAAAATGTACCACTAAGATATCGAGATAAATGCCTTCTGTTGCTTTGCGCATATTTGGCAGCCGCGAAGAGATTCTAATGAACAAATCTTGTTTCACGTTGCTATGTTTTGCTTCGTATCGACACCGCGCATCATAACGCGTCGTAACAGCTAGCTGAAGGATATTATCAGAAAACGCATGCATACATGTGAAGCGATTCCGGTACAATAGTTATTGCAATAAGTCTTAAACACGGTTCACAAGTATGTATCTGTCTCTTCAACGAACTTTTAGAATGTTTAGGATACAAATGTGCGTATAAAAGCCCACGCAGACAAAAACCCACTCGAAGAAAATAAACCCCACAACGATTAAACATACATATTTTACATACATTCTGAGCACTTAAGTTCAATTTTCCTCAGAGGGGATCAGACGCTGACGGTGGAGTTGGTGAAACAGATGGCACTGGTTTCGGTCTCGGTGTAGCCCCTCCCACTGCCAAGCTGGAGAAGGCAGCAGTTGTTGAAACCAGGAAGCTCAAGTCTCGCAAGACTCCCAAAGAAAGGGTTGGGTCAGGAGGTAAGAAATCCTCTCAACCTCCATCGCCACAGGAAGAAGTTCCAGAACTCCCTCCACCCATCACTCCCGCTCTCAGTTCCATACCGCCTCTACATCCACCCAGGTAATGTAGTAACACAGAGCATTTGGATGCTCACCATTTCATGAATTATTTATAATTTGCATTTTCAATACTTCTTCATCATATGCAGGTGGAAGTTTTACGCCGTTGGCTATGTTCCAAATCACATCTACTTCATTTATCATTAACTCGTCAACTTCTCCTCACGCTCCCACCCATTCCACCCACAGCACAGCTCAAACTCTTCACAAAGATTACTGTTCAAAACGCCAATCAACCGGAATCACCACCAACAGCTCTTCAGTAAAGTTTAATAAATATTCCAGCTCACCCCCTACTAAAGCTGATGCATTTGAAGAGTTCAAACGGGAGCGTGGCAGTGAAATCAACAGAATATTCGTTGAGAATAAAAGTTAGTTTCAAGTTTCGACGAAACTGATGTTCTATGTTCTTTTGAAATAGTATATAGTAACTCTATATATTAATTGCAATTGGTTGCTGCTATGTTATGTTCCTGTCAAATTAATCATGTAAAACTTAACCTTCATAGAAACTCTCGGGGATAAGAAGCGAAGTGCTAAAGAATTGGCAGCAGTTATTAATAAATCGAAGAAAAAGATAGACTCAACTGCATCTCTCCTTGCAAACATGAGGGCTGAACGTATTGCTGAAGGTAGATAACTAGAACTGTATTCTTTAAAACATTGTTAAGTTGAGGCATGGATCCTAAAATGTGTACCTAAACCAATCATCAAAGATACGATAGATTTGTATAAATTTGAATATTGAATGTTGATTTTATGTCCTTTTTCAGAGGGAGAAGCTGCTGAGAACGTATACGAAGAAGAGGAGTTCAAACTGTTGACTGAACTTAAAGAGGTTAGATCATAATTCTGATTTATAATGGATTTGAAAGCTCCATGCATGACTTTTTAAATATGGGATAAATTTTTTTTCGTTTGTGACTCCAAAGTACTTTCTCCAAATTACGGCACCTAACACTAGTATTAACATCTTCACCCATTCAGCTGAAAAAAGGATACAAAGAAAACCACGGGGAGTTGAAGAGTGTACAATCGGACATATCGTACTGTCAGAGACTGGTAGACCAGGCCAGACAGAGATTAGTGCAAGAGTTTGATATGTGGTATCTGGAGTCGTTTGTTCAGCTTGGAGATCAGACCAGACCTAGCACCACAACTGCTCCTCTGACTGCCATGGCTCCGTCACCTTCACCACAAACTGTGAGTCTTCCTGATGTTTAAATAAACGACCAATACAAAAAAGCCCCTGTTCATGCGACGATTTTGCTACAGAAACAAATTCTATGATTTAAAAAAACTAAACAGCGAAAAACTTCATCGAGGTTAATAACAGTAATATTATACTACTATATTACTAATATATGATCAAATTCAGTCTGATTTCAGTTTCTTCTGTATAAACCAACCACAAAACTTAAAAGATGTCCTCATTAATATAAAAAGAAAACAACCCAAAACAACTAAAATTATCGTTAAAAGACCTAAAATATCCAAATTGTAAACTTGTATCACACTCTGTTTCATGATAACTTTATTTTTCAAATAATCCGCATTCCCAAATTTTAACAAATAGTTGCAGTAAAACAGAACTGCTTGTTTTGAACCATTCGGATCATCAAGAACTGCTGATGCTGATCGAGCTAAGTTCGCTTTAATGTCATCCCATTGCTCAAGAACGTTCTTGACCGAATTACTGGAAGTTTCCTCAGACATTTCCTCTCTCATGAGCATAGCACCGAACTGGTTTCTTACCACGGATACAGAGTTTGAGAACTGATCCGCAAATAGTGGGACACATAGCATGGGCACTTGGTACAACACACCCTGAATCCTCTGCTTGTTCCCACATTGGCAAATAAAGAGGGATACCATTCCACTGCCCAAGATATTTTCAACGGGCAAATTTGCTGAATTAAATGTTTGATCGTTGATGAAATGAGACGGCAACTTTTGTCCTACAACACAAAATCCCTCTTTCTGTAGTGACTCTAAAATGAGTTTTCCGACAGTCTGATTAATCTTCTTTAGTCTGCTCTTGTACGCTACTTCTTCCAAAACCACCATCACGACACGTCTATTCCCGCACTCTTCTACGAATTCAGTGAAATGTTGCGGTACTTTGCGGGGAGTCTTGAAATTGAGCGAGGCGATGTTAACAGAGTTCGGGGGAGCTAAATTAGAGAAGGAAATTGCAGGATGGTCGTTAACTAGATACAGGCTAGTCATGTTATCTAGTTCGGTTAAGCTGCCCACTCCTGCCTCCTCCAAATATCCTGTAAACAGGGATAATATCCTGGGCACCACCTGCCATGCAAAGTAACCAATCTCCCACAGAGTGGTGAGTCTGGTATTGAAGTCAGGTGGCGTGTAAGAGGTGTAGAGATTTAGAAACTGTCCAGCCTCACTTGTAAGAAGAGTTGGTAGATTCTGCTCTATCCGGGATCTGTGCTGATCTGCTATAGAGAGCACAGTTATTATCGGTATTTGGTTAGGCTGTTCCTGGTTTTGTTTCATTAATTTCCTTGTTTGTAGTGCTATTGGATGGAAGGCTGTCTCGTCTGCTATAATCAGAGAAAAATTTCCCGCTCTGATAATATCCTCCACCTCTTTGCTCATGAGGTAATCAAATCGTATCTTTAACTGTTCGATGTTGACCTCTAAAGCTTTGTTCGACCCCACGATGCTCTGAGTTATAAGTCTAGATGAGGGTCCTGCTAAAGCACCACTTGCTTCTGCTACTTCGTGGAGATACTCGGTTCTTTGTAGGATCTTCTCAGTCCTGCTAACATTTCCAACTAGATATCTGATATTATCTGGTATGTTGTCGTCTGTATCAAGAGCAAGGAAAGTGACATTGTGACCATGGTCCGCAAGTAGTGAGGCTATGTCAAGTAAGATGTTAGGATATACAATACTGTCTGACCAGGGTGTTGTTAATAAGACATTATCCGATGTCACAAATACAATGTTTTGCAAAAGGAGAAATTGAGAAAACCACATTAATAACATAACAAGAGAGTGAATTGGAAAGAAATAAGTGCGATGGTCAGATAAATGTTGGATTATCCAAATAGGTATTCAATAGCAATTGGAATTATCATCCCCTAGCCCTAATTAAGATATTAAATTTTCCTTGATTAGATTATCTTGTCATTGAGGCTAATTAACATTGATTACCAAACCTGAACCAATAAAAGGGAAGGGATTTCGTTCCATGCTTCTTCGAATAATAATATCCGTTCAGGCGTTCATTCTCGCTTCAAATAAGCTTGTTTAGAAGATGAAACAATCGCGATATGGGGTAAAAATACCCCACCGAGAAATAAACCCAAAGTTGTATCAATGATTATGAGAAGTGCAGAGTAGTGCACCCTGTTCTAAGATTCTCTTAGCAGTTGTAGGTATTTTTAAAGTCGCACAAATTGAAAGACATTTGTTATGACATAGTTTTATTGTTATTTTTATGACATATTTTGTGTTCAGGTTGAAGATAACCAGGAGAAGTTTGAGAGATTACAACTTGAGCTAATGATGGTGAGTTAATGAGTTATCAACTTGTTGGTTTATGTACAGTTTATTTACTACCTACATAAACTGTCTACACGTTAATACCACGGGTCAGGTTGCATTTATCAACTTACTGAGCTTTGAGGGACGAGACAATTTTGCCCACTATCTCCAAAACCGAACTTTTTCAGGAAAATCCAGAAAGCATACCTTATCTGAATGCTAAGAAAAAGATGGAAAAGAGGGTGAGTAGCCATTGCTACATGATTTCGTTTCATGAAATATGTTATGATCATTGATCGTTGAGTAGGTTTCTTGACCACAATAAACCATTAACCATTTATAATACGTCCACGTCATTGGCTCATTGCATCATAAGTTGTTGTTCTATAGAACATACAATTGGGGATTTTTAATTAAGCCACTGAATGACGACCAATAAGGACAAATCGTTATAAGTTATGATGAATTGGATAGTACCGCCAACTAATGGTGCACAAAATAAATCGAAGTGAGAAAATTGGTGGTGCCAGATTCTGATTGGCACTGCCAGTGTCACTGCCGACCCATTGTTTGTAAAAACCAGATTGATCTAGAACTGTTGATTGCGCGGCTTCTGTTTTCCTGCACTTATCACAGGCAGCGTAGGCGCGCGTAGTCACACTAAGTGCTGAAAAATCGTAGTTTCTATGTGATTCGTACAAATTGCTACCCAGGGGGTACTAACGAATTTGTCATGTGATTTCAATTAAGGCATACGTCACAAGTAACTTCGTTTACATTCTAGCGATGTGATCACATACACTAGACAATTTACCATGCAATGATTGTGATGTTACCTAGCTGTTGCCCTGCTGAAGCAAGCCAATCATTTTATCCCAAATTTGACCCGTTATCGGGATGGTTCGTCAAAATAATAATTGACATAGTTAATGTAATCATACTGATATGAGTCTTAACTCATATATTAGCTATAAATCTTAATTGCGGTCATTTCAGGCAATTTATCAACCGAAGATGCCCGGCAAAATCAAATCTACGGTCAGAAACGCACCTCCAACTGTAATGTCAAAGGTCTGAGCTTAACATGGACTAACTTCAGTACCATATTCTAGCAATTTGACTTCAACATTTTGAGAATAATTCAGATAATGCGGTCTTGCATTTTGAAGATTGGTCAGACTATAGATAGACTTTCCGACAACTGTCTATTTCTATACGTCTGTTATTATCATGCCGCTAAAGACATTGTTTTAAATGTTCTTCTTGTATCTGAAAAACATGGGACCACATATCAGTTGATGTCCCGTGAACAAATAGTTTGGATGAACAAATAGTTTGGATGATGGTTCGGGTGCAAATTGATATTTTTTAAGGGATCAAAAACGGGCACATTTTCACCGTGTTCAGTAATCAGTTATTAATTAAGGAACACTTTATTTATTGTCAAAACCCTTCTGATGGTATTGTCCAATTTATTTAAAGGCAGTTTTTATAATATTTGTATGCAGCCAGTGGACAGATGATTGTAAAACTGTAAATAATTGTATATAAACAAGAAGTGATGAATGATGATCAGTTTTTATATTAACAAGTCATTTACTTATGTTAACCAGTTGTCTGAATGTGTAAACCTAGAATAGACTCGCATTAGTGTACCCAGACAAAATTAGCGTGTAAGCGTTTCCCTGTAAGCCCAGAGAACAACACTCGACAATGAGCGACCCTGCGAAGTCTATCATATCCTGGTACCGAGGCCCGGGCCTAGGAGAGTGTAGTTATACTGTAGAAATGGTGTACATTAAGGTACCAATAATTGTTGCACGTTACGTCGGGAACAAATCCTCTAGTACAGAATTTAACAAGAAGCATGGTGTTCTGACCCCGTCATTTCAACTTTGCATCTTATCGAGAATATCACCGATTCTTATTAAAATACTAGGAGAATACTAGGAGAATTCAAATATTTCTTGTGATTTTAATTATAAATAATATATAACACATAATATATAACACTAAGCTATGATACTAAACGTGTAGTATGCTTAATTTTCCTAACATGTACATTGTACAGCTGTGATTGTATAACAAATGAAGATCACTTTTTGGAATTGAATTGGAATAAATTACAGAACTATCCAAATATAAAAATATATGAGTCTTTATGATTAGTAATAACTTTAAAATTGCATCTAAAACCTTGTCAACAAGTAGTCGATCTGTTAAATTTACGGTTAAAAGACAAATATCCTGATGCGGGTTTGACAGCCCCCATCAACATAGGCTGCTGAACTCACTATTCAATTTAGAGAATGAAATTAATTTTATTTTTAAAGAACTTCTACCACTTACATCATAAAATATATTTCCGTTTTAGCTGCGATCAGACAATTCTAATTGATGAGGGTTCTCAAATTTCCAACCAACAACTCTTACGCCTACTCCTGAGTCATGATTAGCTATAATAAATCCTATTCTTAAATTGTTCGACAAAGGAATTAATTTACCCAGAACATAGAAACATAAATTTGAACATCCATCACTCACTGTGAAAACAATTTAAAATCATCATGTAAAATAAGAGCAGTTAATCCATCACTGCCCTTATCTGGCGAATATCGTCTAATAAGTTGATTTTCAGATCAACCCAGTCCAGCTGAAATGTTAAAACACTATCGATCCCGCCTACACAATACACATCTTTATGACATGTGATAATATTCACTGATCTTGATTGACCGGGGTCAGTAGAAAGCCACCGAGTGTAGAAACCTTTTATTTCTCTTTTTCTCCAAGAAATCTATCACTGTGTCGATGTCTGAAGCCGGATCCTCTGTGTTTGACAACTGAAGAAATTGTAGAGATTCAGATTTCAAAAAGATGTAATGAAACAAACTTGCTAATTTAAGAGTTGTTTCCGGCCGGCAGAACGTACTAATGTGACGTATTCGTCGTTAGTAGGATGGAAAGATGGAAAAGAATAGAGCATAATAAATTTTAGAACAATGTGTTTATGAATGAAAACAGAAAATAAGTACCTTCTCGACTAAATCGTAGATAATGAAAGATCCTAGCGTGGCTTCTTCGTGGTTATCCCTTATCTCAACATTTACGACATGAACCAAGTTCATTGATACCTGCTCCCTGTCGTTCATATCTGAATAGTAGGGCAAATCAGCATTGCCCAAACGTTACTTTATCTGAAGGCAGGTATTGCACTAATCAATAAATTTCCTGTAGGTGCAAGTAAAAAACTGAGACTAATTAAAAGTAAGAGTTTTAAAACTTACATTCAAGCACCTGATCAAACACACGTTCTTGACACGTGACTATCAAGTCAAATTCCTCGTTACACCTCTGAAACTTCTCAGGCTTCCCTTTGATTCGCTTATTCCTGTCCAACATGTTGAGGAGCCCATTCTGTGTGTAGAAACTCATGTCTTTGTTCTGAAAATAGAATTTATTGAATTTCTTTGTTATGAAAATAGAATTTATTGAATGAATTATTTGGAATATTTTGAGTGTTTGGCAGGCAAACACTCTTAATAATGAGGGACAAAAAGCTGAATAAATTCTATTTTGATAAAAACCAAAGCAGCATTTCACACAACACTGTCAATAACATTAGTCCATTTTTAGCTTTCTAGCACTTTTTTCATCGGCTATATTTATAAACAATAACCTTTGCAAGGCTGCAAAATATTAATGTCAAACAAAGTCTCTTTACCCTAAGATCCTCAGCAATTTGCTCATAAGGAGTATTGAAATCGTACACGTTTGGCTTGTCAACAGTTGGTCCCGGTAGTTTCACTTTACTCCCAGTTCCGTACGATTTCGTCCTGAAACCCTTCTTACTGAAATAAAGAATAAGTTCTTAGGTTTTTAACATGAGGTAGTTAACTTTGAGAATAACTGACGGCATCTGATACCATAAACTTTGTCGAAGACATTCATTTCAATCTAAGATACCTCCAGGCTGCTAGTTATAAACGAATGGTGAGTAGTGGAGAGTAACTTGATACGCTACTAATTACACCCACACACAGTGCTCATTATACCATATCTGTAAAGTACAACTCTCTCACTCTCTCTCTCTTTTTCTCTGCTTCCTGATGAAGCTTTGTTGCAGGTATAAGTGTGGCTGTTAACATAAAATAATAACCCTTACATACATTCTGTACAATGAAGGTGTGGACTGAGGATATGTCAGAGGGTATACTTTAATCTTAAAGTATGGTGACAGTTACTGTAATTCAATAGAAAGGAAGTGACATCAGTTCCTGTCAGAAAGTTTAAATTTCCTGGTTTTTGTGATTTACATGAATACATTAGTCATACCGGGGATTTTGACATTGGAATCAAGCAATTCCGTTATTCTAATTTTAGATGTGGTTTCAATCCTGCATCTAGACTTCAGACGTGATGGGCAGTTTGTTGCAATGATGACAAAAATCGATCCAGCCTTCCAACCTTACTTCTTATTAGATAAGATAAACATTAAACATGTATGGTGTGAGAATCTGAGCTGGATTTACTAAGGAGTAATACACCTGCTTGTCAAAAACAAAGTCCGATTTCCTTTCACAATTACTGGATTCAGTTTACCGGAGAGTTTGATTTACATTGTAATTTCACTTTCACCCAGTAGACCCGGATAAAGTAGAGTCTACCTAAAATTCTGTGTTCCTAAAATATTGCATAATTCCTGGTATAAAATAATTAGAAAATGTTGGCTCCAATTACCTGAGGAGATGATGAGCCTCCATGCTTCTGTTCTGATTGCTGGAGCACACTACAGCTATGCTCAAGTCGTGTCTCATGATTGTTGTGAGCTATAATAAATATAAAAGCATGTTAATATCATCAAGCACTCAGGTGCGACTTGTTAAGTCGACTAATCAGTTGAGTAAAACATAACACTTTCAAGACAGACACATGATTCACAGTCATGTGAGAAAACGGATGAGATCATTGGGGCACGTGATTTAAGTAATTAAAGACAATTTATTATTTTAATTAAGTTAAAAGATGAGGTAACCTTCCATTTTGGCTGACTACATGACTAACACGTATGATTAGAATGTATGAGGGACACTCACAATACATTATTAATTGTATAGATAAATCCCTAGGTAGAGAACTATATTATGTAGAACTGGGCATATTGTACCCGCTTTATTTATATAAAGCCTCTGATTTGTATTTTTATACAAATTGTCACCTTTTGTAACACTAACAACATCTTTGTGTACTAGCAAAGCAGCACTAATTTCGGGGTTTTATCCTGTTTTTCAGCTGCCATGTTTATTGTTTTGAACGAAAATTCGAAAGATTTGGAAAACCAGACAGTAATTTGTATTGGTTTGAAATTGTTTTGCAATATTAATGTTTTAATTTTGCCCCATTTCTTCACTTTCTGGAACCGAAATCCGTTTGATATTGGGGGCGTCTTAAACTTAAAGATTGTGACGTTGGCAAACAACAAAGGTATCCCACTGATCACCAATTACCGTTGGTACGAGGCTATGGTGCCATTACCGGGTGGTGCCATCTTCAGTCTTCACGGCTGATGTGCAGTAGTGGCACACCGGAGTAGAAGTAGGGAAAATGTTACAAATCGAGCCATTTACGTGCCTTTAGTACCACCAATATAATACAGTAGGACTTCAGGGAAAGCGCAGATTGAGTGTTCATGTAGATCAGATGGTACCTTACCCCTGTGCATGTGATATTTTCCTGAACCGTTTTCGTCATCGATTTTCCGTTGCGCTAAAATTTTTGAATATTGCCTGGGGAAAACTGTAAGGTTCAGTTTTGCACCTCATTTGAGTGACCCTTGTAGACGAGCCAACTGTTTACTGCACAAATGTACACAGCTACCAGATTTAGTGAAGCCGGCACGACTTACGCACAACCACTGTGAACTACTAACATGCCTATCAAGAAAATGTACATAGCAATCGGAGAAGACTCCGTCCGTACAATCGTTATCTCCACCCCAAGTGGCGAAGTCTCAAGTGTATTTCAGATCACTTCTATTACAACGAATTGAGTGAGTGGACACGGCCGGAATTCATCCTCATTCACGGATTGCCAGCAGAAATTGATGTAACTAATTCTGAACCAATAATATCAGTTCTTTTTTTGCATTATGTTATAGTTAGTCTAGGCGATCGAAAAAAACCGACGAACTGTACAGCGGCAGTCGGTGTCCGAACCGAAGCAGGAAATAGAATCCGAAACACGGATAAATAGAAGAAATGAGACACAAGAATTGCTAATTAGGGAAAAATTCAGATTTTGAAACATTTACATTTGGTACCAATAAGATAAAGACAACTTCCTGCTATCAAATATTTTATCGATACAAAATAATAGAAATGAAAACTCCGAACCTGGTCGGACAAAAATTTACTTGAAATGTTGATTCAAATTACCAAAAGAAAGATAAATACCCTCCAGGCTAGGTCAAATAAACATACATCATGTTAACAATTAATTCATAAACCATGCCAAAATAAAATCTTGGGAAAAAAACAGCTAGACCAAGCCTGGTAAATTTCGTTTAGATTTAAGGAATTCTAAAATCTAGGAAAGTCAGTCACAAACAAAGATAACAAAAATGTTGATAAATGCAGTTCTCCAATTAAGTGCTCTTTTACTTCTAGATTTTTGGTAGAGAACGGATAGTAGACAATACCAAGTGGAAGTTATTGTCCTCCTCTCAAACGAAGAACCAAATGAAGTGTTGACTCCTTCTGGATGTTGTAGTCGCTAAGAGTGCGGCCATCTTCCAGCTGCTTACCGGCGAAGATAAGACGTTGTTGATCTGGAGGGATTCCCTCTTTATCTTGAATCTTTGCCTTGACGTTCTCGATAGAGTCTGAAGGCTCAACCTCCAAAGTGATGGTCTTTCCAGTGAGTGTCTTAACGAAGATCTGCATACCTCCCCTCAATCGAAGCACAAGATGAAGGGTTGATTCCTTCTGGATGTTGTAGTCACTGAGTGTTCGGCCATCCTCGAGTTGCTTTCCTACGGTGGTAGTCAGTTATAATAATACTTTTAATAATGATTTTGAATAAATGTGGCAAATAAATAAGTAGACAAATTTGTTTTGGACTTTGAATTTTGATTCTATTACTGAAACTTACCAGCAAAGATCAGACGCTGTTGATCTGGGGGGATTCCTTCCTTGTCTTGGATCTTGGCCTTCACGTTCTCGATCGAATCAGAGGGCTCAACTTCCAGGGTGATGGTCTTTCCGGTGAGAGTTTTTACGAAGATCTGCATACCTCCTCTCAACCTCAATACAAGATGAAGCGTCGACTCTTTCTGAATGTTGTAATCGCTGAGTGTTCGGCCATCCTCGAGCTGCTTTCCTGAAATATAATTTTTGTTAACTCTTATACTTTCTACAAATATAATTTACAATAATATAACAACTTCAAATATCGCATTTATCATGTCAGAAAAAGGATCAGTAGACCACAATTCGAAAACAAAAACGGTTTTCCAATTTTTAACTCACCAGCAAAGATAAGACGTTGTTGATCTGGGGGGATTCCCTCTTTGTCTTGGATCTTGGCTTTCACGTTCTCGATAGAATCTGAAGGTTCGACCTCCAGGGTGATGGTCTTTCCAGTCAGTGTCTTTACGAAGATTTGCATACCTCCCCTCAGTCTCAGTACAAGATGGAGAGTTGATTCCTTCTGGATGTTGTAGTCGCTCAGGGTTCGGCCATCCTCAAGTTGCTTACCGGCGAAGATAAGACGTTGTTGATCTGGAGGGATTCCTTCCTTGTCCTGGATCTTAGCTTTCACGTTCTCAATCGAGTCTGAAGGCTCAACCTCCAGGGTGATGGTCTTTCCGGTCAGTGTCTTTACGAAGATCTGCATACCTCCCCTCAATCGGAGTACCAAGTGAAGAGTGGATTCTTTCTGGATGTTGTAGTCACTGAGTGTTCGGCCGTCCTCCAGCTGCTTTCCTGAAATATAATTTTTGTTAACTCTTATACTTTCTATGAACATAATTTACAATAATATGACTACTTCAAATATCGCATTTATCATGTCAGAAAAAGGATCAGTTAAACACAATTCGAAAACAAAAACGGTTTTCCAATTTTTAACTCACCAGCAAAGATGAGACGTTGTTGATCTGGGGGGATTCCCTCTTTGTCTTGGATCTTAGCCTTAACGTTCTCAATAGAGTCTGAAGGTTCGACCTCCAGGGTGATGGTCTTTCCAGTCAGTGTCTTTACGAAGATCTGCATACCTCCCCTCAGTCTCAGTACAAGATGGAGAGTTGATTCCTTCTGGATGTTGTAGTCACTCAGGGTTCGGCCATCCTCCAACTGTTTACCGGCGAAGATGAGACGTTGTTGATCTGGAGGGATTCCCTCCTTGTCTTGGATCTTAGCCTTAACGTTCTCGATAGAATCTGAAGGTTCGACCTCCAGGGTGATGGTCTTTCCGTGAGTGTCTTTACGAAGATCTGCATACCTCCCCTCAGTCTCAGTACAAGATGGAGAGTTGATTCCTTCTGGATGTTGTAGTCGCTCAGGGTTCGGCCATCCTCAAGTTGCTTACCGGCGAAGATAAGACGTTGTTGATCTGGGGGGATTCCCTCCTTGTCCTGGATCTTGGCTTTCACGTTCTCAATGGAATCTGAAGGTTCGACTTCCAGGGTGATGGTCTTTCCGGTCAGTGTCTTTACGAAGATCTGCATACCTCCCCTCAGTCTCAGTACAAGATGGAGAGTTGATTCCTTCTGGATGTTGTAGTCGCTCAGGGTTCGGCCATCCTCCAACTGCTTTCCTGAAATATAATTTTTGTTAACTCTTATACTTTCTATGAACATAATTTACAATAATATGACAACTTCAAATATCGCATTTATCATGTCAGAAAAAGGATCAGTTAAACACAATTCGAAAACAAAAACGGTTTTCCAATTTTTAACTCACCAGCAAAGATGAGACGTTGTTGATCTGGGGGGATTCCCTCTTTGTCTTGGATCTTAGCCTTAACGTTCTCGATAGAATCTGAAGGTTCGACCTCCAGGGTGATGGTCTTCCCAGTCAGTGTCTTTACGAAGATCTGCATACCTCCCCTCAGTCTCAGTACAAGATGGAGAGTTGATTCCTTCTGGATGTTGTAGTCGCTCAGGGTTCGGCCATCCTCCAACTGTTTACCGGCGAAGATGAGACGTTGTTGATCTGGGGGGATTCCCTCCTTGTCCTGGATCTTGGCTTTCACGTTCTCAATGGAATCTGAAGGTTCGACTTCCAGGGTGATGGTCTTTCCGGTCAGTGTCTTTACGAAGATCTGCATACCTCCCCTCAGTCTCAGTACAAGATGGAGAGTTGATTCCTTCTGGATGTTGTAGTCGCTCAGGGTTCGGCCATCCTCAAGTTGCTTACCGGCGAAGATAAGACGTTGTTGATCTGGAGGGATTCCCTCCTTGTCCTGGATCTTGGCTTTCACGTTCTCAATGGAATCTGAAGGTTCGACCTCCAGGGTGATGGTCTTTCCGGTCAGTGTCTTTACGAAGATCTGCATACCTCCCCTCAATCGGAGTACCAAGTGAAGAGTGGATTCTTTCTGGATGTTGTAGTCACTGAGTGTTCGGCCGTCCTCCAGCTGCTTTCCTGTAACATGTCTTCTGTTAAAAATATCGCGAATATTATTTCAACTTTCCTCCCGCGGCCGTGGACGATTTTTCGGAGTTAATATTACCGTGATGAAGCTAGATCAGTTGTGTATGAGTTGTAGCATAAAGTTGTCATTGTAATGATCTCAACGACTAACTTCATTAGAATCACGTGCTGAGGGCACGCTATAATATTGGGCCAGATAATAGCTATTGATCTTCAGTACAAGAAGTGCTCTAGTAGAAGCTTATCGGTTATCACAGTATGTTGTCACCGAAATAGCTGTCCAGACGTTAAGTCTGCCAGTATTCGGGCAGATTAAAGAGTATTTCAAGACTTGGTGCCACCAAAGAAATTTCACAAAATTAAGCGCACTTTAAAAAACGAAGCTCACTGAAAATTTGTTAAAGAATTTCTTATGTAAGCCAAAAACTAGAAATGTAAATAAATTACCGGCAAAGATAAGTCGCTGTTGGTCTGGAGGGATTCCTTCTTTATCCTGAATTTTGGCTTTCACATTCTCAATTGAGTCAGACGGTTCAACCTCCAGGGTGATGGTCTTTCCTGTGAGAGTTTTGACGAAGATCTGCATACCTCCTCGCAGTCTAAGTACAAGATGAAGCGTCGACTCTTTCTGAATGTTGTAGTCACTGAGGGTTCGTCCGTCCTCAAGCTGTTTACCTGTGAGTTGGGCCGTGAGAACTTGAACAAAATCTCAAATGATAGAAAGGCAAAATCTCAAATGATAGATACATGTGCAGGAATTTTAACGGAACAATAATTGCCCAGAAATGTATGGTGATAAGAATGTGTTTAAGTGTGTTAAGTGTGCTATGTATTGAAAGAATCGATAATATCATCTCTGAAAATCGTTATTTCTATTTGCGCTGTGCTGAGATTCGAGTATTAGCATAAGATTCAAAGGTAATACATAAACATATTTAAGAAAAGATAGATGCTTACCAGCAAATATGAGTCGCTGTTGATCTGGGGGTATTCCCTCCTTATCCTGAATTTTGGCCTTAACGTTCTCGATAGAATCTGAAGGTTCGACCTCAAGAGTAATGGTCTTTCCAGTCAGTGTCTTGACGAAAATCTGCATATTTGATGAAAATGTATAAGTGTTCAAACAAAAACTTAAACGTACACAAGGGTAGTTGCGGTAGAATTAAAAATGGATGTTCGAGCAATTCTTATATATCTTCGAAGGCCGTGATTGGACAATACGAGCGTCTGACTATCACGTGATGTAACAAAAATACGTTGGTAGGTATATAGGTACAGTTTTGATCTGCGACCACCATTTCATGACATACTATTGCGCGCCGCGCATATAATTTGGTAAACTTGTCAACAGTCGATTTGCAATTGATTTTAAATTCGAATCTTAAATTCAACTGACTTTAAAAACTGTCCCAACTCGAAAATCATTTTATAAATATTTTAGCCCTTTTATAAACTTTTATGTCATTTGTTAGCATTCGTTACAGTATTTTTTGTTTTGGAACCACGCAATCATAATTTTAAAATTTTAAATTATTTATTTTAACCATAAAATAATTGGCACATTCAAAATCATTCATTAAATTTATAATCTATTTATGATATTATATAATTTTTAGTCAATCGTTCATTTGGTTTTTAAAAGTAACAGTAACATTTTGAATGCTGCCACCATTTATTTGGTGTTTTACCTTCGTTTTCAGTTATATCTTGGCATTAGGCTGCAGCCGCGCAATTTTACAGCTGCGCTGGAAATAATTCTAGCGCGGAGCTCTTCCAAATATTGCGGAGGTGTTGCTTGGATATTGCCATATGATTACGAATGTGCCTCGTGTTGACCACAGGGGTCAACTTGATTAAAACGGCCATCACTGTCGAGTATATAAATAATCTCTTCTGTACATTCTCCGTACTTTTTTGTTATTGGAGATGTGTTTGGTTTCTACTCAACATCCATTTGCTCGTATAATTACTTTTAAGTTTTGGGCTTTGTGTATGATTAATGATCTGCTAGTTGATAAATGCTAGTATTCGATGTAGAGCCCAGTCGGTGACGTGAAAACCACTCATAAGTCCTTGTCTTCTCTATCATCATCGACTTTGGCGTGCCGACCCTAAACTAAAATTAGATGAGCGTTAGGTTTAGACGCTTTTCATTTGCCGATGACTTATTTCATTCACATACAACTGTGTATTTTCATTGCCTTGAATGGTTGTTTGCGAAGTTTTAAACTTAACTCTTATCTTTAGGTTATTCAGTATGCACATATTATGATCAGTTTCTCTAAACTGGGTGAATGGAGCTTTGCATTGGACACTTAATTTCTTAACTCTTTACTGCCACTGGTATGCTATTGCTTTAGCTTATAAATAAGAAATTACTGAAAATTGTTCTGTAGAAATGTCATTAGGTTTTCTGTTCTCTTTAGTAACCAATTTAAGACTAATTTAAACTAACCTAAGATCAGGTTTATTATTTCAGGGCTACGGCACTATTAAACTGCATCTCACTTAACTTTTTATGGAAATATCTATTGAAACACTCGCGGGAACCTCCTTTGAGCTCAGAGTCAGCCCTTTCGAAACTGTCATTAGTGTTAAACAGAAAATACAGCGCCTTGAAGGTAACTTTAAACCCTTTAAATATAGACTTTTACTTGGATACTTGCACCATAATTTTCTCTTCCTAATTCCAATTAGCACGAATGATCAATTTTACATTATAGTGGTGAAGAGGCCAGATGGGTCAAATTCGTTTGACCACGCGATATTGATCCAACGATTTGAGTGGTCGCTGCTGAGAGCTAATGGCTTTCACGTACCAAAATGAATATAACCTAGATGGCCTCTCCACAATAACCCTAGTCTATACTATCTTAGACTGTTGATTACTTATGCTAATTTCGAATTTGGAAAACAATATTTTGGTGAAAGTTAAATTATTTTCTGTGATCTCTAATCTTTTTTTACTGGCATGGGCATGAATAATATCGAAGAAAAATTTCTTAGATATTCCAGTATCCAGATATTTCTTAATTTCATTCTTTTACGAGGCTTTCAAACAAGTATCAATACCTGAATTTAACTGTAACTGAGTGATTTGACAATGAGACTATCAAGCTGGATTCATTTGATGTTGTACAAACACCGATCCGAACTTTGATCTTTTGTTATGTGGTGCTATATGTAGTGCCAGAATTTTATTTTATTTTTCATGCGTTCTTTTTTTCAGGTATACCAATTGCTCAACAGCATTTGATATGGAAGAATATTGAACTTGAAGATGACTTTTATTTGCACGACTATGGGTAAGTAATTGAGCAGTCTGATTCATACACATATTTAGTTTATTCGGAATGCAAATTGTAATTATGGTTTTTGTTTCCTTGGAACGGTTAAATAAAATGAATTGTTGGAATACATAAAAGCAATTAACAGTCAACATATTTCATTCGATATCACTTAACACTGGTTAAGGTAGTAATTATCTTTTAAGTGAATGGGAATAGTTTGCACTCGGTTTATTGCAACAGCACCTAAGATGATAAAATTCCCCGGGTTTGATGACGGTTTATCTTGTTGGAATTCCCATTTAGGCTACCTACGTTATAGTGGATTATATTATGTAGCATAAATAATCGCCTTCCCAAAGCTACCTGGATGCAGGTACGGTGGCATTCGGGTTGTCGATCTACGACCCCCAAAAAACATAATAATCTTGTAACACTAGAAATAATAAAGTTGTTACCGAGTAACCGAATTTGCTCATCCGAAACAATTTTCTCTATAATTTTATTGTTATGTCATTCAATTCGAAGGTAAATTACATTTTGGCGTCCAAGGTTCGGCGAATGTTTCTCCCTGGCCATGGCCCTTGCCACCGCGGTATTGAAGAGCAAAAATAATTTAGCCAACAAAAGGGACTCTAAAAACTATAATACTAGACTTATATACAAGTGCACTGTTATATTTGGTTCAATCCTTGTCCGCATTGTCATTGAGAATCCTGTGACTTTCCTTGTTTCTCAGTTCAAAGACGAACTAGATTTGTCCATCTCAAGCTGTAAGAAATTCTATAAGAATTATCATTACTCGTTGATTGAAGTGTTTAATCCTTGTTAAAGATTGAGAAGTCTTACAGAGTTTTACATTCTGCGTGAGATATTTCTTGTTAAAACCTCCGCTGATTTCTACGGAATGGTGGTAATCTATTAGCTGACTACATATGTGTGTTCTACCGCTAACAGCCAACAGGACATGAAACATGTCATAGAGATTAGGGGGCGATTAAAAAATGATGTTGCTATTTTGATGTGGTGCTAAATTTAAAAAAATTACACTCTTCTAACGTCGATTTTCCTTCACCTCCGACGTTAATTACAAAAATATAAAGCTCTTTTTAGAAGATGTGAGAACCTGTCTTGCAGATAAGTTGGTGCTTATCCTAGCAAGGATTTGTTAGATATAACTAGGATAATACTATCCTTTTCTCTACATCAAGCCAATTAAATGAAGATTGAAGATTTATCAGGTCATCCTCAAGATTGTCATGTTTATATGATAAAGAAAAATTAAAACATTATATTATTACTGATTAGTGATTTTAAAATTTTTCAGCTTAAGTTCCGTTTTCAGTGACGGGTTTCTAGTAAGGAATAAGTTGAAGATATGTTATGGTAACCTGGTTCCAATATATCCTGCACTTCCTTCCTGCACGTTGATTAACGTATACCGAAGTTCGGCAAATTTTATCTTTTGCAAACTTAAAATGTCCAACTTCAGTGCGTGACTGGATAAAATTTCAGTGTATTAATTCTACATTTTTGCAAAATTATTACGAGGCGTACAAAGTTACTTTTCTTCTTTGTAAAATAGCTGTACCGTGCAATGCCGAAACAGTTACATTAATATTTCTTAATCACGCTGAACAGTGTACATGCTAAACAAGCCGGTGTCAGCTAAGAAAACCCCCTAAACCGGCTTATAACTAATAGTATACCTAATACGGAACCTTATTTGAAAACATCATAGGAAGTTAGAAATGTTAGGATGCATGTTCTCAATTGCTTGGTCAGTTTTCCGGTATTGAATCACTGGAAGCTTTAGTGTTCACATTCCTTTATTCTACAAAGCAATCCTATGCTTTGATGCTGCTTTGTTAAAACTCATTAACCCGTGTTTAAGAAATTAAAACATATTTTACTGAAAGTTGATAAATGCGCACGAAATTATCTTAGGCTGCTTGTGGTGAGGGATGTAAAATAAACTGTTCAGTGTGCTTGTAAGTTTGAATTCTGGATTAAATTGGAATTTTCACGATCTATCAAAATATAGATCCTGATAATCTAGTTGCTCCATATTTGTATTTCTTTATTTACGTACGTTTAATTCTAATATTATTTCTAACAAGCTTTATTATCTCGTGATATTATAAATATCACAAGATATTATTTATAATAATATAAATATAATATCTCGTGGTAAATTGTTCTTTAACTGGAGTGTTCTTTATTTTTCTATTCGCATGTTATGTTAATGTAAGATCTATCAAAACGCACCGCGGCCGCAGTTCTAAAATTTTTAAACAGAGTCATATGATTGTAGCTGATCATCACAACAATAATTTCCTTTATAGATCGCCAACTACTTTTAATAATTCAACAATAACATGTGATTATATTTATATCACAGTCAACGTAATATATCACAAGTTTTATCAATCTTATGCATGCTGTTTTGAATGATCATGTGGATTTCGTTTCTTTTCCTGTTACAGATTATTAAACGCACACACGTGATCGTGACGAAGAGTTTTTAGTAAGATAGAGTCTGAGTTATGCACGTGTGAAGGAAAAAGAAAAACAGGAAACTATTCTTCGTGTCATGTGCGGGACCTTTTAAATGTTACAGTCAGATGAGGTGAATGCTTGTGAGATCTACATTTCTATTGATATTCTTTTAAAAAGCATGCTCACGATCGACTTCTCTAGCACGGTAAAATCTCATCGGTCTATCTTTCCTGTTTGGTGGTTAAATGAACAAGCTTCTGTAATGTGAGGTTACGTGAGTGAAGAAAATAACTGACAAAAGCAGATTGTAATTCAAAAGAGTTGCGACTTATCGTGCACGCATGTCCTCACAGTGCTGGATGTGATCTGATGACCGTAATGGTTCATAATGAATAGTACTGTAGAGATTAGAGATGAGCAAATTTGATAGATATTTTGATGTTATAATAATAAGATCTCTGTTGCGCAATATGAAATCAGTAATGGACTTGTAAGGGTACCGGGGGAAGACTATCAAATGTTGTCGATCATTTACATTGAATTCATATCTTTGGTTAGGATCAATGTTCTTAAGTGAGGTGAAAAATCACCCGGTAGATCTCTAATCCCAGCCTTCTTTTTCATAAACATCATGAACTAAATTTCCTTGGTTAATGAAATTAAGCCCCCCCCCCCCCCCCCCTCGGACCCTCAATGTGTATTGTGTAAATATATTCGTGCCGCAGTCCTATACTTCCAGAACATTCATAAGGCAGATCCATTAGCCAGACGAATTTACCGTAAGTGCTAACATAATGTAATATTCGGATTGCTAATATAATCTCTCAATTTTTTTATAGAACTGAAAGTCAACTTTAAATTGTTTTGCACGGAACCTTCTTGAAGGTTCTATAATGTTCTATTAGGTTCCATAAGGTTCCATAAGGTTCTATAAGATTTGTTGATATGTAGTTTTATTGATAGTTTGTTCAACTTGCAGCACAACAAGTATAATCACTGTAGTCCCAGGTAAGACCTACATCCAATAACCAAAACTACCGTTTAACAGCTAGACCCTGAGCCGACATCTAGTTAAGATATTAATTTGATTATAAATAATAATTTTACAGTTATCTTACCGTACATAATTATAGTCCATATGTTGAACTCGTACATAGTCCATGATCATTGATCACACTGCACACATGTTTCCTCTCTACAATCATGTCAATATGCTGAGTACATGCATAATATGCTAATACTGCAACACTGACTTGAATATTTTATACTTTCTGGGGGCCAACATTGTGCCGCCACGAACAAACAAAATCTTTGACGTTATAAGTTGGCCGAAGAGTAAAGGTGTTGTTACTACAACATCCCCAGAACTCCCCATTTTCTTTCTTCAGGTAGACGAACAATCGTTGTTCTGCAGTAAAGGGAGGATAGTGAACCATTTTCGATGATTCAATGGATGGTTCATTCCTTTTTATTGATTGTAAGGAACCTGTGACTAGCAGGGCTAACAAGCCCTGAAATGGTGACACCACCATAAATTCGTGTGATAGCGTTTTAGGTGCTGTCAGCTGTATAGGCCGGCCCATAAGCAGGCTGCAACCAATCAAGCGGTGCATGTGAGCCAAACAGGCCATTAACCAAGTGACGAGATCACTGACTGAGTGCTCGGATCACGTATCCGATGAGTTTTGAAATGGTCATAACTTAGCCATATTTTAACCAATGAACTTGAAACTTTGGGAAAGGTTTTCAATTATCAAGCCAAATGTGTGCAAAAAATTTTGAGTTCTTAGCTTAAAGCGTTCTCATTTTATGAAGACAATAGTGAAAAAGAGGGAGTGTCACGCCACGCCCACTGTAATTGGGCGTGGCTTACGAAACTTTCAGGAAATCTAAGTTTGACCCATATCTATAATCTCTGAAATTTTAGTGCAATTTGGAGACGAATTACGTGAGTTATTAAGAGGTTGCGTGTGGGTAGTCACTTATGGGCCACCCTGTACAACGTCATACCAGTAGGTCATAATATAATATAATACGCTTATGAGCATTTAGACGAATATAATTATTTAGTTTCATAATACAAACATGGATTCTTCTACTAAAAGGAGGAGAAAATCCTAATCTAAGTGTTTATCTAGCATTCCCTAGATTTTCTGTTAGAATTATCTGAAGCTCATGGAATTTGATAACTCTTGGATCTTATCCTTGCTTGTCAGTTCGTACTTCGTTTAACTGATAGCAGCACTTATAATGCATATTGGCTATGCGATAAAATAAGATAAAAACAGTAACATTTGTATGCAGTTTTTCTACTCACGCGAACTTACGTTTGTCGGATCCTTTGTTGTGTAATTGTAAAGTTAAACTACTCCCTATATATCTGTATATATATATATCTGCGAGGTAACCGAATGTTACTATCCCAGGATTTCACACGGAAGCTGTCTGCAGCTGGTATTAGCTATGCGAGGTGGACCAATCAGTACAAGACGGGTAGTTCTGGAGGATCCTTCCCTTCAGGAGGTCATAGATTATGTAGAGGCAAATGGGGATGATATGTGGAACGATCTACCTACTAGTGACAGCACACAAGTTACCGTTTTACTGTTCAGGTGGTTACCTCATTACTCAGTTACTGGTTACATTTCATCGTAAAAACCTGTCTCGCCACAGTTTTTATCCCAGATTTACAGATCCATATGATACAGTTATATTATGTTCGCAGTGGATTATGTGCAGTGTGCACCACATTGATAAATCCCTTGAGTGTAATAAATTCGATTCATTGTTGTGGCATCTTCAATTTCAAAGTGTCTCCTATAACTGGCACGCAGTGTAGTTTGGGCAGTAAATTCTGAAGAATTAAGGGTGAAATCAAAGAACCGCTCCCCCTTGGGTCTTGACGTATCTACTAATTACATCATTACATATCTAATCACGTCATTATCACAGAGACGGAGACCAACTGAACTTCTTCCGTGTCATTGACAGAGGAGACGGTACTTTGACACCACTCTCTGAATCACTCAGGTAATTATTGGAACGGCCCCGTTACACAGAAATCTGGTGTCGTGAAAGTTACTGTTAAGGGCTAATTGGTAGTTTTCGGATTCTGACTTTAACTGAAACATTTGAGGATATGATGAAGAGGACGACCAATTTTGGTACAGAATTTAAAATGTATCACGCATGTTTTCATCGCTGATACGGAGACGGAATCATAATTATTTCCTGTTCGTTATTTTTGTCTACTGCACAATTTATAATATTCAATGTGATCTCACTTGCAGTGGCAACTCTATGTACAATCTATACGATGAAGATGAGGATAGTTCAATGGAGGAGAGATCTTCAGAAAATGCCGCAATGAGAGACAAAGTCCGGAATTTAAAAGCCAAGATGAGAGTTCTGAATTCCAACAAAAAGGTTTAATACTAGTTATTAGTTAATAACTTTGGTCACGGATTTGTCACGTACACGCCATCCAGGGATTGTGTGCCAGTACCTGCATGTGACTTACTTTACGTAACGCGCGGTAATCACAAACTCTTACTGAATCAATTTTGTTTTTCCTTCAGTTTACACGCGCGCGGCGCGCAGTTCTTCAATGAATCAGAATGTTAGTATACACTGATAGCTGGCAAACACTGGACTACAAATAAAACATTATATAACAAATAGAACATTGCTAACTCCCTTTGAATTTATGGATAACATAATAGTAGTTAATAAATTAAGAATAATAATAACATTAACTTCCCTACGAATAGCCCGTACCGAAGAGTAAGCATGAAGCGCTGAAACCGAGCCCCCCACCACGGCCCCCAATGGGGCCCCTCCCTCCCCATCGGACTCCTAGACCTCCCTCTGATTTAAACTCACCTAGAGCTCTTGCAACTGTCAGCAGCGGGATGATTCGTCGCAGGTTTGTACTTTACTGTAGCTTCAGTTCACTTAGTGTTGCCTTTACTGAATTTGACTGCTTATTTGACAATTTATTTCCCAAAGTCAGTTTCCGGAGATAACCCAATTTCTTCGTCAGGATGTACAGTAAGATAGAGGACGTGGCTACAAAGGCAAACACTTCAGAAGAGATTTTACCTCCACTCTCTGGTAGATCCAGACAACTTCCTAAGATAACTCGTACTGTTTCCAACGACAAGAGTAAAGCATCTGAGAGCATAATATCTCACAAACCATCCGCTGCCTCGTTCGAAAGCATCCCCTCCAAATCTCGTGTATCGTCTGCTAAACCTCTTGCCAACATCAAGTCTCCTGAGAAACAGTCCAGCAGTGTTCCTGTATCAGCTAAAAGTATCGTAGATAACGAGAGAATAAGTCATTACAAGAGGTATACTCAAGAGAAAAAGGACTCCGCGTCTGATCCAATGACGTATCTGAAACAAAATGATACTGATAAGAGGCACGTGTCAACGAACGAGATATTGAGTGCCTCACGAGAGGTATCGGCCAGAATATCATCTCGTATATCACATAACAAGATTCCAGCCTCTGAGAGTGCCAGCAAGATTAAGAAACACGTGACTTACGACATAAACACGCGTACAAACCACGTCACGGCACGTGATATTAAGAACAGTGAAGGTAGGAAGCCGGTTGTGCATCGTTTGAATTCCTCAGATCGAAAGAACTTACGAACACTTCAAGTTTTATCGAGACAAGGATCTGCATCGCCGCCAGCTTCCCCTCTTCCTACTAACAGACTACCACCGGTTGCGATCAAATCTAAGGTGCTTTCGGGAAAGAAAAAGAGTACCACCCGGTGCAACTTCTGTCGTAAGAAAACTGGACTTGCTACCACATATACATGTCATTGCGAAGGGACGTTCTGTGCTATTCACCGATATGCGGAGGTACACAAATGCCCCTATGACTATAAAGCTGCTGGTCGCAAAATTCTCGAACAAAACAATCCGGTTGTAACCGCCCCTAAATTACCTAAGATATGATTGTGATGACAATTGAAGGGCATTAATTGATCATGTCTCTTTTGATTTAACGGGGAGCATATTGCTGTAATCGTAGATTTGGTGATCGTTTTACCGAAAGAGAAATTTTAGTTTTCTACGTTATATTTACGTTTTATTTCTTATTGTTTCAGTTCCTTGAAAATACAAATTGAATGTAATATTCAACAATATAAATAAACTGGAAGATTATTTTGTACTGATATATGTTTTAGTTTAATGTTTAAACAATATTGTGGTAGTTCTGATCGATGACTTTTATACCGCGTAGAGAATGTGCTTGAGAGGAACAATTATTGGGTGCACAGGATTATTGTCGAGTGTCTACTTCTTTACCGGTTTGGCGCTGAACTTCAGGGTTTATACTTTTTTATTAAGATATTGTACCACACCTTATTTATTGGGTTAGATTCTACTATTGTACAGTTGAGTTATTCTCTTTTATTTAACTTATTAAGGCCTGACATAAAAAGTGTGTTTCGAGACGGTTAATTTTCCCGTCACATCTTCAATATGACTTAGAATTAATAATGAATTGAGAAGTACGATTAAGATTTTATGCACAACAATATTTTGTGAGTAAAGTTAAATCCCTTTATTGCGGCCACATTTATTGCGCCAGTGACCGTTTTTTGCAATGATTATTTTATGATTTATCAGTATTCAACTGACCGACCCTACCATTGGCATTGTGTGCGATTATTAAAAGACAATACGGCAAACATTAAGCTTGCAGCTCCCGATCAACCGAACTGAAGAAAGTATATTGCAATGTTAATGCTGAAACCCTATTAATGTTGGTTGCAGTAAGGTGCAATTCAACAATATTTGCATCATCGACTCTACAATGCTTCCACATATAAAGATCTGCATTTATAGTTCTTGTTAACAGTTAAAATGTGGTCAAATCAATGCTAAGATCCCAATTTTCATGTCGAAGCTTCCGATACAACCGCCTCACGCTTGTATGAAACTCCATTTGAGTGCTGATCAAACTGGTTACAAGGTACAGTGTTGCCAACAATGTGCAATGTCAAATTGTTTAACTTTGCAAGTTCTGTGATTTATAAAGTCCCAAGAGGAATGAAATTGTACTCACTTTGTTTAATGTTATGTGTAAAAACTTTTAAATGAGTAAATTTGAAAATTTCGTTTCTTATTTTTTCATAACAAGGATATATTTATAAGGATACAAAAGTGATAATTACTTTATTGAGTACACAATTATAGTAGTAATCCCGAAATAATTTATTTAAGTTTAAAAAACAATTCCAATTATTACAAATACTAGTGTAACCCGGCCTACGGCCGGGATTTCACTGCCGCAGTTAAAAAGGGTAGGAGTAATTACCCGCTGAGTCAATGGTCAAAACCCGCATTAGGTGACCCAATAGTTTCTTAAACAATAATCTCATAATCAGTTATTTCTTGTGGATAATTAAGTCATTATTAGCCATGAGGCACCACACTCCATGATCATAAGGTCTGAACACCGAGTATTACACCTCATCACTCCCGTCTTGAACCGCTTTCTATTTTTATTTAAATCGTTATAGAAATTAACCCTTGTTAACTCCGCACCACACCCGCATATTATATTTGAAAACACGTATAACATTGTCGTATGAACTCTCTCTCTCTCTCTCTCTCTCTCTCTCTGCAGACCCCAAACACTAACAGTCCCCCCTCCCCTAATAAGCTTAAGGTATAACATTACAGCGAATCTTCCGGGCTAATCCAATTATGACGCTACTTAAATGCAGCTATAACATATTACACAGTAATGAGAGAGAGAGAGAGAGAGAGAGAGAGAGAGAGAGAGAGAGAGAGAGAGAGAGAGAGAGAGAGAGAGAGAGAGAGAGAGAGAGAGAGAGAGAGAGAGAGAGAGAGAGAGAGAGAGAGAGAGAGAGAGAGAGAGAGAGAGAGCAAGCCCCGTAACTCTTGCCGTTCTGCTCAAGCAATTTTATGTAACATTTGTGGTACAAAACCATCAATTAAACCACTTGTAGCGCGATGCACTACTGGGTCGCGCGCGCGCATCCAATAATGCTTCTCGCAACCACAGATGGTATGCAGATCGGCGAGATGCGAAGGATTGACATCGTGAATCATTGATTTAATTAAACCACTTACCACCGGCCGATTTAAAAAAATTTCCTATGGGCTTTATCAAAGTTTTGTCGGCACTATACCGAAAAAAACCAGTCCCGTAACTATTACCGTTTTTTTTGTATAACTGTTTGGAAATTACACACAGACACACACACAGACACACACACATTCTGGTGTTATTAAGTTGATATGTATGATTAGGAATAATTTAAAGATGTAACATGCTAGCTTAACAACAACTTTACTGGGCCGCGCTTGTATCACGTGGTGACCCCCACGGTCGCTGTAGCGTCTTCGACGCTACAGGGGGAGCCGCGCACTTCGTGCGCGGCGGGTCATACAACGTATGACAAGGCCGCGCTCAGCCTGTCATTCCGCCGAATCTCTATTCTATGAACATGATAGCCTGAGGTCCCCAGATAACAATAATTGCGCTTGACGCGGACGGATGTTACTTGTCTAAATTTCTTCGAAGTAGCGCGCTCCGCTAATTCTTCTCGAAATGTTGCCCGGGCTAGTATTTGATTCACGATGTCAATCCTTCGCAGCTCGGTGAGTGGTGAGGCACAGTGGTGCATCTCGCCGATCTACCGATTGGTTGCGAGAAGCATTATTTGATGCGCGCACGACCCAGTAGTGCATCGCGCTACAACACTTGACACACGCTGTAACCCCTTTTGAGTGCGCGCGAAGCGCGCGCGGCCGGCCAGCCGCAAAAGGCTCTCGCCGGCCGCGTGCACGAGAGGTATACAACGTGTAGCAAAGTAGCACTTTCATTTTTCAATATTCAAGAAGATAGCAGCGCGCGCTACTTCGAAGAAATTAAGAAACTAAAAAGACAAGTATCATGCGTCAAGTGTTTTGTAGGTTTATACATTATAACCTACCAAAAAGCGCGCCGAGTTGGACTCGTCGACGGTCTAATATTTGAAATAAGGAGTAGGGTTTATTGTTTATGTAAACCACAAAATAAATTTTAGATATGGCAATTTAACCGAATTTGAACCGAATTTCGTATAAAAGTACACAAACGTATTTTGCTACTAGATGCGTCTTAATAAAAAAGAACAAAAATTAGTAAAGGGGTAGAATATCAGAACTAGATATAAATTTAGAGCCTACAAATTGAGTAAGTAAGGGTCAATGCTATATTATGTGTATATTGTTTGAAACATTTTTATCATTGTAACTGTGTAAAGGGGTAGAACGGGCGATGGTCTTGCTTGCCAGCACTGTGCATCACATCACCTAGATGTAAAAAATAATGCAAATTATTATATGGAGCATGATTGATGCTACAACTTCGATTTACCTTTGACATCGTGGTGATATTAAGAGTAAGAATAAATAATATTGCTCTACTAAACTATATGTCGAATTTTATTAAAATGTCCTTACATATTGCTAGGTATTATTTTACTGTACTATTTTATATTGTATACAATTTTATCTTAAATTTGATCCTTCAAACAGCTGTTGAGCAATGAAACGCAAACATAATCTTAGCAAAATGAATATATTTCTTTTATCTTCAGCATTTAATCAGTCACATAATCTCAAATTATTTGTTATATAGTAGTGTTGAAAGTATTAAAACTCAATACAATTTTATACAATTTTACGGACGGAATGATCCCAGGGGGAGGGGACTCCCAACCCACCACTTCGGCGGGTAGTTGATGCATCGTTCACAAGCAAGAGCTACTTTGGTCTACTTGCTGTGAGGTGTCTCAGCTACATGGGTTTTTTTTATTAAAAAAAAAAATTGCTAGGTTCTGAGGAATGATAATCGCAGTGTTAAGATCCATCAAACAAGAACCCTGATTTTAAGAAACCTGTTTCATAGATGATCACTCTCTTTGTTATCACTGTCCTCCTACTTCTTCTTATTGGATTTAGTGTCCTTTATATATGTCTAGTAAGGAGACGGTATTCTCAGTTCTACTGTCCAAAGTATACCAATGTGTTCTTGGCTCATGCATATGAACTTGTGAAAGCTAAAAGACCTTTTATTGAAACATTTCTTTGTTGGTCTAAAGAATCTGGCTATAACGTTTTTGTACTCTTTTCTTCTTGGCGTGTTCACATACATGTGATTGATACAAGAAAGATTAAAGATGTCCTATGTTCGGTGACTCTTCTAAAACCCAAAGAACATGATCTCAGCAAGTTTTGCGGTGTTGACCTACTGGGTGATAAATCACTGTTTACTGAACCTGGTACCCTGGCTTGGGCTACTAAAAGAAAAGAATTAGACCCCCACTTTCACACAGCTGGTCTGCAGAAAGGCTATAGTAAACTTTTAGAAGTTGCATCTGACTTAGTTGAATCTATTGGTTGTGATGAAGGGACAAACATAGCCCACTTAATGCAGCGACATGTTTCCCATGTCATTGCTTTATTCATCATGAATATAGAAGACAAAGAAGAATTTCATTCATACACTAACAAAATCGCCAGTATATTCATGGGCTTATCTGTCAAGTTCCGTCACAAGAATACCTTCTGGATGCCATGGAATTTCAAAACTGAAAAAGCAAAAGTGCTGAAGGATCTTCATGATGTTCAGTCATACTTCAAAGACTTCATTTTGTCTCAAAACTTTGAAGAAATTGATCTAAACTCATGTGTTGGTTCTCTTGTCAAGACAAACATGGAAGGAGATAATCTGAGGATTGACCTTCTGATAAATGAATTAATCATGTTTTTCTTTGCCGGAATTGATACTTCCATGCATACAATAAACTTTGCATTCTATGAAATGTTGAGAGACAAAGCTGCCTTAATTAAAATCGAGGATGAAATCCAGCAAGTAAGTACAGTCAAACGTTATGCAAACTTTTTGTAAACCATCATTCTATTTTGATATATAATATATATATGTGATAACTAATCAGCAGTCAGTGATCAGATATTATCGATAGTGAATCACTTGCCTTTAGTAGAAGTGACCGTTAATCCAAAGGATTTGCTAATTTTATATTATTTAAATCTATTTATTATCAGGTATTTGGAGAAAGAGAGTTTATAGAATACAGGGAAGTGAACGAGCTGAAGTATCTTGACAAATTCATCAAAGAAGTACTAAGATATCACCCGATTGTTTCTTCAGTTACTCGTCAAACTGGTCCCAAGGGTTTCAACCTGTGTGATCAGTTTATACCAAGAAACACCAAAGTTCACATCAACATTGAGTGTGTCAGGTTAGTTAATTGCACAACCTCTTTTATTATTATGTTTAAATTTTTAACATCAAGTAGTTGCAGTTATTTTATGTCTGCAGTATTTGTTAACTATAATTTGGATAGGTTCATCTTATAAACATGTACGTTTTCAGAAAAGCGAAAAGTTCTGGAAGGATCCTTCAAAGTTCTCAGCGGATAGATGGGATGAATCACCTGTCCCCTTCAGTTACATTCCATTTTCTGGTGGCACTCGCAGCTGTATTGGCAAGAAACTGGCCCTGCTTGAGATAAAGGTAACTATTTGATATATATTATTCGATGTCCCAAAAATTTGGATACCCTGTTTCACCAGATATATACATAACCTCGTTAGGAATGTGCATACAGCAACACAGGATCTTGTAATCACCTGATCGTCACCATCATCCAAAACCGGGCTGCTAATTTAACAGGCAGCATGCGAACTTTTCATCACCCCAAACGTCACTGTAACTGAGCAATAGGGTCAGCGCACAAGTTAGGAGACAGCATCCTCAACTTTACTAAAATCCGCCGAATTTAAGGTTAACAGTTAGCAAACGGTCTGTAGGAATCGGAAAATTAAGCGCATTGTATTCAGTGATCAACTCTAAAAAATAAGCTCATTTTCGCTATTGGAGCACGCAAAGCAGTGCTTTAATAATGAGTCGGAGAAGAGTACCAACATTATAATATACGTGCCTCCTGATCTAACCCTTTGTAATAGCTACAATCTACATCCGCCATTTCATGCAAAGTTGCACATTTGTTTTAGGCCAAATGTCGGATCATAGTAAAGCAATTATAACTTGATCCGGTCAGTGACCGGCGGTCACGTAATTAAATTCAGTATATCTTTGTTTACCATCTACTTTACCTACTTGCTTACAGCTCTGTCAATTTCAGGTGTTCATCAGCTCAATTCTCAGAAAGTACACAGTAGATTTCGATAGAACCGACTTGGGTGAAATTTCGACAAAACAAGTGATCACAAATAGACTAGCAAAAGATCTTATTATTCATTTTAAAATTCGCGAATCATATTGATGATAGGAGACGAGTTAACAAAATATTTTGTGCATGTTTACTGTGTTTGTATCAAGTTTTTGATTTATATCAGTTTATAATGCCCAACGAAGACAATTTACAGATTATTAAAGCCCCGCTTGGTTGATATCAGAATATAGAACTTTCAAATAAACTGCACTGTGATCCTGGTATTCGGATAGTTTTACACAAGATTGGTGCACAAAATTGCTTCTTACTAAATATAATCCTGCTAACTTTATTGATTAAAATGGCCTTATTCATATTGTGGTTGATTACATCATACATATAATGATTGATAGTTCGTTTTATTGAAGCATAGATAATGAATTTTATTGTTTATTTGTAGATGTTTTGATACAGTTAATTACATGTTTTTTAGGATGGGACTTTTTACAAAAACAAATTTCTGGTCGCATTAAAATTTAGATAGTAGATATGATTTTATTTGTTGATTGCGTATTGCAATATTTCGTATTGCAATTGTCTTATGAAAATTTGAATATTACATCACAAGTTAATCCACAGTATTTCTTGTCCTGATTTCAATTAAATGAGCGTGATTAAGTACACAATAATATATTAAATACATGTATTTTATCACATTGATAAATTTATATCTGATTGTAACGAGGTTTGATATCGAATACATTTTATTGAGAAAATTTCTGAAATTTGATTCTTACTATCGGAGTTTCATATTATAAATTATTTCAATTTTGCTGCTCTTCAAATAATTGAGTGTGTCGGTAATGATAATTATTTATGATATAATATCATTATCGTATAATTATAATTGTATGCATTGTATAATCAAGGGTCAAATTTCACTGTCAGATAATCATCGTTACAAACATCTGTTGATATTACATTACATCATCAATGTCAGTTGACTGAAGAACCAATAATACCATATTTAATACTGTGTTTATGAAACACATATTATATGATATAATCAAGTGGCAAGTCATAACTTATCAGCAGCTATATTGAGCTTTACTGCGATCATTGTTTATTGATTTTGGTTTCGAAACTTAGCAATGATTTGTTGCACAGTTTATGGAGATAATATCTGATATCCATCTCGTTTGGTTTAAGTTTTTAACCATATTTAACACAGTGTTATTAACACTTGTTCCATCTAATATTGATATTAACCACGTTTACCTGTACTAGTTGATGCCAGGGCCGGAGCAGTCCCCTCAACCTACTAACCCACAGCCTCCTAATTTCACAGGTTTGAAACTAATTGAAAACTAGTACAGAACTGCCCGTGTCCAGTTTCATCGTATCGAATATCATGTTCAGTAATCAGTGTTCAGTAATCAGTTTTTGTCTCAACACTTTTGTAATACTAGTTACTGTTGAGCCCTCTGATTCTAACCACTTTTCACCAACCTTTCATCTAGCTTTTCTCTCCCGAATACTTTGCTTTTAGTTTTGTTTCAACAGAAATACCTCAACACCAGGCATGCCGGGTGGAGGGCCCAGTAACAACGTATCAGGATCTCTGCTGATAGCACTGATCGTGGTGTGTGCCCTGCTCATGCAGTTCTCACTCCACAAGGTCGAGGAGGGGAATGTTGCCGTTTATTATCGGGTACTTATTTCTTACGCTTCTTGCGCTTCTTACATTACTTACATTTTTTGTTTCTCTAATTAAATAAAAGTTGTGTCAACCCCAGTTGAATTGGCACCTTCTGAATTTATAATGTTCGTCTAAGATAACAATTCCCAAGTTGCTCTGTAAACTTACTGTTTCCCACAGGGTGGGGCCTTGTTGCAAACCACTGCCTCCCCTGGTTACCACTTCATGATGCCTTTCATCACCAGTACCAAAGCTGTCCAGGTAAGCACACACACGTGACACTCACACGTGACACTCACACGTGACCTACTTTTATCTTCAATATTACCATATTTGTAACCCAATACTTATCCTGATATACTATCTGAGGTAACGACACAAACTGACGAAGTGAAGGACATCCCCTGTGGTACCAGCGGCGGTGTCATGATCTACTTCGATAGAATAGAGGTTGTCAACCGACTCAAGAGTGATTCAGGTACAGGTATTTTGATAAATGTAAGGCCAGGTTGAGGTTACGGGCTTCAGACCGTCATACTATGAGTTATAAATATTAATCTTCCTTATATTTTATTTGAGATGAGGTGAATATTAGTTATCATATCTGCTGATAAGGGTGTTTAAAATGCAACCCTCTTTAGTTCTGAGCGTGGTACGTGACTTTTCTGCTGATTACGACAAGCCGCTCATATTCGACAAGGTTCATCACGAAGTCAATCAGTTCTGCAGTACTCAAAACTTGCATTCAGTCTACATTGATCTATTCGGTAAGAACCTTCATTTCTCTGATAATATTTCTTAATATTATCATATTTTATAGATTATAAATGTTTGATTTTTGATCAATAGAACTCCTAGTCGAATATTATACCCGAAGTAAAAAATCTAGTAATGGTTATTTATTTATAGATCAGATAGACGAGAATCTGAAGATAGCGCTACAGAAGGATCTGATACAAGTAGCTCCAGGGCTGGAAATAGTAGGCGTCCGAGTAACTAAACCTAAGATTCCTGAGGCAATCAGACGAAACTACGAACTCATGTAAGTTATTATCAAATATATTTCATATTCTACCGTTTTCAAACGTCATTGAAGTAGTAGTACAATACAAAGTATTGTATTGCAGTATAATACATTATACATAATGCATCTATTCTTGGCTATACTTCTATGGTACAAAAACTTGGCATTATGATTCTGTTCTTTTTCATGCATCTTTTATCAGACGTATCAACTAGACCGGATTAGATCTTACCGAAACTCTTATTTTAGGGAAGCAGAGAGAACTAAGTTACTGATAGCAACTGAGAAACAGAAAGTAATAGAGAAGGAGGCTGAAACTGAAAGAAAGAGAGCCATCATTGAAGCTCAGAAACAAGCGGAGGTAGCCAACATAACGTACAGTCAGAGGATCATGGAGAAAGACAGCCAGAGGAAGATGTCCGTTATCGAAGGTAACTTCATTTTATCAGGACTTCAGTTACTTCAGTGACGACGAATATTTTTATTTTTAAGCGTATTAAGAAGGTCTTAAAGTTAATCTAAAAATCGATCAAATCTATGTTTGACACTTTAACGCATAAAGTGCATATTATATAATACAACTTATACATAAATTATGTACATACAATAAGTTCTACTGAAAGAGCCTAATAAGTGACTTAAATTAAATAACGTTAATATATCCCTAGATTCCACAAATCTTGCTCGAAGCAGATCCCAAGCTGACGCCGAGTACTATGCTGCTAAAATGTCAGCTCTTTCAAACAAAGTAAGTTTAACTTCTATTTCGTATGTTTTTCCTTCAGGTTCTCTTTATTTATGGGATTTATACACATTGTACAAGGTAAAGAAATATCAAAGGCTTTGACAAATTCTGAAAACATCTTTTAAAGTAACCAGGCAGCTAATCTATCTTCATCTAGATAAAATTTGCATACTGATCAGTGATCTTCAACATTAAGAGTTTTGCTCTTTTCTGAAGTTGTTCATGACACTAAACGTTGAAATACCTATGAAGGTTGTCTAAATTAGAATATTTCGGCTTCTGTAAGTCCTCTGTTAGGAGTAAATCTCTGACTCGGTGAAATGGATCGGTCTGATCCCCTATCTTCTTCTGCTTCGTGTTTTGAAACCTTAGCACTTACAACAGACTTGCTTGATTTAGCTGGTGTAACGAGTAGTGCAGAACGTTGGGAGGCCTGACTACGAGCTATTACTTCCTCGGCTGCTTCTGCTCGACTCTGTTTTCGTGGACTACTCTTTATCGGAGAAGGCTGGGCGACTGGTGTTGCTTGTTTTGAATGAACACTTTCGTGGGGCGTTTTTGATCCTGGAGTTTTGCTTTTCACTCCTGGTGTTTTCGTTGGTGATCCTATCTCCTCAGTTGGTTTAGATCCCTGTTGAGATGCCAGAGTTACCAGTTTCCCTGATCCTGGTGTTTTGGCAGCAGATCCTGCTGGAGTCCTGCTCGGTGGTTTCCCGGAAGTTGGCGTTTTCAGGACCAGGGCTGGAGTTCCAGTGGCAGCAGGTGATGTAGGTTGTGATGTTGGTTGAGCTGAGGGTGGCAGGGAGAGGCCTGAGGGTCCAGGGCCACTTGGTGATCCTGCTCCTGAAGTTGAGGGCCCTACTCCTGCTTCTAAATCCACTTCAGCTGTGTCGCCCAATACATTTGGGGACTTGCTTCCCAGTGGAGCTTCTTGTACTTCAACCTGACAAAATTGACATTGGGTTACAAGACTTAGGTTAAGACCATCATTTCATGGCAGGTACCGCTATACTTGTTTGACATGAATATTAATTTTGATAATATTCTATACCGTCATCGGAGTAGTTTTTCTGGAAGCTCTTGAGATATAACCCTCGATTTTAGCTGAAAGAACGGATTTGGCTTGTTGGGGTATTGTGGTTCCTGGTGTCTTATCCAGTCGCTCGTCATCTACAACAGTGTCTCCACCACCCCATATCGCGTGGGACATTTTTCTCCAACTGAGATGAAACTTTAATTTAGATAGTTGTAACATTTGGTTTGTCGGAGTTATGGTATTAATGGAGATGAAATAAAATTCACGTGTTATATCACATGATACATCATAAACTTAATGCAACTGAAAGACCAATCAGATCTCTGAATCCATCACACGTGATCCACCTTGAATTGTGAACAAAGCTCTTTGTTATATTCCTTCGCATTAGGTGGCAAATGATGGCTTATAAAATGCAATTCTTAGCATGATATTAATAGCAAATTCTGTCTCATACTCTAAATAAAATAAGATAAACACAACAGGAGATAGAAACAGTGTGTACGTACTTTCCGATGAAACCAAAGCAGTTATCATCAGACTTGAGCTCGGTCTCAGTGAGCACCGCTTTCTCGTGAATATCACTCTCTGGAGGATATGCCTCCCTTATTCTTGTGATCACGTTCTCTATCGCTGTCTCGTCTATCTCCTGTCTGAGACCATGATAAACACAGAGAGAGTAGAGAGCAGAGAGCACAGGTTCTACAACACGTGACTCGTTGAGGTGGTTAGTAAGAGCGATCACCACCTGGTCTATCAGATTGTGGGACAGCACCTGGAAACAGTTACTTATTGGTCATACGTAATAATACCAGAGTAGTTTTGTTAACATTTGAACACCAAACCTGGAGAGTACCTGCTAACTTATAATTAAAAAATTCCATAAATTTATAAAATTTGTAACTTTATACTGAGAATAAACATGATAAAATGATAAATTGATTAACTTATCATTACATACTCCGAGCACGGCAATTAGAGAACAGTAATATTAATTTGAATAGCTTCTCCGACTACGGGAATTAAGAAAGTCAACATAAGATCAGAGTAAGATGATATCGAACCTCTTGTTTTAAGTCTACGTTCTTTATACAAATGTTAGACACAGCTCTGCAGGCTTGTCTCTGAACTTTTGTTGATTCAGGATGTGCCTTCATGCCTGTTAGTGGGGTTGTGGGTTAACTAAACACCAGGTTATATCATGTGACGCATCATTCTGATCAATTTGAACATGTATATAATATGGCTAAAAAACAAACCTATCACAATGGCTTCCACTGCTCCAAGTTTCTTGGCAATGATTCTGTTGAGATCGTTATTGAAGCACACATTTGTTAACATGATTAGAGATCTTGCGACTACATCTTCGTTGGCTGACATGTTCTTGATCGCGTCTATCGACATCTTTATCGCACCGTTCTAAGGACACTGTTGTTATTTTCTCGGAGCTAAAGTACTTAATTTAGAGATCTGAGTATTATTGTATACAAGATTGATGTACATGAACTAATTAATAATTAATTAAGTAATTACAAACTAATTAAGTAATTACCTTGCCAGCCTTGACTCTGTTTTTAGGACTGTGAGAGCACATGTTACCCAGAACCCCGGACGCAGCTTCCATCACGATATCACTAGCTGGGAACATTAACATGGAGTTTATAGCGTAGTCCATCACGTGCAGCTTCAGGCATTGTTCTTGCACTGACTGTTAAATATAAGAGATCAAAGAATGAACTTTAATAGTCACTGAAATATACATAGTATAACAGATGTTTTTACCGACTAAACGCAAATAGTTATCAGACTTAATGGCATGGAAAATTCGAGAAGATTTTCTAAAATGCCCACCTTGTCATAACTGCAGAGTATCTGTATGGCAGTGAGCGCATTCCCCACTACCATCTCATCTCCCTTGTGCACTTTGAGCGCAGTTACAATGCACTCAAGGCCGCCCATATCCGCTACTTTCTGCTGAATCTCTGGCTGGTTTGTTGCCATGTTACAGAGGGCACAACAACCTTGCTCTTGTACTTCAGACTCTTCCTGGCAGGGAACTGGGTTATTTAGGGGAACCAATTACACGATTAGATGCGGTTTAAATCGCAATGCCACTGTGAGAACTGCGTACACACATTTAGATATAAAAGTGCTTATCCAAATCGAAAGTTCTTCAGTTAATCAAATATTGTATTCAAGTGACCGTGACCCTAATACTAAGAATATCATTTATTATTAACCTTGTGTGCGGACATAGCATTTATGATGTTCTTCAAAACTCCATCACTAACGCACTGTTTCCTAATGTCGTCGTAGCGTAGTGCGAGGTTAGCGATAGCGCCGCATGCTGCGCGCTGCACCAGGTCATTGCTCACGTGACTACGCATCGCCAACTGGATGTGCCTTACACCCCCCTGAAGAAAGTTATTACTAGGCACAGTATACTTATAGTGTACATATCACACATAGTATAGAGGGGGGTTAATAGTATATAGTACATCCACTGCGGAGTTGTTAAGAATTTAACCTCATTACGATTATTGCAGTTTTTCAAAATGACCAAAAAAAGAAGAGCCCCTTGCTAAATAAATAAAAGTAAAGTTTTAAGCCTCCCACCAACAATCTACATGAATAATGAATATAAACTAAAAGATATTGCTATTACCTGCATAACAATAAGAGCGTGTAGTCCCCTGTGATGATAACAAACATTAGCCAGCGTCACACAGCCCGCTTCCTGCACTGGCTCACTCATAATGTGATGTCTCATGGCTGCCAGGATGATGGAAATGCTGCACTCTGCCACTTGGGCTCGGATATCTCCCATAAGATTCACCAGCTCCTCACACCCTCTAACTAGTGTTCCAGGGTCCATGATGCGGTCTCTCATTCGCTGTGAGACTGTGATAAAGGTGCTCTCTTCGTCGCTGGGCCCCGCTATACCGACCCTCTGGCCACGTTTCTGGGCTGCACGTGCTGTATCATCCTTATCTTGGACCCATGCCAGGAGCTCCTCCAACAGATCTACTCTCTCCATTTCCTCAAGTAGGATCGTCAGGAACTCTATGTTCATCCTCCTAGAAACATTGTCAAGTGATGAGTCTGACTAACAGCTGCAATGGTCAGTATGTTATCCCCTATATAATAGTGCACATTAGTGTGGATAGTAACCGAAACACTCTCACAAGTAGTCTCACAACTGAGGGGACACTTACTAACCTGCTGTTGGTAAGATAGTTGATAAGTGACACTCCAGTTGTAAGCTTGCTTTGTACACGTTCGGGAATGTTCGCCAGATAATGAACCGCTGATATGTCTTCTGGGGTGAACTGGGCTGCTATCTTACGAGCAAACGCTTTGAAAGGATCAACTACGTCCTGTTGGAAGTAGTGAAGTGTTATATATAGCTAGGGATTTGTTTCATGAATTTTCCACCAGATGTTTTTCAATTAAACTGCCAAAATAAAAAATCCGTACATGTAGAAAGGAGATTGTAACTCACTTTACTGTTGAGAACTGAGTCCGTCTGTGAGAGTGGCTGTATCATAGGTGTTATATACAGGCTAACATCATCAGCCATGCTGTGAGCAGATGAACCGTGCATTGTGCTTTTACCTCCTGGCACGGACACAGACCCTCGTGATTCTCTGTAGGATCCACGAACAGAACCATTTGCTGAACTCCGGATTGAACTCTGACGGCTAGGTTTTCTGACACTCCCATTGCTGTGGTGAGAGCCGCTGTGGTGGGAGCTGCTACGATGAGATCCACTGCTACTGGATCTATCTTGCTTGCTCATAGTTCTCACTGATGCCCTGCATTATACATAATATTATGGGACACATTTTATACAGCACATAGTACTATGTGACACATTTCAGACTTTATAGAGTACGTAATATTAGGGGGCACATTTCAGATTGCATAGATTTCAACGTTTAGAGGGCAGGTGTGCATATTGACACTTTCATATAAGGTCTTATTACTTGTCAAACAGGCTATATATCGACTGAAATTAAATTCAACCTCTACTGTCAGAGTAAATTAGAAAATGCTAGATCTAGAACAATATACAGAACTGTTATTATGTTAAATCACGATCCTGTTTCTTACCTGACGGAGCTGGCTGCTGGGGAAGCTAGATCTGCTAGAGGGTTCTCTATCACGAGAGCAGTATGATCCTGATCACTGTGATGTGAAACAGAATGAAGTGAAAGTGAAGCTTGTGAAGCAGAATGATGTGAAGCTTGTGAGACAGATTTTAGTGGTATTGAAGCTTGTGAAACCAGCTGAGGTGTTTTATGAGGAGTGGAATGGTGTGACTCTGTTGGTTCTGACACTGATCCTTGGATAGATGCGCTTTGTTGCAGACTGGGTGCTGATTCAGATGGAGTTATTGTTTTTTCATCATCGCTTTTCTTTTGTTCCTGAAAAGGTATGGCTCTCTGTTATTGAGTTCTTGAGATAATGGCTTCAGAGATGGATTGAAGGAGTGAGCTTTAATAATGTAAGATAAACTTACTTACCTCTATTTGAATGACGTGGTCACCAGAGGATGCACGGCTGCTAGATTTTCTTGTTGTACTGTGGACAGATGTCCGGTCAACATAAAACACCTCCGGATTTTCCTTGATAGACACTGTTTTACGATCATCATTAAGTGACTGTTGACTGGAGAAAGCGACATCATGTCCGTTTTCGTGGTGATCGGACTGTTGACTACTCCGACCTAGTGATTGTTGACTTGCGTTGGTCTTAGGTGTCTTCAGGATTGATCTTCTGCTACCTGTCACAATTCAAGGTTAAATATTATGCTGTATTGTAGTCATCATCATGCTATTGTTGTTATTATTATTATGAAATACTTGAGAGCGTCCTGTCAGCATGACAAATAATGAATGGTAAAATAATTTGCTTGGCTGAAAGCCATTTTACGTCAAGCACAAATTCTGCTTAAATTTACCTGTGTCAACTGTTTTTGGCGTTACAACAGCGGCTGCTTCACCTTCTCCGCCATCACTACTCCCCACGGAGGGAGGTGCTATGGACTTCGCTATATCGTCTCCTGAGATTGATCTGATAGCTTTACCACCACTCTTACTCGACTTAGAAGAGGCGACTGAGAGAGAGCCTGTTGGAGTTGCTGTCTTTACTGGAGATCCTCCTACTTTAAAGGACTGGTCTAGATTTGTTACTGATCCTATTACAGAACCGTCTTTAGTGGTTACCACCGTTCCCTCGTCCAGAGATATTCCAGCTTTTGGTGCAGGTTTGGTGTCCGGTGTTGCAGCTTTGGGTGTTGCAGCTTTGGGTGTTGCAGCTTTGGGTGTTGCAGCTTTGGGTGTTTCAGCTTTGGGTGTTGCAGCTTTGGGTGTTGTAGCTTTGGGCGTTTCAGCTTTGGGTGTTGCAGCTTTGGGCGTTTCAGCTTTGGGTGTTGCAGCTTTGGGTGTTGTAGCTTTGGGCGTTTCAGCTTTGGGTGTTTCAGTTGCTTTAGCAGGACTTGGGGCCACAGGTGTCGGTGCTTTAGCCGATACTGGTGTTACTGTCTTTGGGGCCACAGGTGTCGGTGCTTTAGCCGATACTGGTGTTACTGTCTTTGGGGCCACAGGTGTCGGTGCTTTAGCCGATACTGGTGTTACTGTCTTTTGGGCCACGGGTGTGGGTGCTTTAGCCGATACTGGTGTTACGGTCTTTCGGGCCACAGGTGTCGGAGCTTTAGCCGATACTGGTGTTATTGTTTTTGGTGCTGCCGGTGACACATTTTTGGCAACCGGTGTTGCAGAGGCTGCGACCGGAGTAGCACTCTTAACAGGGGCTACAGATGCAGGTGTCACAGATTTCGTTGGAGTTTTTGAGACTGGCGTGGTACTCTTAGGTGCGCCCAATTTGGACGCCACACTTGGATTACGTGATCCAAAGGATTTAGGGGTTACACTCGATAAATTAGACATGGTCCGGCACTTTGACGAGTCACCAATTTCAAAGAACAAGCAGCAATTGAACTGCAGATAATTGTATTTTGCAAGCTCCTTGACTACTGTAACAAGTAGTGAGCGTGATTAACCAATCAGAAGGCAGTATCGAGGTCACGTGGTACATGCTCAGTGCCATTGTTTAAATTCCAGTTTGATGCTTGCTGAGGAATTGCAGCCAGCTTTGAATGTGCTACTCCATATTTTATAACGTAACATATTTACTGAGGACAAAGCCTATGAAGCTATTTTATGTTACCGAGATCAAAAGCTTTATCGTAATTATGACAAGGTAAATTAGCTGCGATCATTAATTGACGCCTGTAAATAACATGGATGATTTGATCAAGCAAATGATATTTTTTTTTATCTAGACACTTATTTTACTTCGGAGTATTCCAACAGCCATATTGTTACACAAGTGCAACCAGCCAATTACAGGAAGCCGAAGGATTTGTTTTTAGCCAGTGACGGTTAAGGTAGTGTGTACCATACTTTCTTCGCCCGAGACTTTGCTGCAATGTGCAGCTCCTCATTTAACCCTCACACCCGATTTCTCGAGTATTCGGCTGAGTAGACCGGGGGGCTGCATAGACCACTCACGATCCTTAGCTGAATGTCAACGACACTCACCCCACGACCAGGCAGGCAGTGGGATTTGAACCCGCAATCTCACGATTGCAAAGCTGGCTAACCAACTGCGCTACCTGGCCGTTTAAATCTGATCTAAAGTTGTTTCTCTTTCAGTTGAAGCTGACACCGGAGTATTTGGAATTGTTCAAATACCGATCCATCATGTCAAACGTAAAGCTCTACTTCGGACCCTCAATCCCAGATTACATCGCCAACAACATCGGCGACAGCAAGGAGTTGTTTAAAGATCCCTTACCCATCGATCTCACAGATATTGGGAATATACCTGATCTAAGCACCGAAGTGTAGTCCTTCCTTATACGGCGGTAGATTATTGTAATTTACACTGCCACATATACCCTCCTACTTTAAAGGACTGGTCTAGATTTGTTGCTAACCCTATTACAGACTACAGAGCCGTCTTTTGTGGTTACCAATAATTATTACAACTATCGCCGTTTAGAGTGGATTTATAGAATTTGGTTTTTATTACAATTGCGTGTGCTCTTTATTTTATAAAGTAACGGATTAGATGTTAAATATACTTTTTCATTGGTTAATTTACACGTTTGGGGACAGAATTTGAAGCTTTGAAGAACTTACATTTGAATAATGAATTTTCGAGATCCGGAAAAACGATTTTCATATTATTACGAATATGTATGCATATTTGTAATTTATTTTCTTATTTTGCTGTCAAAAATATTAACTACTGCCATGTCCTATGCAAGATATGTTATTACTATACCGGATTGATATTTGATTTACTCAAAATAAAATAAAATATTGATTCTTACTTTTTAGAGTTCGCATCATGTCTCATGAAGACTTAATAAACTTTTGAATATTTTTAATATTCTTTCATTGGGTTTGTGAAAAATGAGTCCGAGGGAGAACTGTGTAATGTATTCTATAACAATGTTTTTCCAAATTGTTAAAATATTTGTTATTATTTCTATTCACATCATTATTAGTCATTGCAAAACGTGTCTGGAAGAGCGATTAATAAAGTTTTCAGCTTTACGAGAATATGATGCCAGCGGTTATTTCATCATCAAAATCATCATAAATATGTAAACAAATTTAGGGAATGGGGTTTCTTAATGATAACGTTAATGTAATTTTAACACATAGCTATGCGTAAACTGATTACGGAGGGGGGAGGGGCTCAAAAATTGGACAAAAAGTGATTAAACGTAAACCGCTTAATTGGGGTCGCGGAAAGCTAAAATTTGAAAATGTCCTACTGGTAGTACGTACGTACGTTTTGGTACGTTTTGGTGAGTTTGGCAGGGCGTGCTCAGGACAACTGCATCGAGTGCGTCCTCCTCCAGCTCAGCATTGAGTTATCGTTTGTCGGAGTGTATCCCGGAACCGGTGGTGTGTCTGGGTACTGTTCCATAAATCTGCCTAGACCAACTTTGAAACTGTCTAGCAATGTGATACTCCGGAGCTCCGATGGGAGCACGTTGAAGAGCTGAGCTGCTCTAACTCTAAAGCTGTTGTCGTAATCTGTTCTTACCGACAACTGTGCGCTTTTGTTCATGGCTGGGATCTCTGCCTTAATACCATGCCTTTGATGAGACTTGAACTCGAAGCCCGTATCGTTCGGAGCATGTTCATAAAGAATTTTCCAGGACATAATATTCAAAATGTTCATTGCATCAAAGTTTTCTCCGGACATACTGTTTCCAGTGCCCTGATGGCGACTAGTGTCACTCTCACCGACCTCACTGATTGGTCACTGGTCAAAGATTCAGTCAAAACCGCGAAATTTCGGTCAAGGGATGGCAGAAAAGCTTCTATTCAAAAATCTTCCAAAATCTCTTTATATTCTGATGATTTTCCGTTTATCAACGCTTTCTTTTGGGAAAAGAACTTTGAGTACCTCAATCGTGTCTTGTGCCATCCTCAGTGACCTTGTCAGATGGTAATTCAAGAAAAAGTCAGTCAAAACTGTAAAATTTCGGTCCTGGAAATTTTGTTTTGTTAAGCTTTCTGCTGTGGGCTTCGTCCGACCGAAATGAAACTTCCACCACAATCGTGTCATATGCCATCTATAGTTGACTTGCTAATTGGTTGCAGGTAAATAAATCAGTCAGAACTGTAAAATTTGGGTCCTGGAAATTTCATCTTCAAAAACTGAAAATGGGACAGAGATTGGGACAATATGATTTTGCAATTTTATTCGGGATTTTAACTGCCAGTACCTCAATTTGGTTTCATACCATCATCAATTAATTGACTACCTTACTCGGGAATATTATAGCGGGTTAATTTATGACTGGGAAAATTAATAACCGGGAAAAATATGGAGGAATTTCCCAAAACCCGCCAAATTATCCCGGTCATGTATTACCGGTGGCCGACCTTTCAAGTTTTTTTTCAGAGGTCAACAAATTTTCAACCGAAATTTCTGTTTTTGTTACTTGTTAAAGAAGCTATTTCAATTTACAGTTACTGATATTACTCAGAAATAGAAAAAAAGACACGTCTAGTATTTGAAGGAAAATAAATCTATAGCAATAATAAGTCAAATCTTCATTAAAGCGTATTCTCATTCTCATTATCGCTAATGTCCCCTCCGTTATCATTATTTATATCACCCTGCTGCTGACCGTCAAATTCGAAGTTGTATTGTTGTCTTAACAAAACTTTCATTTTGTCCGCTAATGGGCCACTGCTCTGAAGGTCAGCCGGAGCTTAATTTCCTGCCCACCGCTTGGTATTGGGGAACGTCTTGGCTTTGCATCTTCAACTGCTCCAGTAATCAATCCACCGTGGACCATGAAATAGTGGCACAGTTTACTCACTTCATGGGCAAGAAAAGTGAGAATCACGGTCCACCCTGAAATCTGATTTCTATAACCAAATTGTGATTTTTATAACGAAATTATGGTAGCAACCGCCAATAAAGTTACAGCCCTCCATCCACTGCTTCAAAAGTCTTCTCTAGCACATATGAGACTTCAGGTAAAATATGATGATCACCACCCCCTTGGAACCCCATAATCTGAGTCGGCGGGTTTTTTTATGACTGGTGAAATTTATGACCGGGAAAAATATGGCGGAATCTTCCAAAACCCACCACTTTATCCCGGTTATAATAATCCCGAGTAAGGTAATTGGTTTCCGGGCTAAAATTTCATCCAATCTGTCAAATTTGTGTTCAGAAAATTTCATATTTGAAAATGGGACAGACTTTTGAAATTACAACTTTTCGTTTTGTTAAGCTTTCTGCTGTGGGCTTCGTCCGACCGAAATGAAACTTCCACCACCTCAATCGTGTCATATGCCATCTAGAGTTGACTTACTAATTGGTTGCGGGTGAATAAATCAGTCAGAACTGTAAAATTTGGGTCCTGGAAATTTCATCTTCAAAATCTGAAAATGGGACAGAGATTGGGACAATATGATTTTGCAATTTTATTCGGAATTTTAACTGCCAGTACCTCAATTTGGTTTCATACCATCATCAATTAATTGACTTATTGGTTTTCGGGCAAAAATTTTATCCAATCTGTCAAATTTGTGTTCAGAAAATTTCATATTTGAAAATGGGACAGACTTTTGAAAATACAACTTTTCGTTTTGTTAAGCTTTCTGCTGTGGGCTTCGTCCGACCGAAATGAAACTTCCACCACCTCAATCGTGTCATATGCCATCTATAGTTGACTTACTAATTGGTTGCGGGTAAATAAATCAGTCAGAACTGTAAAATTTGGGTCCTGGTAATTTCATCTTCAAAATCTGAAAATGGGACAGAGATTGCCAGACAATATCATTTTGCAATTTTATTCGGAATTTTAACTGCCAGTACCTCAATTTGGTTTCATACCATCATCAATTAACTGACTAATTGGTTTCGGGGCTAAAATTTCATCCAATCTGTCAAATTTGTGTTCAGAAAATTTCATATTTGAAAATGGGACAGACTTTTGAAAATACAACTTTTCGTTTTGTTAAGCTTTCTGCTGTGGGCTTCGTCCGACCGATATGAAACTTCCACCACCTCAATCGTGTCATATGCCATCTACAGTTGACTTACTAATAGGTTGCGGGTGAATAAATCAGTCTGAACTGTAAAATTTGGGTCCTGGAAATTTCATCTTCAAAAACTGAAAATGGGACAGAGATTGGGACAATATGATTTTGCAATTTTATTCGGGATTTTGACAGCCAGTACCTCAATTTGGTTTCATACCATCATCAATTAACTGACTAATTAGTTTCCAGGCAAAAATTTTATCCAATCTGTCAAATTTGTGTTCAGAAAATTTCATATTTGAAAATGGGACAGACTTTTGAAAATACAACTTTTCGTTTTGTTAAGCTTTCTGCTGTGGGCTTCGTCCGACCGATATGAAACTTCCGCCACCTCAATCGTGTCATATGCCATCTACAGTTGACTTACTAATAGGTTGCGGGTGAATAAATCAGTCTGAACTGTAAAATTTGGGTCCTGGAAATTTCATCTTCAAAAACTGAAAATGGGACAGAGATTGGGACAATATGATTTTGCAATTTTATTCGGGATTTTGACAGCCAGTACCTCAATTTGGTTTCATACCATCATCAATTAATTGACTAATTAGTTTCCAGGCAAAAATTTTATCCAAAATGTCAAATTTGTGTTCAGAAAATTTCATATTTGAAAATGGGACAGACTTTTGAAAATACAACTTTTCGTTTTGTTAAGCTTTCTGCTGTGGGCTTCGTCCGACCGATATGAAACTTCCGCCACCTCAATCGTGTCATATGCCATCTACAGTTGACTTACTAATAGGTTGCGGGTGAATAAATCAGTCTGAACTGTAAAATTTGGGTCCTGGAAATTTCATCTTCAAAAACTGAAAATGGGACAGAGATTGGGACAATATGATTTTGCAATTTTATTCGGGATTTTGACAGCCAGTACCTCAATTTGGTTTCATACCATCATCAAATAATTGACTAATTGGTTTCTGGGCAAAAATTTTATCCAATCAGTCAAATTTGTGTTCAGAAAATTTCATATTTGAAAATGGGACAGACTTTTGAAAATACAACTTTTCGTTTTGTTAAGCTTTCTGCTGTGGGCTTCGTCCGACCAATATGAAACTTCCACCACCTCGATCGTGTCATATGCCATCTATAGTTGACTTACTAATTGGTTGCGGGTGAATAAATCAGTCAGAACTGTAAAATTTGGGTCCTGGAAATTTCATCTTCAAAAACTGAAAATGGGACAGAGATTGGGACAAAATGATTTTGCAATTTTATTCGGGATTTTAACTGCCAGTACCTCAATTTGGTTTCATACCATCATCAATTAACTGACTAATTAGTTTCCAGGCAAAAATTTTATCCAAAATGTCAAATTTGTGTTCAGAAAATTTTATATTTGAAAATGGGACAGACTTTTGAAAATACAACTTTTCGTTTTGTTAAGCTTTCTGCTGTGGGCTTCGTCCGACCAATATGAAACTTCCACCACCTCAATCGTGTCATATGCCATCTACAGTTGACTTACTAATAGGTTGCGGGTGAATAAATCAGTCTGAACTGTAAAATTTGGGTCCTGGAAATTTCATCTTCAAAAACTGAAAATGGGACAGAGATTGGGACAAAATGATTTTGCAATTTTATTCGGGATTTTAACTGCCAGTACCTCAATTTGGTTTCATACCATCATCAATTAACTGACTAATTGGTTTCTGGGCAAAAATTTTATCCAATCTGTCAAATTTGTGTTCAGAAAATTTCATATTTGAAAATGGGACAGACTTTTGAAAATACAACTTTTCGTTTTGTTAAGCTTTCTGCTGTGGGCTTCGTCCGACCGAAATGAAACTTCCATCACCTCAATCGTGTCATATGCCATCTATAGTTGACCTACTAATTGGTTGCGGGTGAAAAAGTCAGTCAAAATGTATCACTGACCACTTTCAAAAAGCATAAGGTCTCTATCAAGACAGTTAGATCAGATATTATCTTCGGTAAACTTACTCCAGGCCATGAGGGGCAACTTTTCCCGCATAAGTTATGGACAATGCGATGAATGAATAATTGGTCCAAATTATTTATCAACTAAAGCGAGGATGCGGCATTATTGTATTGGATGAGTTTAAACTTAGACAAATGTATCTGTGGGTCGCAATTTCAGAAGACTGACCACAGTCATCTTGTGCCCTTAGGTAGTGTTCATTTTGGTACATTTGGGCCACAATTTTAGGGCAATATTTCTGCTTCCGTTGCGAACACTGATTACAGGGCACGCGGATATTATTTCTTGGAGGTACTCGCGCAACACGTCCGGCCGCACGTCGCGCGCGTAGTCGACGTACGTTAGGCGGCGTTTTCGTCCATTGTTCTTCTCCTGATTTAATCTATCAATCTCAGCTTAAAGCTCTTCCATGTGGAACCAGGAACATACCGTATTATAAGCTGTTTGACCTTTCATCTGTGACGGTGTGCATGCGAAGCCGAACAAAACCCAGCCCCGGAACTAGCATTGACCATGATCATTTATAGTTTCTGGCAAATCCATGTTCAATGTTGAAGCATTTGTTATTACGCCTGGTTAGAGGCAAAGCACTTAAAACATCCCACCGGGTATAAACTTACGAGTCGCCTAAATCATCATATTTAAAAAATCCAAGCTATGCGTCCTAGCTGATTTGGGTTATTGTCCTGTTCTAGAGGTCCTAACTGCTGTAAATCTGACCCAATAGGTATAGCCAACTCAGCTCTACCAACCCTATCCATCCCGAAAAGAGCTCCTTTTACAACCCACCTTCTATAATACAAAACTGTATATATCAACCTGGCTCCCGAATTAGGATTTCTAAACCCTCTCACTTGGCTTACGTTAAATGTGTAGACACTAAACAACCACTTAGTACCAAGCTTAAAGGAGTATCGGGACCTTCAGAATGCAGAAATGGATCACTTTTATTGTGTCCCAGCGGACAACGCAAAACAATCCATCCACCATTCGGTGCCCAAATGCCAATTGATATAGGTCAGATATACATGAGCAGTTGATCAACAAGGACTCTGAATACTATTAGAAAATAGAAATACATTTAGTTCCCGTCTCCCGATACTACTAACTGTGTACTACTGCATAATCGGTATTGCAGGACTAGACGCAGATAGATGGCAGCGCACTTCATTAAATTTCAATAATTTGCTATCTGCGGCGCGGCTCCTCGAAATTGAGACTGATTCTGCTAGTAGTTAAGTAATGTTGCGGAAATGTCCCACGCGGAGCCGCTTTTCGGTTGAGGTTGCTGGATTACAGCCAAACTGAGAAATCCGCAATTAACGGACTGTAAGGAAGGCGGGCATTTAAAAATATAAACCCAGTGTATGTATGTATAAAGCAAAGCCTGAAAATGATTAATTCAGCTAAATAAACGGTAATCACAGTAATACATAACACATAATGGTATTTGACCTATATCGCCTAAAGCTATTTGCTACTATAAACAGTTTATAATATATCACCATAATAATTCAAGTTCGAAATTAAAACTTATAAAACAGCATCAATTGCATTTCGACATACATAAAGAATTTGGTTTAAAGCTGGTATAAAAATATGTATTTTCGAAATAGTGCCATGCTACTCAGTCGAATACAGATTAAATCCCAAAATTGCCTCAACTATTAAAACTGTAACTCGTCAACTGTAAACTTTTTGATTTTTTAGTGAAAAACTTAAGAGAGGGAGATTGATTTCCGAATTAATTTATAAATACACATCAAAAATCAAAATGGCTCCCGACGATAAAGAAAGTGGGTATAATAATTTTAAGAAAGTTTAGAAACTAACGTTTTATGATAAGCTTTAAATCAACTACTAATGCGCCTAGAAAGTGTGTATAATAGTGCTAACAAGGTTAAGAAACTAATTCTTTACAATAATCTCCAAATCAACTACCTACGAACAAAAGAAAACTGATAAAACTGAAAAATTTATCCCCAAACGGCAAACAATCAAAACTTGTATGTATATTTCGTAATTAATTGTATTTACATTCACTTTTTCCCTGTAGGAGGTGGCTCCGTTTTGATCGGAGGTTTCTGCATTCCTTTTTCGATAATTTTGTTGAGGCACTGGCCAAATTCCTCGATTATTGCTTTCTCAATAGTTTCCATGCTAAAGTAGTGATCCACTGCATGTGATCCCGCCGATAAAAGACACCTGAAAATATCAAATTTAAATTTCAATAGCTGATTGAGCTTCTTTGACGTGTATTGTAACAATAACAATGATGAAGCAGAACAATCACAGAACTATAGTTTAATATGTACATTGTACATAAAGGAGGTCAAACCAAATCTTACCAACACTCAATTATAAGATGAGGGCTCTAGACTTCTTGTATATTAAAGCGATTGGCATTAATGTTATATTATATTCAACTTAACCAATTCAACTACAAATGTTTCATATTGTATTAAACACCAGCACATACCTGCAAGTCGCAGCGGCCAAGTTCATGCTCAAACAATCAAGGTTCATATCATCAAGAGGAGCGAGGTCAGGTGCAGAGTGGCTCATATTGTGAAGCTGGGAACTGAACTTAGCGCTGACGCTGCTTTGTTGTTGATGACGCACCACAGCCACATCCGCCAGCTCTTGCAGTGTGCTGTGTGTCTGAGAGTAGTTCTTACAGCCCACACATTTACACAGGGAGGAACATGGGATCTTAGCTTCGTAACACTCGCCTGAGACATGAAATAAGGTAAGAGCCGCTCAGGTGCGATGTGGTTATATAATATATATATATGCCCATATATACTATTTATCATCAGTCATCAGTAGATATAGAGATCAAGAGGGCTATGTAAGAGTGCCACCTAATACAAGTCAGAAATTCTCCTTCAAGATCAATCTGTTAACTTCAAACTACATATAACGGAGATTGTCCCCAACTAATATTTGATCATATATGGCACTTTACAATACCCTCGCTCTCTCTTTCTTCTCTCTTCTCTTTCTCTCTCTCTCTCTCTCTCTCTCTCTCTCTCTCTCTCTCTCTCTCTCTCTCTCTCTCTCTCTCTCTCTCTCTCTCTCTCTCTCTCTCTCTCTCTCTCTCTCTCTCTCTCTCTCTCTCTCTCTCTCTCTCTCTCTCTCTCTCTCTCTCTCTCTCTCTCTCTCTCTCTCTCTCCTCTCTCTCTCTCTCTCTCTCTCTCTCTCTCTCTCTCTCTCTCTCTCTCTCTCTCTCTCTCTCTCTCTCTCTCTCTCTCTCTCTCTCTCTCTCTCTCTCTCTCTCTCTCTCTCTCTCTCTCTCCTCTCTCTCTCTCTCTCTCTCTCTCTCTCTCTCCTCTCTCTCTCTCTCTCTCTCTCTCTCTCTCTCTCTCTCTCTCTCTCTCTCTCTCTCTCTCTCTCTCTCTCTCTCTCTCTCTCTCTCCTCTCTCTCTCTCTCTCTCTCTCTCTCTCTCTATCTACTGCCCCACAGAGAACACAGATTGTGTGTGGTTAGCTGCAATAATGAAAGTGGCAAGCTGTGAGTTCCAGCTATCCAAACTGATAGCACCACATTCCACTGAACTAATATTGTACTTAAAGTGATTGTTGCCTGTTGGAGTGTTAATATCCAAGTATCGCTGGTAGCAGTGAACTGTGAAAGATTTACACATTCTTTCAGATAAGAGTAATGATGAGGATGTGGCAAAAGTTTGTTTAGACAGCGATTCTGGAGGATGATTGGTTTATGTTGCACACGCCACGCTGATTAGTTAATATATATTTTATAGTGAATATTTGTCACGTGTCAATGCAGATTAAAAACACATGACCATTAAAAACTGTAAGGAAATTGAAAGACGAAAAAAATCGCAGGCTTTGATGCGAAAACATAATACTTCACGACAAAAAGATAATGAAGCTACTGAAGCGCTAATTGAAGCACAGTTGCAACTCATTATTTTACTAACGAAGACCTGCAAAATATCAGTATCGGCAAAATTTGAGCTGAAATGGTCGTTAAAATTCGGCGGCTTTGGCAATTATAAATTGATGTTTTGCTGCTAAGCGCTATCTGACAAGAGTATTTTAAACCTAGCAATGCTGATTAACAGTGAAACCCCGTTACAGTCTAGGTGTAACAAGCATTTTATAACTTAAACAAGTTAGAAGGATGCAAACGTATTTCACTTAAGCACTGACTCAAAGCGCAAGTTGAACCAGTTATTTTGGAGGGCTCTTGATTTTGATCTATTCCAGAAAATGTCTTTGAAAAAATCAACAGCTGTTAATTGGTGCAACAACATTTCTAGAAAAATCAATACAAGCGTCGTAAAGTTGTAGGAGAGGTCGGCATTATATAAACTTATTTAATGCAATAAAATCTGATTTAAATTCAAAAGGTATAAGAACTTGGACAGTCTTCAAGATTCATTTGTTTTAGTAAGAGATATTGGGACAGGGAAGAGTGGAAGATATTATCCAGATTATATAGTAGTACTCAATCATTAGTAGTAATTATAGAAAGTTTACTTGTTTTGGTGGACTGACCAGCTAATACTCTCCAGTTTTTGTAAACAATTTAATATCCGAATAAATTACTAACGCAAAAATTAGTTTGTGTCATTTGTTAAATTTCGAGCAGCACTCAAAGTTTGGACACTAGTCTTGAAACACCCATACAGACTACATACAGTTTACGATGAGTACAATCTAAATAATACAATATATTAGGTGGGGTGTAATGTACATTATACACAGTAAAGTATACATGGTTAGCAGTGGTGGTATAAATAATTAACTCTCTAAATTCCACATCAATCAGTCACGTAAACTCAGACTAATGAGCCAATTAAGAACCATTCCACTCACAGTAATTTTTGAGACATCCAGACCGCTTGCAATGACACCCCTTAGAATGATGTCTGGCATCTGAGGTTCCCTCGGAACCTTGGAACGTTTTCCCGATCTTGGGATGGAATGCTAGCGGGTTTCTCTCCAAGCAGGTCTTAATGGATCTCGATCTGTAAATATGTTTATTAAGTGTAATACAACTTTGGTGACATGCAATTTATTTGTGACAGTGATTGTTGACTGAGAAGTACTTGACAAGTAGTCAGCTGGTATTTGGCGGCAAACTGTCACGTGGTTATACTCACCAGTGATATCATGTATACATTTGCAGTAGGTATCGGCTACTCTACTGAGTAGACTCTACTCAGAAGTGTATGTATGTTCAATGTGCCGTGCTAATGCCATGATTATTAACTTATAATGAGATTTAAGTGTGCGCTCTGAACACAGTTAATTAGCTATCATCAAATCTAAATCAACCTTATTTTAAAATAGGGACTTTCCAGTATTTCATTAGAATAAAAGCCTGAACAACCTTGTTTTAAAATCAGAACTTTACAGCTAACAGTTTTTAGTCTTTACTTAGAAAAGAAGGCTGACAAACACTCGGTTTATAAACTGTTGACTACGAATAATTTTGAAGTTATAGTGACAATTCAAAAAGTTTAAGATTAATGTAAAATGTTGACGAACCTCTCGCTCTCGTGCTGAATGTTATTGTGACAGTTCTGACAGTTACAACCACTGCAGAACTCTCCGTTAGCAAAACAATCGCAGTACAGTTTCAGACACATCGACTTGGTACAGTTGCAAGGCTTCTTAGGTCGGGGATATATCCCACCGTCAATAGCTGAGGAAACAGGCTGCTTTGGAAGAGTAGGAACTGGCTGTGTCCGAGAAGGCAGCACACTTGTGTTTAGCTGCTCTACAGGGCGATGAGGTGGAGCGTAGGGTAAAATAGGCTGATAAGGCTTGTTGTTAGGTCGCTTGATGGACACGTGGGACACTTGACTAGCAGCCCCACGCTTAGCAGGCGGTTTCATCTGGGATGTATTTACGAGGAGGAACTTAGCACTCCCCGAAGTGTTTAGAATAACTTTCTGAGAACTGCCCGAAGCAGATGCTTTATTAGGTGTCATGCGGGGTACAATAGGTTGGAGCTGTCTGGGTTGCACTACCTCATTTCCACGCCGCGCTACCTCACTCCCCCGCCCTTGCTTGGTGTCGTGTGTAGACGCAACATTGGCTGTGGGAGTTCCAGTCGAGGATGTGGTGACCCTGTTTATACGGTTATTGGAGATTGAGAATGTCGCTTTGCCTTTCAATGTAGCTGGAACAAGGGGCTTGAACTCGTGCGTCATAGTCCCTCATTCTGCAGACAACATCCCTCCTAGTATTAAACCTACATCATCCTGCACACTGGGGTGGAACTGTTAGAAACTGTTACATCGTACAATGTTCATAACATAACAAACGTAAAGTTTTAGAAATTAGGTTTAGAGTTTTTAGAGTAGGTAGATTCTAAGATTTAATAAATACTGATGAGACTACGTTAAAAGCAGTAAAAGCAAGATTTTGTACAGGTTTGTAAACAAATAAATTTTCGTTAAACGTAAAACATGACGGAAAATCTGACGTTATAAACTATCATCCTATATATATATTTTGTATAAATGCTATTTTAAAAATTCCTACATGATTATAGTGCGCCAATAATTAGTGCTGCCGTTCCTTTTCTTTTCAATAGAATTAAACCTCTAAAAATAGATTAATCAACATATTTCAAAGATGTAAACTAAATACTAGGAGTTATGAAAGAATCACTAAAAATAGACAATATCAAGACGTATCGTGCAGGCGGTATCGTTAAATGTTATTTATTGTTGAATGTTATCAATCTACAAACAAGAAAAGATTTAAAACAATGCATTTACAAACTATCCCTACTAGAATAGACATGTTCAACTCTAAAAGTTCAACATTCAATAATTCAATCGACCTCTAAAATCTTAATACATAATCATGATAATAAATTTTCTATAAAATATACAAAAATTTCTCAGTTTCTTTGACCACCGGAACCTCTTCTTCATTAACCCTCAGAATATTAGATTTGATGGCCTTGTCAGCCTCTCTCTCTCATTCCTTCTTTTAACTACTTCGCCATTAGTATCTGAAGAGCCAGTGAAGACCCTATATTGACTGTTGGGGTTCAACCCCATGAAGCAGCTATCCACTGAGGTTTGTTCCTTACATTTTCTATCACTTCTAATAAGTCTCTGTACGCTGCGTGAAGTTCGTCATTTACCAGAACTCTGTCTATCAGGTTAGCAAAATGTTTCTCTATTGCATCTGATACCTGGTTAAAAGTAAATACTTTACAAGTTAAAATGTAGAAATTACAAAAATACCAGATATATTTGTATTTTATTTTATATATTTTATATTTATATTGATCCAAGGTGTACTGGTGTAGTATTGCCAGACCCCAGTTCAATTTGTAACGGAGTTTTATATTAACAGGAAACGAAGTAACAGAGTCAATGGGGTGGCAACTGGCAAGTTCAGTACCCATACATCGTAGTCCGATAGTTTCACTGCGTCATAATATACAACAGTATCTTAGTATCAAAACCACCTCAAAAAACACGTACACTTTTAGAAATCATGGTAACCCAGAATAAGCCAGACATACTAACGACCATTGAATTCTATGTATTTGGAATGTAGCTTACTGTGGGCTATCATTACAATTAAGTTAGATTGATACACAAAATTGAGAAGAAGTGCATCAATAAAAGTATACATCTTGATCTCCTAATAGAACGTAATAGCGTGACAAAAAGACTTACTCGTATCATCGCTGAAAGTTCGTCGTCTTTGAACTCCTTTACCCCGGACAGTCTAAACTGTAGTGAAGGATCGCGCCGTGTAACCTGTAGCCGCTGGAAGGGGGGCGGCTTCACTAAGATAACATACGGTCTGAGCTTGCTCTCTCTCAGTTTCTTGATAGAAGGAGGTTGGAGGTGCAGGATGCAGGATTTACCAGCTTGCTGAACCATTTCCACCGCTTCAAATGTGGTTCCGTAAAGATGTCCTTTATACTCCATGTGCTCTATAAACTGCCTACTTTTTATACCTCCTGACGATATAAACAATGTTACACATATTGTTTCACACAGTGTTACACATATTGTTACATGACGTCTGTGTATTCAGAGTTGGTATATATCAGATACTAGGGCTGCAGATTACGATGGAAAAATACCAGCTAACCAGCTGCTGCACTTTATTATATTGCTATAGCTTAGTATAGTGCAGGTGAAATGACAAAAGAGATCCATCATGCTGTGTTTAGATCCAGCCCCCTAATACGATCAGCTACATATGTTGCTACTGGATGATCCGGGGGGGGGGGGGGGGGGGGGGAGAGATCAGGTACTAAGTTCTTTACGTGACGTCGACGTAGTACTAACTGTGTCTTGGTATATAAAATAAGATACCCACCCATAAATTGCTTTAAACAGCTCATTAAACATTGGGAAATGGACAAATTATACCCAGTGCTATTTAGTAGGGGTTTTGTTTTCAATGTAGTCGAATTAGATAAAATTAAAAAGTTACAAAAACAGGATTTTTTTTTTAAAACCCAAAAAAAAACTCAAAAACACCAAAACCCAAAAAACCCATTTCCAAAATTGAAGGGGTTGGACACCCCCCTAAGTACCATGTACTAACTGTTTTTCTGGGAAATGTACCATGTACTAACTGTGTTTTGGAAGAAAATAATGACCCACCCCCCCCCCCCCCCCCAACGTCACGTACGGTACTGACTGTATGATCCCCCCCCCCCCCCCCCCCCCCGGATGATCAGGAACTATACTACTATACCTACAACTAAGATATGATAATTCCATCAAATTGTAGCGCAACAAATTATTACGACCAAATATCATACTCAGAGTCGACATGGAGATATCATTAATATTTAATTTATGCAGTCATATTAATCCCCAGTTGAACCCTTCAAGAAAGGTGTACTTAACAACCAGTCGGCGATTGACAAAGAGTCTAACAGTAATATCAGATACAGTATTTATAATTAGTGTAGTAGCCTGGTCAAGCTACAACTTATATAATCTGCGCTATAAATGTTTAGATGACATAGAAGTTTACGGTTCGCTGGCAACAAACCCAGATGATTTGACAACATTATATACCGCACAATACATTGCGACATAACTGTACATTTTACATTATGTACAGAGATGATACCGCAGAGTTAGAGAGCTCTAATTATACGTTATATACAGTCTGTAATGAGTTGTCTATCGTGTGGCGGTGGCTCACCAACGCACACTTTTAGTCATGAAACCATGGAGTGCAGCACATAGTGTAGCCACATTCATACCGTAATATTTGTTCATATTTCTGTTATACGAGCAGGGTCAAAGACACTTTGCTGATGTCAAAAGCGGCGCTCCTATTTTAAGACTTAAAGAGCTTGTATCAGTCAAAGGCAGCAGTGTAAATACTTACGTTCCATTTCTGGTCTGGTAACAAAGACGAGATCTCGTCCATTTATCTCGTGTTGTTTAGGAGACCTGGTAGTATGTGGTATGGGAGATGCGTACTGTGCTGTCTTGTTGCCGATAAGGCGCAGGCGCAACTCGTCGCACCCAACTCCTGGCGCACCCACCATTATAATAGGGCGCGGGCTGACAGGGTCCGGATAGTGGAGACACACCTGAGATGGTACGACAGATAAGACTTATCAGTATTTGAAGTTTCAGGTACCAAACGTAATTACACTCACCAATCAGTTGGAGTATTTCTCAGTGTGAGTCTGTTATAGAGACACCTGTATAAAAATAATCAGGTTCAATAAAAATAATTAATTCGGTCATCTCCACAACTTTAAATTAATTAATGACATGATTACCTCTTCGTAACAGTGCATAGTTTCTGCGTCCTTTTCCAACGACTTAGCGGAGGAAAACATCATCTTCTTCGCCTTCTTCTTTCTTCTGAAGCTCATAGATTTATTGTCTTTCTTTTTTGAACTGTCTTTACTCTGTGACGAAGATAAACTGTCTTCACTCGTCCCGGATTGAGATATTCGTCTGTCTTGGTATTCTCTACTGGGTACTAAACCTGTCCTGTAAATCGAGAGTCAGTAATTAGTAATTGGTAATTAGTAATTAGTAATTAGTGCAGCATCAGTTATCAGTTTGTCATTAGTGTTATTCCTTTAACCAGCTACTGAAACTACTCCGGAGTCCGGAGACATCCCTTGACAACGTTTCTACAATGTGCAGCTATTATCCTGTCAGCCATTGCTATTAGGCAACTATTTATAGACCAGGATATAAAGTAACAATAAGAGTCTTCATATCAGACAAAGTAGAAATACATTAATATATTAGATGAACATAATACTGAAATGTGGGAACCTCATGGCGGGATCGTTGATAAGACTAGCCTGCCACCACATCTTATCGTCTGATGAAATAAGTTTCAGGATATCTCCTCGCTTGAAGGCGAGTCCAGCTTCTGGACACGGACATGTTCTATCCATACTGGGGTTGTACTCAAAGTTCGCTTTCAAGTGAGATTCGTAGTCGTTACTGGGGGTTAGGGGGTTGTTAGGCGGTGTGATGGTGTAATGTTTAGGAATATATAATATGTCTGTCTATACTGAGACATCTACCCTGCACAGCATACTCCGGTTGTAATTTAATCCCATAAAATTGCAGTTTAGATTTACGCTGTTATGGCAAAAGCTCGTTACAAATCACTAAGTGATTCGGTGATATGTCATCAGTCATTCGGCATTAACTAATGAGCTCGGTCGATCAAATCTAATCGTTTGACTATATAGCGGTCAGAAATATAATTATAAGAAGTTCATAAATCTTTTAAATTCATGGTGTATCCAATCGTTCTGATGTTGGGCAAAGTTTAAACTGCCTCCCCAAGTGCAACTCATCTCTATACCCAATGAAGAAGAAGTTGAACATCCTCCTGCCTGCTCACCTGTGAAGGGTATTGTTTCTACCCTGGACTATCTTGAAACTAAGACACCCGTTAGCGGTGTTGGATAATATCTTAGCCACATCGTCCAGAGATCTCCCGATCACGTTTACACCATTAATCTCCTTTACCTCGTCAGCAGGCTGCAACAAACCACTCTTATCAGCCGGACTGCCGTGCATTATCCTGCCGACTAGGATGTGTCCCTGTTCGTCCCGTTTTAATGTAGCTCCTAGTTCCTGAAATATAGCTATATGTTACTCTGTGAACACGTTTGTAACCACAACTATTTAATTATCTCAGTGCGTTTAGTATGAGGTGTGCTAGTTTCTCTGGAATCGTTGAATAAATAGATTTTACCAGGTCAGGGTCGAGTAACTAAATGTAGCATAAAATATATTACAAAACTATCTGCCACCCAAGAAAGACCACCCAAGACTAGTTTTGTAAAAGTAGAGCTTCAAATATGTAACTAGAAAACCACCTTGTCTAGATTTTTAACTATAGAGCGACCTGCCCAGACTCCTTATTAGAAAACAAATGTCCAACTCTGCAACTATAAAACAACCTGTCTAGATTTGTATATTCTGATAAGTTTGATGTGGGGTTCGTCCTCGAGATCACTGTCAGAGTCGGGGCTTATTGCCGGCAACTTTGGTTCGTAATCCTTCCTCGATATCGTATCATGAACTGTAAACAATCCCTGAAATAATCTGATTTTTATTTTTGTACAAAGAATTTGATTAATATAACTTACTCGTCCAAGATGATTGTTATACAACAAATAAGATTTACAACTACCCGTCCTCCTGTTAAATGCAAGGAAACAATACTTGTCGAGCCATTCTTAACATAGCCAGGCTCACCTTGCTGCAAAATACTCAGAAATAACTTTGTCATGCTTAAAGTTAATACAGATAAATATTTAAAATCAACATAGAACTAAGTGGCCTAGTAAGGCAGTGTGTGATTCCGCTAATCCAAATTGTCAACTAGATTTTGACTGGATCATATAACAACCCGGTTTGATTCATTTGCAGACATTGATTTTAAAGTTTCAATATCAAGTTTTGCTTACATGCATTGAGGCAGATGACAAGACATTGAAGAGTTGCTTGCCAGAGGGAGAATTCAAATTCTTCAGTTCGTTTAGTAGGTTATTGTTTTTAGATTTGGCATCCTTACATGTGTTATGTAACCTCTCCACTTCTTGAATCTTTGAGTGAACCTGAAAGAGATTATCGTGTTAGTATATGCTGTAAGGAATCAAACATTGGTTGCTATAACAGACTATAATGCTACTCAAAGAACAATTAACTCCTTTTTACTTTTTGTTAAATTTAAGCACCAACCTGCATAATTTGTTTGTAGTCTGCATTTTGAAAGAGTGATGCTAGATAGTCCAAACCATCCTCACTAACTCCATCCTCCTCAGCTGCAACTGTCATCACCCTACTATTATTGTGTATTTAAAGTATATTGTTCGTGATATAGAGATGGCTACACATAAGAATCCAACTAAGATAATCGACAAACCAAAATGGGTTTTGTGGTGATAATTAAACTCGTAAGTTAAGAATAATAAGTAGTCTAGAAAGATCTATTAAGTGACTTAATATAATTATAACAACTTAGAATACAATTTCCATGACACACTATGACTAAAATTCAAATAAATTATGAATCTCACAAGGAGTAAAAACGAAATTCATTATTGAAGTCAACCCAATAATCTAATAATTTAACAGCTTTTTAAACCAAAAAGCAACATTTCAGACAATCATTAACACTCGCACTGGCACTTGATATGATAACATTACATCTGCAATTCTTTGTGAAATGTCTCCAATCACATCAGCTTGAAACATTGAGTGTTCTAAAAATCTTAATTGATATTGAGCTATTCTTTCGAGTCTGCGAAGTAACCAATCCACTCTCTCCGTCATTTATTGGAGTCAAATCATCATGAAGATGCACAGTGTGAGTTGTTGCACTGACATCAAACATTCCATTTCCTCGTAATTTGATTTGCAGAGCCAAATTAATGACACGTTGTATAGCAGGTCCAATTCCGTGCACTAAGACATGGTCAAGCTTCCCTTCATCTAAAATACGCCATGCTCTCTCCACCTGTTGATTAAAGGGCTGTGTTGTGTCCACATAGAGTTCGTTAATCCCACGAGAATGGACCGGGGCATTCTTCTTCACCCTGACTTTAGCTGACTTTGCTGATGCCATTTGTGACTGTAATTTATGATAGCTTTCACGAAGTCAATTAATTAAAATTAGTACTTGAGACATTGCCTTCGTAATTGCGTGCAAAGTATTACCATGTTAGACATTATTGCCGCTAGTGTTTGGTTCACTCAGCTTAAATGACAATGTTAGCTAGGTTATTGCATGCATATGGATATCACAAGAATTTAGATAGTTAGAAAATAACCAAACAACAGCCTACAACCGGCCCGGAGGGGGTTTTGTGTACATGTAATTAAAGGTCGATAGACCACCATGAAATGATACAGCATCACAACAAAACATCCCCCAATAAACCCCTTGATCAGAAAGTCCGCAAAATATCGGTTTGGTGACAAACACATCGAGGATATATGACAATAGATAACCGTCGAATGTACTTTTGTAAGGTGAATTTAGAACAAACTTTATTGTAGCGCTCGATTCTCACAGCAAGATTAATGGTGGTTTAACCTCAGATTGCGCGGCACTTCAAACCTGCGATTCTAACTTTGAACGAGCCGACTTGTTTCTTACTGTCACCAAGATGCAGTTAGGTATAACCAGTTAGACCTAACGCAGAGTTAGGCCTAAATTAGGCCTAAATTAGGCCTAAATTAGGCCTAAATTAGGCCTAAATTAGGCGTTAGGCCTAACAGTAACTGTCACCAAGATGCAGTTAGCTAGGCCTAGCGCCTAATTTAGGTCTAATTTAGGCCTAACTCTGCGTTAGGCCTTGACATACGTTGCATGCCACTTTTCGCGCGCGAAGCACGCGCCGCCGAAGGCGGAAAAATAATATCTCTGATATTTGGATACGAAACATGTATCAAGTTAGGCCTAACTGGTTAGGCCTAACCAGTTAGGTTGCCTCCCGAGCAAGGGTGTGGCGCGAAAGCATGGCACATGGTTAAATGAATTATAAAGTTAAAAAGTTCACCTGCCGAACTGTCGGGAAGGTGAACATGAGAATATATATTTTTAAAAGTTAGTCTTATTGTCGGTGTCAATCCTTCGCAGCGGTGAGCTGATTGTAATATAACGGCCCAGTAGTATATTGCTACGATCTACCAATGAACCTTTTCAATGCGCGACATGGCCCAATAGTGCATCGTCTTACTGCGTACAAAATTGATTTGATTCACGATGTCAATCCTTCGCATCCCGATGATCTCTTAGTTGCGAGAAGATGCGCGGCGCGGCCCGGCAGTGCATAGCGCTACAAAAAATTGATTTACTGTTTTGTTATTCGGGTTAGGATTTTAGAGATTGCTTTTGACTGTGGTTCTCGTTCGATGCAAAGCAAGAGTGCTATGTTACGAGGCGTGTCGAAGCGGCGAAGTCCTCCAAAATTTTTTGCAGCGCAATACTTTATTTTACTTTATCAAATTTGTTACGATGTAGCGCGCGCTTGCGCTGTTTTATTTTCGAAATATTGGCCCGATGCAAAGCTTGTAGCGCGATGCGTTACTGTGCCGTTACTGTTACTAGATCGGCGAGATGCGCTACAGCGCCGAGCTGAGATAAATTGACATCGTCAATTAAATGCAAAGCTTTTATCATTTCGTGTTTGATATTGCATTTTATTTGCATTGTGTCGATGAAATAACCGTAGTTGTACAATTTTGTTTGCACTCCTTCTTGTAGCGCGATGCACTACTAGGTCGCGCGCGCGCATCCAATAATGCTTCTCGCAACCTTTTGCAGATCGGCGAGATGCGAAAGATTTACATCGTGAATCAACACTCCTTCCGATCCATCGCACATTTTTACATTCATGCATTTGTGATTGGACAACTGACTGCCAAATAAAAAGTTAAAACGTGTACATTTATAACCTACCAAGACGCGCGCTGAGTTGAACTCGTCGACGGTCTTGTCGATTTGAAAAAAATATTTTACGAATATCACCCGTTAAGTTAAAACTTGCCCAAGTGCTACCCAGTAAAAAATAAATTATTATGCATTTAATACCAGACTTGTTAAAACTATTCAGTGTTCAGTCATGCTTTAAATCTTTTCCACGTCACACGCTTGAAAAAATTTTTTTAAATAAACAACATTTGCATTTTGTGTTATGCGGACATCAGAACAAACATGGAACATTTCTTACTCTACGAATCGAGCGCTATCACTGATCACATGACTTGCCGATTAACCGATTTTTTTGCAAAGTGTGTTACGATATGCGTTACCTGGGGATAGGACCTCAGGCTATCATGTTCATAAACAAATATGAATAGAGATTAGGCGTTATGACAGGCTGAGCGCGGTCCAGTAAGATATGCGTCAATCATAATTATTTGGTCAGTACTATTTTGTTAAACATTTTATGGACTGTTCTGTAGACCTATTGCAAACTGGTCCATAGACTGGGTTCTAAAATGTGTTGTTTTAAATGGTAAATAATACACTTATTGGGGAATAACGTTAATTTTGTCACATTATTTTATATAGAACTTTTGGTGAATTGTCGTAATCATTCATATCCGACTTTGGTTTGAAAGGCTAAAAACTCTATACAAGGACGATATACAGGGTATTCACGAAATATTGGAACGGTTTTAAATATATATATAAACATTTTATGAAGGAGCAGTCCACTATATTGTATATTTACCACTCAATATTCTCTTCAGTTATTACTCAGGATGTTGCAGCACAATGTTTGAAATTTAGAAAATTTTGTAACATTTTTGATATCTGGACTGGTTTTATATTAAAGGCAGTTGATGTTAACATTGTCACAAAAATTATACAAAATTGTAATTAGGTTAAATTTCTAAACAATGACTATAGAATGAAATAATGAACTTATTACGTGCACAGTGGCGTAACGTTGCATGTTGGCGTCAGTGACGTAACAAAGGGCCCCGCTGACCTCGCTGTGCAGGGGGGCGCCGTCTTAGGGGGCGCCAAATCGTCGTTTAAATGTGGGACAGTTTCGAAAACTTAACTAAAGTACTAGCAAAACTGCGCGTTTTGCTCTAGATACACACTTTTTTAGAGATTTTACCGGCGTATCCTTTAAAATCACCTAATTTGTTCAATTTTAGGGAGGGGCACCAAAAGGGGAGGGGGCGCCAACAGGGGGGCGCCTTTTCGGCGGGGGGGGCGCCAACAGGCAACGTTACGCCACTGGGGGGGGGGGGTCATCAAAATTCTCCCGAAATTGACTTTTTAGTTGTTCCTGATAGAGGGGAGTGATATCTATCAGGTGCTTTTGGTCCCATGGAAAAATATTGTTCCTAGCTAGCTGAAATTATTATCGGTCAAAGGTCAGCGCTTCTGTGTAATTGAATTGCGTGAGCGATTTTCAATTGTGTTCACAAAATCGAGTCTAAAAATCTATCTTCTCCTAAATGTTTTGAGCAATCACCCTGAAACTTTCAGGATATGTTCTAGGGACCATTTAAAAAAGATTTTGATATTTGCCTCTGTTCTTGAAATATGAGGTTAACTTTACCTTGAAATAGGCCTTTAAACATTTTTTATTCGATTTTGAAAATCTTGGACCTCATTTTTGGACAATTTTTTGAGGTCCAAGATTTTCAAAATCAAATAATAAATGTTTAAAGACCTATTTCAAGGTAAAGTTAACCTCATATTTCAAGAACAGAGGCAAATATCAAAATTCTGTACAATAGAATTGTGTGAAACAGTCTAAGGAACACCTGTGCCAAGGTTCAGGTCCTGGGTGTGGCCAGTCTTAACCAAAAGTTGAGCTTTATCTGGAAAAAAGATATTAAGAGTTAAAGTTAAAGTTTTACATGTAATTAAAGGTTTAAAACCTCAAATTTTGGTCAGATTTTTATGCAGTTTTTTTCTACTTGTTCATCTCCAGCAGTGTGATCACATATATGTGAAAATTGGAAAAATTATAATTGAATATTGGACATTCTACAGTCCACATATAATTAATGAAATTTAACAATCCAAATTCCACGTTCTGGTCAAATTTATACATAGAATCTAATACAATTTTTTTTACAGCACATGGGTTTTGCATGCAATATCATATGAGAGAAGAATCTTGGAAGGATGCCACAAAAAGGTAAGAATGGTACATTTTCTGTTAAACATATTGTGCTTAACTTTGATTCACTTTCCTCAATTTTCACTCAGAAAATTTGATATCTTAATCGTAAGTTACGTAATCAATGATGTCTCAGGTCTCAGCAAGAAGTCGGAATATTACTTAAAAGATCGATCGCTAGAAAAGCCGGAGTCTTTAAATGAGTCACTTAGATACAAAGCTCTTGAGAACAAAGTCTTCTATTTTGACTTCAAAAACACGAGCACGGTAAGATTGTATACAAACTATTTGTTCGTATTGAAATACATTGGAGTATTAGGCTTAACTGTTTAATTTAAATGTATTTCCATTCTATTTTCCTATCTTCGGAATTTCTAACAGGCTGCATGGCTGGAGAAAGAGATACGAAAGCTAGGTGGTCGGGTTGAATATTTCTTCGGTAAAGAAGTGCAGTACTTGATAACAGACAAGCCACAGACCAAGGATTCCATTCCTCCTTGTTCACCATTCAGCAACCCTGGTCCCAGTCCTTTCTCTCGTCCTGAGTGAGTATTAAAACGTCATCCCAGTGGTCACGTACAAGTTATTATATTATATGAAAAGCATTAATATGCATTAGATCAACCCGGATCGGAATCTTTGGATGACCTAATTTAGCGTGTGACGATCACCAACTCTACAATATTTACGTACTATGTGGCTGGCTACGTGACTGTACTGTCTCTAGAGTCTAGCCTATATCGAATTTGCGCCATGACAATAATAGTGGCCTTTAAAAATCTGCATTATTTATCCACTTTGATTATCGAGGGCCAGTTCATATCAACGTATTTCGTTTTGTAAGAAGGACGTGAGGGCTTAAGAGGACAGAAAACTAAGCGGTCAAGTTACACTAAAATAGCGCGGGTAGGAGTTCTTGTTTTTAACAGCAACTTTGCCAGCACATACATATTCAATATTTATACTGTTATTTGTATGGAAGGATTAGGTGGAGCCCATTCAGGCCCTGCCAATTTTCTGCCCCTCGGTCGAACACATCCTTAATGTGTGACACGTACCTCCTCTGTAAACCATGTTCCTAAATTCTTTAGCCGAACCATCTTACGACAATCTTTCGCAATCGTGATTCGATCCTGAATATTGCACAACAATTAATTCTCAAATTAGATTCGGTTATCATCGCATTGATAATATTTTTACCGTGAGAACTGAGAGCATGCGGTGCTTTTAAAAAGTGTGACGAGGCTAGGTTGTTGCACAATATTCAGCATGGTGATGGTATTTGAAACTACAAATGTTACACGTAGTAGCTAGTCACACACCTGCCGGGGCTGGTGGTTACTAGTTACACTGTGTGTGTAGAGCTACAACTGGTACCATTCCTAATTGAGTAATAAGGGTAGGGTCATCACACTTGGTACATATTTCTCACGTTAATTAGGGTAATTATTACAGAATATTCACACATTTATTACACTACGTTTACACGTGCACTACACAATGTGTTGACACTTAAATTACACAATGTTCAGACATTAATGTCACAATGTTCACATTTTAATGACTCTCTTCTCAGTACAAGTCAGTCTATGAGGGATGTGGCTCCGACACCGAGCGAGTGGGCCTATTCAGATCAGTGGAAGAAGCCTCAGGTTAATAAGAAACAATAAGAAACAAGAGACAGGCTGATTATACCTTACTTGTAACGTATGGATCTTATCATTAGTTACTGTTTTAGGTGTAACATTACTTACTCTGTTAGGTGTACCTATGCAATGTAACATTAAATTAGTTACTTTGTCCACGCAGGACCACAGAATCGTTTCAAATTGCTAACTATATTTTCTATTTTTAGTCGTCCCAACGATCACGAGCTAGTAAAATGATGGAGTTGGCTTCTGTGACGAAGTCTCAAGGTTCCTGTGATGTTTGGTCGAGAGCTAAAGAAAGAGGGACGACAATAAAAACGGTGGAGAACTTCATAGCATGGCTTCATACCGTTCATAAGGTACACTCAAAACGGTCATTAGGCTACTTTAACGTATCATCGTTGCTCAATTAAAATTCTTCAAACATTGCCACATTTCGTCTAAGAACTGTTGCGGCTGAGAACAAACATTGCTATGAGTACTTTGTACGGAATTTTATCGCGCTTTCGGTTTTGTGTTTTTACAGAATACCTTATCAATATTTACTAATCAGTGTTTTTTTCTTCAGAAACTAGGAACGAAGATGTCACGCGACAGTCTCAAAGAACCTCCCAAAAACCCGTCTCGGAAGCTACGGGGCGTGTACATGAAGGTAAAAATAAATTACACTTATGTGAATAGTTACATGACACATTCTACACGTTGCTGCGGAATGTTAATATATTCAGTTAGAGAACATAGTGTTTATTTTGCGGGGAACTTTTCAAGTGAAATATAATAACGATCAGTGCATATCAAGGACTGTACCACCTTGCCCCTACATAGCATGGCAGGGGCAAGGTGTATGCAGTGCACCTTATTATTATATAACTGTGTTGTTGAGTTGATTTGTTAACCATTGACCAATCAATTAAAAGTCAAATATAAGCCGAACTTTGAAAAACGATCATTGATTGAATAGGGTAAATGAAAGGGTGTAGTAAGTAAATGGTTATAATTATGAAATCCATAATTATCTTGCAACACTTCTAACATGGTACTTCTAAAAATAATTTTAATGATTTTTCTGCAAAATTTTGCATAATTTTCCCCCTAATTTAATTTGACCCAAAATTATAAATTTCGTAGACTTCTAGTTCTTATCCAAATTTAATAAAATCACAGTACAAACAGGGTTTGTTATCGTATGTTTTTTTGGATCACGAGTTGAAGAAATGATCTAATCTAACGGGCTTTACTCAATAATTTGCCGTGTAAAGCTTTGAGTAAATTCAGTTATTATTTCCACAAAAATATCAGCGACATCAATGTTCGATTGTTTAGATTGCGTTAGAGTCAGAGAGTGTGTGTAACGTATTATCTTATTCATCAACTTATCTCAATGTAACCTTACAAAAATATATAGATTAAGGTCATTAAGACGGTCTGAAATAAAGCCTCCAAAAAATTAAGAAAACGTTAGATAATGTTGATTGTTGGGATTAAAATCAGTGTACATTTAATAAAGGTGACCGTGCAGACTGCAGAATCAACCCCTTTTTAGGTGTCAACAGTAAGATAGTTATCTTAAATTAATGATTTTGTTAATAAAATCAAATAAGTACTTCATCCGTAATGACATCCGTACACCATCAGGTCGAAGATTCAGGACGAAAGTACAAACCACAAGTGTTGGACGATGCCCAATCTTGGCAGACGATAGATGCTTCTGCTCTGACGGACGATTCTCCTTTTAATACTGAGAAGAGACGACTTACTCGTAAACTTGGTAAACACCATCTTTTCCAGCTTCATTTCATTACATTTCTGTAGAAAATTACAGATTTTGAGATTTTGAGATTTACAGAGTTCCATTGATCCCCAATATATAATAGCAACTGCTCTTGTGTCGCTCCTTTCCAAATTATATGTGTAACATTGACATAACATCTAAATCCGGGCTGTTTAATGACTAATGATTGAGATGCCGAACAAATGCTGATCTGACAATGAAAACTGTTAACACCTAATATAGATATAATGGATTGCGTAATGTAAATATTATTTATCACTTTCCATAAACTGTTCTACAATCCACATAATTATGTTATTTATCTCTTAGTAATTACTGTATTGGCTGCCGAAATATGTTTTCGGTGTCTTTCAAGTAAAATTTAGATCAGTTAGCCAGTTATCGAAATGTTAACTAATTTTCCTTTTTTCTCAGTTCAAGATTTTAATTTTGCACACTACTCACAAAATTCATAATTTATTTAGTAATTTGTTAGATTTGACTGGTAAGTGGTATTGTCTGTTATCTTTATTGGCCTGATAATGTAAGGCTTCTTACCTAGACTAAAGGGGCCAAAGGGGGTAACGGGGAGTACATGCAGGACATCTAGCCTTTATCCATTTTTTTGTATTGAAATCTAATACATCCGTTTTCTTCAGCCAACCAGCAGACGAAGCCAACAACCAATGTACGTGGCATTCTGAAGAAGGAAGGGTTAACTGCCAAAAAGAAGAGGTAATTCTCCGACCTTCACTATCTCTTGATATTTGGGGTATTTGGACGCCCTACAACAAATTAGATTTATAATTTATGTGTGATATGAGAATTATTCATGTCGTCACACATTTATCATCATTACACAACTTCAGCTCGTTGATAATAAATATATTTTAGCGGTAAAGGAGTGATAAGGAAGAGAGGCGGGGGTAAATGTGAGGGGTGTAATGTCAGATTCGAAATCTTAGAAGCTGTAAGTGCTAATCTCCGTGTACATATTTTATCTTACACGCATACTTGTGCCAATGTTGTGTTGTTTATTTTCAATTATTTCTGCCCATTTAGGAAGTAGTCACAAAGTTTAACATTGACTACTAAATCCAATATTTTCCCTGACAAATGAGTAAAGAATTTAATCATTTTCGCTATGAACGCTTCTCCGCAGCACTTAACTGGAGACCAGCATGTAAAGTATGCGAAGAAAGACAAGAATTTCGAAGCAATTGATCAGCTGATCTCGGAGGGCCTGTCACTTGATAGTTTCTTGTTGGAACTCCAGAGTAATGCCTCACATGAAAGGTTTGCGGAGTTTTATTATATTTACGATAAATTGTTCGCGGTGAGTTTTAAGAGTTAAAATCACGTGATTACTAGTCACTAGTCAGGCTTGGGGGTTTCAAATCTCCAATACTCTCTTTTTATTCGGGTTTCTGTTTCACTGTCCTATTATCGTATCACGTGATGCGTTATGACATACAATTCTAGCGGCTTTTTGCCCCTTTCATAGAAATAAACTTGTAAAAATAAAGAAAACGTGGCAACCTTACACCTCAATGTGACCGAAAATTTGCCTCATAAGAAAAAAATAAGACTTGATCAGGTTTCTTGTCGAGACTACTTATTATTTTAAAAGTATGCATCCAAAACATTGATCCATGTTGAACATCTCTTGGCACTTTTCCAAGTCGTGTATTGATTAGTTTCCACGGTCTTCACCCTACATGTGAACATATCACTACACATTACACACATTAAATACACACTAACTACACACATTCACCGTGTTAAATTCCTGTCTCATACAGTTAGCCCATGTTCGGAATCTTGATGGAAACTCAATCTCCACTTTAACCGTAGATGGAATTATTTACTTTCGAATCCATTTACTATCAGCCCGATTGCTGATGAGAAGCGATCGAAATTCACAGCTGGTCAAAGATTTAAATAACAGTTTTAGAGTTCCAACGACACTCAATAGCTCCCCACCGAGCATAAAGTTTTACAGTGTGTTAAAATCGCAGGATGTAACGTTGTTGAATAATAAATAAGTTTGGCCAAACAATGTACCGCATCAAGAGTACACTGAGTGAATGTTGGACTGCCCGGTGTTAAATTACACTGTACACGGCCTGCTTCCTGTTGCCCAAATTCTTTTAAAATTATCCAAAAACGCTTGTTCGCCGAAATTTATGGTTTCTGAATTAGTTAAGTTTCTTGTTTACCGTAAATAGCGTTCATTTTACTGAACGTCAAGAATGGAATGTAGCTTTTGTCTTTGAAGTACACGAAATGTTTAACCTCTTTGCGTCCGATCGTGCGCGTCTTTTGGCGCTCTTTAAAGCGAAAAAGTGTCAGTAGAATTTTGATCTATGAAGGTTAAAACATAATGCTGTTATTGTTCAGTGTATCATTATTGCGCAGCGCATGCGCGCTCGCACGTTCTCACGTTGCTTAGCTGCGCGCTCAGATCATCTCTAGTATAGCTAGCTATTACACATTAGATTGATCGATCGACCGATCATTCACAACTTTCACTTTCTATTCGGCTGTTATCATATGAAACGTCAAACATTCATCGTTCATCGAAAAATAAGACTACTGCATTTCTAACCTGCAGTGTAGAATTTGTAAAATAGTAGTTTTGGGATCCACGCGAAAAAATGTGACATGCGTTCATTTATGGAATTTCTCACAAATTCCTTTCACATTCTTCACGTGGAGTGTGAACCCTCCCCTCCACATTTAGAAATAGTCGTGTAATAAAGATGGTTAGGTGTCCTATTTAGTAAATGCCGTTAAATCTCTTAAGTTTAAAACTTGTAATACGCATGTATCGAAATTTGATTACCCACCTACTTCTACTCTACTAGGACATAATATCACAGTAACTCATATTTCAGTAAAGTGTTTGGGCTGACTCAGACGTTGTCTCCTCAAGTAAAGAGTGATGGTTCTACTGAACCACTTGACGTTGATGGACCTTGTACTAGGGCTAGAAAACAAAAGTATAACCTGGACGTGGTTAATCAAACCCCACTCGGTATGATTTTTATTTTGAGCAATAGTTCATTTTAAAAATTCCGATATTTATGCGATGCAGTTCTGTGTATTTCTACATTTTGAATCGTTAAAATGATTGCGGTCAGATTTTGCGAATCTTTGAAATATGCCGCTACTTGGGTGGACAATTTAAATAATGTTTAAAATTTCAGCTCCAGAGACAGACTTAGTGGTTGCTGGGCCATCTCCAAAATTGTCCGGAGTTCCCGAGTTAGAGAACAATTACTATCTGAGATCGACACCAAGGAAACTAGTCGGGATGTTGGATGAATGGGATACAAGATGGGATAATGTGATCATGCCTGATCAAGTTTCCCAACTTTCTGTGGTATGACATTCGCACTTAGATCGAATTTATTTGATTTTATTTTGTCAAAAGTCCAAAGATCGAGAAGGGAATGTGTGATCGAGTTGGGACATTCGTCCGTCGTCGTTGCCAATAACAAACTTTTGTTCTGCAGCTCGGTCTCACTAAAGAACACAAATTAATTTATTTCGAAATATTCCCTATTTCTACCTTCTCAAAATGGCGATAACAACCATAAGTTTGGCGTGATGAAACATATAGCTTTGATTTACACACTATAAGCGGCTTCTGTCCCCGACTGTCAAGTGTCAGTCCCAACTGATTCCTTTCTGCTTTGAGTCCACAAATCTCTCCAGTTCTGTTTTAACTTTGAAATTTTCCAGAAGCTGATCCAAATAAGTCACTCTCACTCCATTGAGATTTCCGTTCTCCTTTCTTTATTGTGCAGCTCCCGGTCTCAGAGCTGCTGTATACTAAAAATGTTGTCTATTAGGTCAGTGACGGAACGTTCCTTCAGTGTCAGTCTTTGGATTTGTACTCCAGTCAGGTAAGATCACAAATTTCACCTCCACCAGCCATCGCCACGCACTCCCACTTCTCATCAACAATTTTGCTCCACTTTCTTCACTGCTCATAATTCCAAAATCAGGATACAGTATCAAAGTTTTCTAAACATGTTCAATCTTTTTCCTTCATATCATGACCCTCTTAGATCCTCTGCGGCAGCGCATCTGGTTCTTATGAACTACAGCTGTCACAAAACTGACATTATATTATACATTTGTATTTTGTATACGTTATTAATTAATACGATGAGTTAATACACAACGATTACATTAATTAATCCTTATAGTATAGTTTACTGTCAAGCTGATATGTTTTGTTTCTGCAGGGTCAGATCCCGGTACCTACAGAAAACCCCTGCTCAGAGTTCGTTGTGAAACGGCCCAGAGTAGCAGAATCTCCAGTTGACAACACCCTCCTGAGATCTCCAGGATCAGGACCAGTTACCAGACTGCGATCTCCGGCACAAACACCACCTCCTCGCACCACAAGGTCTAAATCCCCGCCACGTAATACCCGCTCAATAAGTCCCACGGCCCACCCTACCAAAACCACAAGGTCTCAATCACCGGGTACAGCCACAAAATCTCGCTCTCCTGGACCTGCCACTGGATACGGTTCACCAGAATCTAGCCACAGGAACCTTAGATCTAACTCACCAGGCCGGTCACGAAACAATTCTGCTAAACAAACTGATTCACCGACCCAGTCTAGGAAAAGCTCCGCTAAACAGAGTAGCTCGGCTAAACAGTTAAATTCTCCTTCTCAAAGGAGGTGTAAACAGACTAATTCCCCATCGGGCGCATCTCAATCCCCAAACAAACGATCTCAGAATTCGCTACCTGTGAAGCGCAGGGTCATAAATCACAGCTAGGACATACTTACAGTTCCTTCTTTCCTTTTGAACCTTCCTGAACCACAGAAAATCAAAATATCATCCAACCTGTTTCGTTTTCAGAAACCAACTTTATTGTAATGCGAAACCCATTTTGTTATTATTGGAATATTTATAACGCCAGAGCTGTTTTGTTGTTATTGTAGTAGCTGTAGCTAATATCTAGACTTGTTGTTATTTTAGTGTGCCACAAAAAAAGGCCATTTTCAATTTTAATCTTTTTCAACTCTGTGATTCTTAACTTGTAAATTATGATTTTGTGGCATACTCACTGATATTTGCTAAGAAATTTTACAAAACAGTAATTTTAAAACCGATAACATTCATTGGATTTTAGATATACTGATTACTGATACATTGTTTGCTTGTTTTGTCTTGAATTGTAGTTTTATTAAGGATTGTCAAGTTTCGTTAAATGCATCCTAGTTGTCCTCCTGCAGGGTCGAATATTGATTCTAAAGACCTTATTTTTAACTTCGTGTCCGTAAAGCTTTTTAACTATGGTTAATGGTTATGGTATTTTCTCATTATATTGATTATTGTATTCTCTTGTTTGTGGTATGTTATTGGTTATGAGAGATATATTTGTAACTTGCATTAATGTTGCCTTTGCTAAGATATTGTGTAATAATCGTAATAAGAGATTCAGAGAACATTCGAAGCACTGCACACTGATACAGTAATAACTAAACGTCAGTAGTGTATGATTGAGAATTTATGGATGGGAATTGTAATTCTTCGACGTGATTCTTGGGGCACAATTGAACTAAACCTTTAAAGCAAAAACTTTCCAGAGTCATATCATTGAATTTGACGTTTGTCTGATTACAATATCAATATATTTGGAACAGTTGTGACAAGTTTTATATGTTTATCTCAACCAGATCAACTTAAAATGCAGATTTGCTCTTAAAACCAGCAAAAAATGGGTTTTAATTTTATTCTTGTTCGACGTATGGGTTTCGTGTATCTCAAATACCTGACAATCGAAAATTATTTTCCTTCAAATCGTTCAGAAATGAGAAAGTGGGCGATTAGATTTGGACGTATCCGTTGTGTACTTGTGTTCACCTGCCCATGTGTGTACGACGTGACTTACTCGTTTTATAACCAAGACAAGAAGCTTTGAAAAGAGCGCGGTGCATATTATGTATTTTATTACTGATTACCAGGCGCGCCTATTATAAATCAAGAGGCTTGCATATAATGAACATATTGACATGGGTGCAGAGTTGAGTCTGTACGGAACCTAGTAGTTTCAGTTCCTTGTTTAACTTGCCGTACAGCAAGGACATCCACTACTTTAGCCCGGCGAGGCACATAACTCACTCTCAACTCTACAACTCCCTGTCAAATGTTTCATATATACTAGCCAAGTTCACAAGATATATCCTTGTGTTTGAGAAGCGCCCGCTAGAACTGCTTCCTTTCCCTTCAGTATCCCACAGTCTCTCGAGTTTCGTAACTGCCAGAGAACTCTCTTAAACAATTACTAGACAATTATATCACCTATTAGTATTAGTATTCCTGTGCCACATAACATATGTTATGCGCGGTATAGTAGTAATCTTGTCGAGCTCTTCTTAATTCTATGTGGAGAGAAATTAGCTAATAAGCAGGTACATCACTGCTTATAATGTGATAACATTATTTTCACAACTTTGAGTTGTGAAAAAAATGTTATCCAACGACAAACGAGTTTGACGAGTTGGATAAAACGAGTTTCATACCGAGGTTTGACCTATACTAGTATAGGTGTTATGTGTAACTCATGTTATCATATTAATATTATAAGCAGTGATGTAAATGCATTCTCTGATGATCTACGAAATGATGCTAGCGAATGCAGCATTTACATCGGAAATTAACGACCGATAATATTACTACATATAACACATAACATTCCAGAGTCAAACTTTCTAGATACATCCTTATCTCTTAAAATTGTTACAAGTCGCTGAGATGTTGTTAATAATTTTTTCCCTACTCTTGCCGAAGGCAAAAAGATCGTAGGGAATAAGTAATCGGGTTTGGATATATGAGGTGGCCCGACGGACCTGCGTTGTCGACAAAAGTCTGCTCCTTTAACGGGTGATACTAGTAAAATATTTGTTCCATACCCAGAAACCCTGACCGGATGGGGCTTAACTTTGAAAGTAAAAGAGTTGGAGACTTCGGTTTTTTGTAACATGTTCCTCTTTTATGTTTTAAAAGTAACGTTACCTCCCCAGGAGGAAAATTCAAGACAACGTAATTGTTGAGTTATCTCAAAATCTCCAGAAAAGTCCCATTTCGGGCCGATCAAAAGTTTGCAACTTTAACTTTGCGGATTCGTAACTCTGGTTGGCTGAATTGTGTCACGTGGTAGCTGCTTGAACATTGGAATGCGCCACGCGTGCAAATCATGCTTGTTGTCGCGCGCGAGGTCGAGCCGTCTGTTTAAATTAAACCAACTCTAGTACCACCACCAGCCGGTAACTTTTCCTGGGCACCCGTTAATACTAAGCCGCGCATCAAAATGAAGTTAGTGTAATATTTCGTTAGGCCTAGGGTTAGGGTTCAAGTTACTGGGCCGCGCTCAGCCTGTCATTCCGCCAAATCTATATTAATGAACATAATAGCCTGGGGTCCTCAGGTAAGGGTTCAAGCATATGCTTTAGTTAAGGATTGGGTTAGGGTTAGGGTTGGGATCAGATTAGAGGGTTAGGGTTTCGAATAGTCGTTCAGGACCAGCTATAGAACGGGTTGAAAAAGTCACGTGACAGTCGAGTGTAACTGTAGAGTCAAAAGTGATTAATCATCATCCACAACGTAGATTTTGAATTATTGCAAAAAGTCTTATTTTAGGCCTTCTATAATAGTGCGCAGCTTTAACTTTTCGGATTCTTGTTCTCTGATTGGCTGAATCGTATCACGTGGTAAGTGGTGCAATTGCATTCTTGGAATGTTTGAAGCGTGCAAATGCAATGAACTTAGCCGAAAGGGGCTGGTTCTCGTATCAGCCACTGCGATACCGTATTCACCATAATTGGATCGGTAGTCTTTTAATAAGTTTCACGTTTTTGTGTTTTCAGTCAAGACTTTCCCTCATCGCATCATGACTAATATGCACGGAGTACTATATGGCTACTGGTGCGGAGTTTGTTGACCACCACTATTGTGCACCAACGAAATATATCCATTATATTGGTTCTGATGTAATGAGGGACAGTTTAAACTTCAAAAGTTTGAGAGCTGGAAGATTAAACAATTGGTAAGGTCGTTAAATTCAGCCCTCGGTGCAAGACCGACGATAATGAAACTTTTAGATCATTAAACATTGTAGTTGAGATCAGTGGCGTAACGAAAGGCCCTGCTGATAGGTAGTGCGCCATCGACAGTGAGCCGCGCGTGCCGACTGTAGGATGGTTTTTTAGCGCTAATTTCGGCCAGCACAATTTTCTTCAAACAAATAGATATTAAGTATCCTTCCCGACCTCCGATTGCAACAAAAATTGGTAAGCTTACTCATAGACTTACAAGGAAAGTGTCCGAAAAGTTTAAAGCATATCCAACCATCAGAAATTATGTTACAGCTAAAAGCAGCGTATTTTGCCCCATTTTGATCACTATATCAACTCCGATATCCACCAAATTTTTCGGACAGTTGTGAAAGCTCTATTGGAAGGTCGTCGCCAATTTTCAGAATGATCTCATTCAAGGAACTGAAGATATATCCAAATAATACGACAAAAATCAACGAATTTGGTCAAATTTGGTCAAATTACGCGACTTTTACAGCTAATTTTGCTCCAAAAGCCGCGCACCATCAAATATGGCACCTAGGCGAAACTCACTGATCTTTCCAAAAAGGTATGACAAATTTGGTATTGTGAAAATTCTCACAGTCTCTAGAAAACAATGGTACAAAAATTTTTAAAATCCGAGCAAGTTTATTTTTATGGTGCACCTCCTACTGCTGACCCCGCTGTGCAGGGGGGCGCCGTCTTAGGGGGGCGCCAAATCGTCGTTTAAATGTGGGACAATTTCGAAAACTTAACTAAAGTACTAGCAAAACTGCGCGTTTTGCTCTAGATACACACTTTTTTACAGATTTTACCGGCGTATTCTTTAAAATCACCTAATTTTATTTATTTGTTCAATTTTAGGGAGGGGCACCAAAAGGGGAGGGGGCGCCAACAGGGGGGCGCTTTTTTCGGCAGGGGGGCGCCAACAGGCAACGTTACGCCACTGGTTGAGATTTGAAGCTAAAGGATTCATGAGACATTCAGGGCAAATGAACGAGCGAGGACTATTGTTATGCAGCTGTTACGTACCGACTCAAAAACGGCTGAATCCCCGCCTAGAAAGAAAACTCATTTCACAGTTTACTTAGTTATAAATTACTTCGACTTGGCAATTAAAATTTGTTTACTCCTAGCAATGGAAATGTTTAAAGTATCTCCAGAGGTTCTCACTCTCAGTTGTCGGGGATATGTAATGATTGGCTCTTAGTTGTCGGAGCTGATTGCATTTCCCAAGCTAGCATGTTAATTACTGGGCGGCGCTCAGCCTGTCATTCCGCCGAATCTTTATTCGTTTATAAACATAATAGCCTGGGGTCCCCAGGTAATCATGTTAATTGTTAATTAGTTAAGGGGGGGGGGGGGTCAATGGGTATTTTTTTGTGAAACTTGATTTCGAGATAGTAGTTGACCAACAAACTAGGACCAGTGACCGAACTTTTGAGGGGGTCCCGGACCCCAACCGCCAAACGGTGCGCGCAGGGCAGCCACGCCCATATTTGGTCCAAATTAGGCCCAATTTAGCCAAATACCCTGAACATGCCCAAAACCCAGGTTTATGGTGCTCTACTTGTAGCTAGTGGTCTCCTGAACTCGTATATGAAATTTCATCAAGATTGGACAAAAAATGACTGAGTTATGAGCCAAAAACCATATGCCCATATTTGGGCATACGCACCAAATTTGGTAGATTTCGTCCCATAAATTGGTCAAATATCAATATTTTTGGATGAGACTTACTTTATATGAAAGGTAAGCCTAAACTACATATTCTCTGTAAGTTATAGCTTTATATCTGTTTAAATGTGGATACTAAGGCGAAAAAACCACAAAAAATGAACTAAATTGCCCATATCTCGGTTCGCGATATTCGCGGAATTGATCTCACCAAAATTGTAACAACTCAATCAGTTTTCAAAATTTTTGCATGAAATTTTTGAAATCGACTCGAAATCGCATTTCGACCTTATTTTAAGAACGGATTTTTGATTTAGGCCTCAAAAAAAATTTGGCGGCCAAATTCTGAATTTCTGTAATATAATTTTGGAATTTGGCCGCCAAATTTTTTTTGAGGCCTAAATCAAAAATCCGTTCTTAAAATAAGGTCGAAATGCGATTTCGAGTCGATTCCAAAAATTTCATGCAAAAATTTTGAAAACTGATTGAGTTGTTACAATTTTGGTGAGATCAATTCCGCGAATATCGCGAACCGAGATATGGGCAATTTAGTTCATTTTTTGTGGTTTTTTCGCCTTAGTATCCACATTTAAACAGATATAAAGCTATAAATTACAGAGAATATGTAGTTTAGGCTTACCTTTCATATAAAGTAAGTTTCATTCAAAAATATTGATATTTGACCAATTTATGGGACGAAATCTACCAAATTTGGTGCGTATGCCCAAATATGGGCATATGGTTTTTGGCTCATAACTCAGTCATTTTTTGTCCAATCTTGATGAAATTTCATATACGAGTTCAGGAGACCACTAGCTACAAGTAGAGCACCATAAACCTGGCTTTGGGGCATGTACAGGGTATTTGGCTAAATTGGGCCTAATTTGGACCAAATATGGGCGTGGCTGCCCTGCGCGCACCGTTTGGCGGTTGGGGTCCGGGACCCCCTCAAAAGTTCGGTCACTGGTCCTAGTTTGTTGGTCAACTGCTATCTCGAAATCAAGTTTCACAAAAAAATACCCATTGGCCCCCCCCCCCCTTAACTAGGTAAAATTGACTGGTTCTTAGTTGTCCGTCAGCCGAATTA